GGAGAAAACTAGGTGATCAGATCAGAGGGTGGTTCAGCCTGATTCAAATTTCGGTCTAAATAATTACAAGGCCCAACGGGTTTGTGAACACTGGAACCAGATAGATCAGAGGCTACCAAGTACCACCGTAGCTACATACATCCTAGCGCTAAAACATGTCCCCACCTAAACCAGGGCTACACTACACAAGCGAAGCAACATGTCCCTCTCCCTTCACTGCTTATCAGAAGGCTTCATAACTGGACAACATTGCACTTGAATGTTTTTGCTGGTTTTGGTTTTTCAAGGACCCACATTAAATTTATGCCATGGCGGATTAATTAAAGTGGTCATACGTGTTTCTGTCTGCTACATTTGATAATCTATGACACCTGCGGCTCAATTATTAAGTATGTAGTACAAAAAATAGAAATCTCAATATTGAGTTCAAACTGGGTTATAAAAGAGACAAGTCAGCGCACTCAAACCTGCTGTATGGCTTTCAATCTGGAAAGGGGGTGGGTAGTATTGATTTCTATTGAGTCACATTTGCAAGTATTTTAGATGCAGCATGAATGCAGCATCTAAAATACTTGCAAATGTGACATACAACAAGTTTAAAATTCATATTCATTTATTAGATTTGGTATAGGCACAGACCCCAGTGGAAATTATGGAATGTTGAGGTGGTAATGGGAGGAGGCAAGTTGTTGCACAAGCTGAAAGCATACTGCAGAGATGTGATGCTCTATGTACAGCCAGTGAAGAGAGATTGCCTCAGCTACAGTAGCTTGTCATGTGAGCTCTAACGTCAGTGAAATGTGGTCACATCAAAGACGCTGCTCCACCGCGGACCAAGCTTTGGATATTTGCTGATATTACAGAATCAAATAAAAAAATTGGTGAACAAACTATTTAAAACAGTTAATGTGGCTATGCGGCTATGGGGAAACAATGGCTTCTAACATATTTCTATAGTAAATAAAACTCAGACATGCATAAACCGCTCTAAAAACAAATTTAGAGTAAATCTCCAAATCTCTAGAGAAAACAACTATAACATTGCTAAATGCTGGACAATTCGTTTTTATTCATATCCCTGTATTTACATCTATTGTCTATCCATCTAAAAATGTGGATATTAAAAAAATTAACAAATTACTGCTGTCTGTGTCCCACCAGATTGAGCGTGTGCACTAGGCATGAACTACCTCCTGAGACAGTGTGTTATATGAATAAAAAAGCTCCCAGTTTCACAGTTTGTAAACCCACTATACTAACAGCTTTAAGTGATTAAGAGCAATCATTCCAAATATAGTTCATTTGTGTGACATGTGTTTTTATTTCCATAACATAATTCCCTATTCAGCATTTCATTTCCTCTATGGAATAAAAGTCAGCATTTCCATGCGGCCTCTTTTCGCCTCAGACCAAAAAACACTGAGCACACTGTGCCTTAATGACAATCTACAGTAAGTGGAGACTCCTGCGAAAAGACCCCATGAATTTCAGACAGCCTAAATGGAAAAAGGAGGCCAAAGCATACATAAATGAGTAGGCCTGTGGTTAGACAGCAGAGAGGTGTCCCGGTCTGTGCGGTTCAGCACTGGTGCCCACTGCGTCTCCTGCACTTCCTCTTCCAGCGCTGCTCCCGCTGCAGCCCAGATGGGCCCCTCTGGCTGAGACCAGTCAGACACAGCATGGGCTCAGAACTGCCTCATCAGCACGAGACTTTGTGAAGTTTATGCTGCCTGTACAAGGGTTTCCCCCCTTTTCGTGTGGTGAGGCTAAAGACCTGTTTGATCTACAAAAGAGGAACCAATAAATTACAGTTGTGATGTTTCCCCGCTCTTCATAAGTAAACATGACAAAGCGTGCCACACAGATGTGACAATATGAAACCTACTGCTTGTTGAGGGACCTGCTTGTCTGCGTTTGCATTCAAATCATCAGCTCTATTGGGAATTCTTATTTGAAAGAAATAAGATACAACATTTCTTCTAATTGATATTTATTCATAGTTCCTTTTGTTTGAGTCTATGAAAAGATGTTTGAAGAATGAAGACACACTCATGTACTCAACTCTGTAAGTCGAGACTTGAGACTCCAGATAAAACTAATAATGTAATATAGAATTCTGAATTGTTTACTGCCAAACTGAAAGCTCAAATCCACAAACTCATATTTATTTCATGGTGGGTCTGATCTCTGGGTGTCTATTTTCTGTTTACATTAGAGCATTACGCTGCTCCCTGCGGTTTAGAGCTGTACTGTAAATATCTCTTTACTTCTCGTTGAGTTCAGTTCTGAGGGAATGACAGATGCTGAAGAAATGAGTCCAATCTCCTGCCTCTGTTCTGTTCTTCTCATCAGGGCCTCATCCCCAAACGGTTCTCAAAATGTGCAGCAAGCATACGACCTGAAGAGAGGCCATCACTACTGCAGTTGCTGATGAGGGTCCTTGTCTTTTGTGCACCACCGCCATGCAGCTATTTGCATATATTCTTTCCCCTCTATGTCTTAGAAGAGCTTTAGAATTCCAAAGCTGTGCAGCCAAGAAAAACGCCTCACAATGAGATTAGACTGTTAAGGCAACACTGTATTCAGAAAAAGAAGGGATTAAAATGTGATCGCAAACTGGCTAGTTCAATGTTGCAAATTAAACGTCGTAGTGTCGTCATCTCAATGTGATCTCAAATTTTCTGGATTATCTGAATGTGCAACAAAACCGCACTGCAAGTAATGATTAAATATGATGTAATAATTGCTTGAATAGAGTGGTTTTGTCTTAATTTTAGTACATTCTTAAAACAAGACTTTCCAATGGGACAAAGTCATTTAGTCTTAGTTCAAAAACGGATGATTTTTTCTCATTCCAAGGGAGACATTTCTTGTATTTTTTTTAAAAACAAGATCATTTTGCTTGTCCCGTTGGCAAATCTTTTGTTAAGGCAGTCAACATGTGCTCAAATTAAGATACATTTAGCCAAATTTGAGCAATTTTGTACTTATTTTTCATCACTTTTTTCAGTGCAATTATGGGAGAAATCACGAAAGAAAGAAACAAGTTGACTTTTTGGATTTCTGGCTTAAATATGTACAGTACAATGCAGCAGTATTGTTGGAATTGGAGTTTGATGCTGATTTTAATTCCTGCCGCTTCACACTCGGCTGCAAACCTCATGCATGTTAGAGATCCTAGTTTCATGAAGCCAACATACAGCACATTTTACAGACCAAGGTCACCCAAAGCGGTTCACAATGTTCAGAAATCAGATATTGTTGCAATCATTCCACACCCGATGATGACAGATACGAGGTGCCAAACACACTGGCGCATCAACGCCCCAGTCAACACCATCCATTCAATCACGTGACATTCATACCTATTGCACATGTTTTTAGTGGTAGGGGAAACCGGAGCTCCCGGAGAAAACCTATGCAGACACGGGGAGAACATTCAAACTCCACTCAGAAAGGCCCTCTTCCAACTAAACCCAGGACCTTCTTGCTAAGAAGCGAGAGTGCTATCCCCTCAGCCACTCTGCCGCCCAAACATAGTGCGTAAACAAACAGGACCTTGCTCCAGCCCTTTATGCTTCAAGAAATCATGTCCATAAAAACAGTGAGCTGAACCGGAGACGTAGGGCAGCCTTGACATGAAGCCAACATATGGGAACAAGTCTGACTGCCGGAAACATTACTGTTGTGAGTGAGTTCTTTCAAGAGAAGAAAAGAAACTGCTTTTGATTCTTGTTATGACCCATCCCAGGGAGAGATGCTCCAAAGGGAAAGGAAGGGGCCCATAAAACAAAAGGTTAAAACTAGTGGAGCCCACATCACCTGCTGCGACCACAGGGGCTCACCTGAAGGACACGGACCAATCCCAAACACACCATCTCTTCTTCAAAGCTTTGTAGTGGAACTGTCATGTGAGGGCTTACACTGTGACTGCTAATGAAACTAGTTCCATCAGACTCCTTTATTTATCCCTCCAGGGGCTTTCATTTGAGCAGCATAAGGCCATAAAAAACACATGAAAAATATGACCCAAACCATAACATAAGCAACTGGAAGTGGAGCCAGCCAATCTCTTTTATACAAATTGTATCTAATTACTGTATAATTGCACTGAATTCTTTACACTTGTGGCATGTGAAATCTTGATCTTGTCAAATCTTTGAAGCTAAGCAGTGCAGAACTTGTTTAGTATAGTGATGGGAGACTATGGTAACATCAGGTGCCAAAATGGGGTGGGTTTACTATGCATTATTATTATCACACCAATATGCAGAACTTATTTTCCAATTGATGTTGTGGTTTAATTAGGTGAAGATCAATGTAAACTATTGCGATGTGGCAGATGCTGCAGCTGTATTTTACTTGGGTAAAATTTTACTTGGAACAGCTGTATTTTACTTGGGTATAAAGTCATGTAAATGCTGTGTAAGAAAAAATCCCTGACCTTCGCAACATTTGTCGTTTTCTTCAATAGCGCCATTTTCCTCAGATGGAAAAGCACTCTATAGAGGAGAGCTGCACTATACTGGATCTACAGCTGAATACATATATGTCCTGTCATGTGGGCCTACACCAAATATTCTAACCGGTGTCATCTGCCAGTGTTTCTCAAACAGTGCAAATAGCACTATGGTAACTATGGCAACTATCAATTGTGAGACTGCACATGAAACAAAAAACTATCCCAAAAGTTCCCCATCTTCTTTGTCAATGGCCTAACTGTTCTAACATTGACGTGTGTAGAAGAGGTGACAAAACATTTTCTTGATGTTGTTCCAGTAGAAAGAACACCCAGAAATAAATATAAGATTTTGGGGTTCAAATACTAAAATAATGATCTAGGGGACATTTTTGGAAGTATACGTTCTATTGGTAGTACGTGAAAATATCTCAGTTGGTGTGTAAAGTTTGACAGGGCTGCTATAAAGAGGATAGAGGTGGGGGGTGTTGCCTCAGACTGTCATTACAGGCTAAAGTCTAATTCTCACACTGGATCAACTATGTCGGTTTGTAGACGGATCGGATTATGGACAAATGAAGGACACATCCCTCTCTGGCGCACCCCCACCTCACGCAGCACGAACCCCAGTCCCCCTCTATTGTAAACGCTGGAGCCGTCTGTCATCGCCTGCCTCTTTGTTCACTCCTGCTCCTCATCTGTGGAGGGACAACTGGGGGGCGAGCCGAGCACCTTGCGCGTTGCGTCTTCGTGCGTCTCTTCCCATTCGCCACATTTGGAGCGAGTCCGGAGAAGGATGAACGCGGCCGCTGCGTGAAGAGGAGGAGACGAAGCGAGGGGAAAAGCAGGGGTAAAGTGCGTGCAAACCCGGCCACTCGCCTCGGGTCTCTCACAAAAAGTGCATCTCTCCCATTCCTGTCTGTTGCGTGTATGCTTTGGCGTCTTTTCTGCGCCCTGCTCTCCCTTCACGCCGGCTCCCTTGGCTCACCCACATTCCTAAGGACTCCTCGTGGCATCAAAGGTAAGGTTAAAGATCCATTGTGATTGGCACTGCTATGTATTTTCTCTTTATTTTATATAGAGCCAAAAAATATTAGAGCAAAAATGATAATAACGCGTAAATGCAAATTCCTTGTCCGAATCAATCAATTACAGTATACATACATACATACTATAGGACACACACAAATCTCACTCGTTCGGGTTTGTGTGAATTATTTACCGGTCAAAAGCTTTTAATATTGGTCTATATTTACGAGGGAAGAGCATCCATAAATAATCAGCTCACAAAGTAACCTTGTTAGCGTGTCAGGTGTCCACGCGTCTGTCTGTGTTGCCATATAGAGAAGTTTCCTTTAAATTCCCCAAAAGGTTGTATGCCATCCAGGTCAACGCTTATTTTAAATGATGAAAACATCTGGACATATGGGATTTGCTTCTGTAATGTACACAAATTATGTTCTTTCAGACACAGAATACAGACACAGTAGATTTTGTTTTCCCCCCATGGATCATTTGTGACAGATGTTGAGAGCTGTAGAGTAAATCATATGGTGAACATGTGGGGGACTTATGTAAAAATGGGTTTATGGCAAGAATTGAACTATGCACTGTTGATCTCCGTGTTTTCAGAGTCATGATGAATTACTCCCTGCAGGTGAATGAATCTTGGTGCATTGATGAGTTTATAGACAAAAGGGCATTTACAAATTACACAGCAATTCGAGTCAGCTTGACAAATTAACCATATTGTCTGAAGGGATGGGAGCCTCTGCCGCTGTGAAAAAGAGACTTGTCTTAGTTTCCATTTAGTGCAGAGCTTTTCAGCAGTTTAAGTCTTTTTTTCTTCTCCAGCCTTGTTAGCGAGCCCACCCCCAACTGTGTGTCAGCTCCATAAAACAGGCCGAGGTTAACTAGGCAACATCTCACACTATAGATGAGATGTGCACTGAATATAGTTAGAAATTAGGTTATGGGACCAGTGGAAAGTTTGTACCATGCATTTTTTATGTCACTCAGATGTGTGTCCAAGGTCCTGTAAGTCTAAGAAAAGCACTTTGGTGTCTCCATGCATGTAAGACGGTGCTCAGGACAGAGATGCTAAAATAGCTTAGAGCTGGTCTGCTGCTTTTCTTATCATGTCAGGCTTTGAGCCGTCTGCAACAGCAGTCAGTTTGTGTGTCAGAGGAAAGACTGACCAAGAGTAATGTGAGAGGCTTCAGACAGATGAGGCACTGCAGGGCTGGACATAGTTGGGTGGTTTTGATTGTCTTCTGATGTTTTTATTTGGCCTTGAAATCAAATAGTTCTATGAATGTAATATACAGTATTAGCAAAGCCTAAATGTTTATACTGAATTGAGATCAACAGTGAAACTGGGTTAGTGTGAAATACTTTTACCACGGACAATATATAGTTTCAGGTTTGAGCTACACTTCATAGATCTTGTAATTAAATTTCACTTTGCCATCCTTCAATGCCACACAAGGCAATGATTCAGAAGCTGTGGGCAGCCGCAGTGCGGCCGTCAGCCAAAACCTCCAGAGCTGGAGCACCTCCACAGTGAAAGGTCATAGTCTTGAAATCAAAACAGGACCTTCCAGCTGTGAGTCTACAGTGCTATCTATTTTGGCTTTGTTTGCAGTGAATCAAACAAGAAAATCAAACAAAACTAGACCATTACTGAATTTATTATTCTCACCTGGTCGTATGCTAATTCAAAGAGGAATTTTTGAAGCCTAGTCTTGTATGTAGAGACAGTGTCTGCCTACTTGACGAGGATGGGGAGCTGATTCCATAGAAGCATAGATCTCTCCAAACACTCCTGCTGCTGTGGTTTTAGACACTCTAGAAACCACCACATGTCTGGTGTTTTAAGAGCACAGTGATTTAGTTGGAACGTACCAGTACATCCTGGAGGTAGGAGGAGTTGTGGTCTTATAGTTCAGAAAAATGTCCCCTCCTCTTAATGTCTGTTAAAATCCCTTCTGCATATTTTAGAGAGGTTGTTTTTATTCCTACAGGGACAGTGTGCAATAAACATTAACCAAATGGAGAGATACAGTGTACCATGTTGTAGCAGGAGTGCTAATTTACACCTGTAGTAAATTAGCACTCTGGCTAGGTCAAGTCATGTTACAGGAGAAAACTTAAAGGTTGAAATCTAGGTAAGATATTTCTTAGAAATGTTTCGCAGATGGAAATAAACATTCTCTGAAAGAGAGCTCCTGGATAAATGAGAGTCCTCTCAGTACTGTTAGAAGCTAACATTATTGAGTGTGATGATCTGATCCCAGAGAGTCAGGCAGGCATTTAGGGCCTAACACGATTACCTCTGTTATTTCAGGATTGAGGGTTAGGATCCTTTAAATTTTCCAGTCTTTCATGCAAGTCTATGGAACCAGGGGGAAAATCGATATATACTGTACCTGCGTATTCTGTATCGATGCTGTCAGCAACTACTCATATCAACTTGACCAAGATTTGAAGCTTTTGCTTCAGCCTTATTCACTAGGTGTCTAAGATTACCACATATGAAATGTTGGTGTCTCAAAAGTAATGGTGAAGCTAGTTTTCATGAATGAATGCATACACGTTCTCTGTGAAAGTGCCTTCATGAAACGTGTCGCTGAGCTCATTCATTCATTTATTCATTTTCTGCCCCTTTATTAGTCAATTTCTGGGTTGGGGGGGTGGCATTGAGAGCTGCCACCCAATGCTCATAGCACCAGTCCCTCGCTGATCCTCTGCAGGTGGTGAGTCCACAGGAAGATGGCTGCTACATCAGTGATGCCACAGCCTTGGTGTTTCAGCAGGAGCTTCAGGCAATGTGGAGTTAAGTGTCTTGCCCAAGGACACAAATTCGCTCACTAATACCATGATAGCTACCAACATGGTGCTATGTAAATGCAAATGCCCTTTGGTTTGAACAGAACAGCTTCTGTGTTTGATTAATTCTTTCTTTAAATAATTTCATCTTAAATAGTGATAGTCTGCATCACATCTATACAAGATTTTTGTTCAATAATTGTAATGTAAGGTTTGGGGGCCCCTACATTCACAATAGCACCAACTATCATGATTTCAGCACTGGACAGCTCCCAAACATCAATTAACCTGGCCACTGCTGAATAAAGGAAAGTAAAATTGACACAGAACTCTCTATTTCTGTCCGTATCATTGTAATATTTCTCATCCAACAGTCAAAACTGAGTACAGCACTGCCTCAAAGAAAGCAAATCTCTGAATGTAATAATAGATAATATGTTTTGTTACTGAAATTATATCTGAAGAACAACTATTACATATTCTGCGTACTCAGCACATTGTTAAAGATTTGGAAGCCCCTTGCCCAGCGCTGTCTTGATAGAATTCCATAATCCTTTTCCATTCACACAAGCAAATGTCTCAATGTTTTTTGTTTTGTGAGAGACGGTCATTTTAAAGACTGGTTAAATGCAACGTGTGTAATATAGTTTAAACTGTGACTCCTGATGCACCTGATCCCCACATCTGACCTCTGACCTCCCCGGCCTCAGCGAGTCATTAACGTTCAGCCTCTGGTCCTTTTGTCAATGTTTTTTTCTGTAGCATTTAAACAAACATGTTGATAATACCACTGACGTTGAACGTAAACGCAGCGGGAGGTTATGTTTATGAAGCATCTTTAAAAAACCTGCTGCAATTATTTTCATATTAATTTAAAATGTAAATTGCTGTTTTTTCTGAATATGTCATTTGTGTATGCCTTTTTTAGATACAGAAATGAAATGGTACATCTCCAGATCTGTACATTCTATGTAACCTTTTGTAGCTCAGCTGCGCGTAGTCATGGAAATAGAAAAGTTAAAACGTACCACACATGGTTTGGCGGCTTTAAGTGTCATGTATATTTTACAATCATTCTAATACTGACCAGGCAGGGATTCTTTTTATCAGCACTTTTACAAATGAGTTTAGATAGACTTTTTTAATCTTAATTGTGATACTCTTGATAACCCTACCATACCTTGCAGCTGTTTAAAAAAAAAAAAAGGATACAGAAAAGGATTCTTTGCAACTCACTGATGCTGCCTGTGTTATTTGATCTTTTTGTGTTGCAGTAGAGAAATGAATAATGCCTGATTCCAAAGCTGCTTTGTGCCATGTCTCCTGGTTTCTATTTCCTTCAAGATATCTGTTACAGTCCTCCACTCTACCAATGCACCAACATGTTGCATTGATAACAAGATTATGTCTTTTCACATTTTGCTTTTCTGTGTTTTGGTCTTTCTACATAGCTCTTCTTTATTTGACTTTTTGTCAGAAAAGTCCTTGCTGATGGTGTTGCATTCACAGGCGGCTGCACACAATCCGTTCGTTCCACTCTTAAGTGTGTTACGTAGCCGGTTTGAATAACCCTTTTTGTCTTGGAGCCAAGTGGAATCTATTGCATCAGTCAGGATTTACCTCCGCCCAGGGGGTAAATAGATCACCAGGATATGTCTGTTTTTCTGTGAGCAAAATCAAAATGGGAGGATCTTAAGAGGGTTTGGACAATGTTTTCAGGAAACCCAATGACCCAGAGAACAAGTTAGTCATTTTTGGAGGTGATCTGACTCGTTGTCTGGATGCAGGATCTGCACTCTACGAGTGCTTCTCTATTGCAAAATAAAAAACACTGGAAACTGCTCATCACTGGTAACACCACCCCCACTGTCAGACCTGATGGTGGTGGCAGCATCATGTTGTGGGGATGCTTTTCTTCAGCAGGGATAGGAAAGGGTGTCAGAGTTTGTGGGAATTTGAATGGGGCAAAATGCAAAAAGAAATGAGCGGATGTTTATCTACTATCAGGAAAAAATTCCAACATGAAGCATTTTCATACAATGGAATGGTTTAAAACAATTTACACTTGTTTGTTAGAATGGCCCAGTCCAAGTCCAGGCCTATGTGGTATTCCACATATCATTCAATCAAATGTGGAAAAGTTAGTGGGGTGTGAATACAAGGCACTGTATGTTCTAACATTTTTCCAAAGCAGATTCTTAGTCAGTGAATCTAGTTCACTAACAATGGAAGGAAACTTTTTCCAGTCCTGTACATTCCCTCTTTACATCTGTCACTAAATGTACCACAGGCGTCCACAATGACCCGTGAATGTGTCCTTTTCAAAACAACACAGAGAATATGTGTCAAATGGACATGGACGTTGATGTTCAGTGAAGCATTTGAGTGACTTGTGGCTCTTTTCTGTTCTCACTGTGTGGGGGGCATATATGACGAGGCATGTCTTGTCCCAAACAAAAGCGACTGGTTAGTATGCGGCTGTTGTTGTGGGATGTAACTGTAGAGTGCTGTAAAAAGCCCTCTGGTTAAACTTTGAAAGAACACTTCTGTCCGAGGCGCAGATATGCGCTCTGTATTCTGTTTGTGTTCTCTGTGGCAGCTGGGCCTCTTCCAGTCCCAGCTCTGGCCTCTGCCTCAGACTGGAAACTCTCCTTGGTGTCACGACCCTCTCCAGGCCTTTAGAAATCCAAGTCCAACGCCTCGACCTCAATCTGTCACCACCCATCACAGGTCCTCACCCCTAGTTTGAGATCTGCTGGAGTGGGGCCACACCCATAACCAGTCTATGGACATACCATATCATAGTTTTGTCAGAAGTGTCATTAAGGCTGTGGTCTGACCAAGCTTGCACAGATAAAGCCACCTTTATTCGTCTTTTTATAAAGACTAGTTGCGTAATGGTTTTTTCAGTGTCAAAGATGCTGTTGGCATGAGCTGCTGTTACCTTGGTGAATGCTAAGAGGCTGTTATCCTTGATAAATTATTTATTTTATGTAACAAAAACTCCAGACAGGCCAGACGAAGTTGAACTGCTTCCTCAGGTGTTGCAGCTTTAATAAGGAAATGATTTGTGCTCTGATGCAAATAGTCAGATTTCTTTCAAATCCATCCATCATGCAGTGTCTATAAGATAAAGCGTTGTCTCTCCCTCTGCTTCATAGTAGCGTAGGGCCAATAAAACTCTGTTACAGACATCTTCTATTGAGCTGGGAACTGCAGGAGCCAAGCCAAATCCTTTGGCAACGTCAGCAGCTCATTTCTACTGCAAGCGCCTCCTCACACTTTCACCTCACTGCACCAAACATCACGTCTGGAAACAGTCCGCCACATTGTGTATTTGTGGACTCATTATTTTATTTCAATTACAACAATTTCAATGTGAAAACCAAAATAATTAAAGATATGGAGTAAAACAGCTGAACATGTTGGTATTTACTTTGATATTCAAACCAGATACATCTCTCAGCACATGCGATATTCTTTTATTTCTTTTTTCTTTTTTACATTATATTTTTTTTTTGGTCAGGTAAAAAATTATATTTAGAACATTTGCCACGCCCCCCTTTTAGTCGACTAATTGCTCTGCAGGGCATCCCACCATCTGTCCCAATGCAACTATCAGACAATCTTGTGTTAAACCTTATTCCTGTGCAGCCCACTGACTGTGACGAGCCTCAATCCCCTCAATCTCATGAATTCCTCTTCAGGTTCATTCTGAGCTTGTTCCATTCAAATTAGGTTCAGAGCGTCCGTCTTAGGGAAGTATAGATGGATATGTATAAATAGATTGTTTGGAGGACTCACAGTTTATTATAGTTTGTACAAAGTCACACATTCAATATCCCTTTGAGGCAAATTGAAGAAATCTTAAGTTTTACTGAAGAGGCCTATTTCACAGTAGTACGAGACAAAGTGTTCCAGAAATTACTTATTAGTGTTAGAGAATTACACTGAAATCAAAACACCATAAAAGTGCCTTTATCCAAAAGGTTCTTATCTCATTTCTCTCAAGGCCTTAAGACATATGTGCTATCACCAAAAATATCTTTATATCCTTATCTGCTTGCCTGAAATGGTCTCGTTTTACATAAACCCACCGCTTGTGCTCATTGCTGCAGTCGATGATCCAGTTAGATTTGATGTCATGATCCAAATACATAAACTTATTCAAAAAACGTATTTCTTAAGACAGGTCTGCCCTATTCATTTTAACTGGAAGTTGATTGAATGCAATGATGTGAATGTTTTTCTGCATTCCCCTCATTTCCCCATTGCCTACACTTGTGCAGGTTTGAAATCAAATACATGTAAAAAATTCATTATGTCTTCATTTATGTTTAGGTTTGAAATCAACTATCTAACTTTTAACTGGAACAGGGAGAGGGAGATGCAACATGGTGCAAACTCCAACAGAAGTGAATCTTTGTGAGAAATGGAAAATATAACAGAGACTTCAGGCTTGATGAAAAAGACATAAGTTGAAAGAAGACGCTCAGCAGACATCACTATAGACCCACAGATATCAAGCACAAAGGTTATTGTTTTACTGAAAGAGGATAAACTTCAACACATGTTACTTTGGGAGAACGGATTCAGTGTCATCGTGCAAACTATTCTTTCATTTTTAAATTTGTGTGTGTGTTTCAGGTCCAGGATGTGGCGGTCAGGTCCCACTGTCCTTGTGTCTCTGCTGCTGATCTGCTTTGACTCTGGTGAGTTTAAGATCTCAAAATGTCCTTAGGTTTTTTTTCCCAAACTCAGCTCAATGTGAATGTTATTGGTCAAAGAATATTTGCTGAAATGTTCATAAGGCCGAGATGGAACTTCTCCAAACCCATTTAAGTTTCTGCAGCCATCTGTTCGATTTGGTAGTGTGCTAAAACCTAAACTACCAAAATACCAGAAACTTTAACAGTGTCAACTTGATTTGATCGGTCAAAACATTAATCCTCATCATTCAACCACTTGTTTAATTACACTTTTAGATACTTGTTGGGGTTATATCATGTGTTTCTGTTGGCTTGTGGAGATTTGACTTCTGCCTAAAAGGTTTAGGAATACTACAATCTGATTGGTGGAAGATACATCACATTTTGTTACATCCAATTGAAAAAAAAACCCAACACAAACACAATCCTGAAAGTGCTGTTGTTTTATTTTGTCTGTGTTTGCTTCACTTGGTCTCACAACACACACTCACAACACATACACAGCACTCAGAGCAAAAAGTATCAATATCAAAATAGTAATTTGGATGCAAAAAGGCTTGTACTTATAAGCTGTATGCTTTGGGGAGATACTGTTCACATTAACTCAGAATCTCGTCGTGCCGTTTGGACCTCTGTGCGCTCTGGAGGGACATCATTGAGATGGTGTGTGAATGACAGCGAGTGTCCTTTCATGTCCTGTGCAGATTTCTGTTCCTTCTTCAGAGCCTTTTATTCACTTCCATCTGTCAGTGTCGTGCTTTGGGCCACGCTTGTCATCCAACAGACTCCCAATTTCCCACAGCTTTCTATTTGCCTCCATAAACTGTGCGCTGGTGTTTTAGCGTACTGTTTTTAATTCACCTCTCTCCATTATAGACATGGAGCTTTGTGGTTTTGTCTGATTCTTTTAAATGCAACAGACGTATGCAGCGCTCGCAGGTGTTCTCAAGAGTCTATTGTTCATTCTAAACATAAATGACGGTTTTGCTGGGATTTCTAAATCAGACCAAAAGTGTTGATTACGTGAATAATGACAACAGTCTGTACTGACACAAATAAACATAATTATTATCCTTTTGTTAACAACCTTTGGTGTTCTCGCCTCATGTTTTGTTTGTTTGTAATTGATTTTGGAATATTATTTATTTTTATTATTTATCTTTATTAAGGACACTATACAACACGGTCCATAGTTAAAAGAAAATATCCAATACACACAGTATATTGCATATTGAAAAAAATAAACAAATATATATATATATATATATATATATACAGGAAAACAAAACAAAAAAGTGAACATTACAGCTGATGTACAGTATAAAGGCATGACCTTCAGTAAGTCCATAAATTGGAGGTGAACAGCAGTGAGCAGAACTCAGGGCTGACCAGAGTCTAAACAATTGCATTTTTAGAGTTCCTCAGATGACACATGAATCTGAACTGAACATTACGAAGAGATGCAGAACAAGTATATAGAATAGTTTCCTGTCAACCTTGGGTAAAATGAGCTCCTACTGAAAAACAAAAAATGCTGAATTAGTACTGTATGTTAATTTTCAAGACAATTCCAGAGATCTTTTTCAACCAATAAAAAAAAAACACTGTCACAAAAAAACACTCTGTCACATCTTTAAATGATTGTACTAGTATTCTTATCAGTTTACTCTCTCCTTTGAACTGTTTCCTCTCATCCTTGTGTGAACATCAGGGGCACTGTCCACTGTGGTGAACATGCGGAGGGTCACTCATCCCACAGTAACGCAGCCGTTGGCAGGAACAGCTGTTTTGCCTTGCGAGCTCACACTGCACAGCTCCAGCAGCGAAACGCCCCACCTGGTCTGGACTCGAGTCCGGCTCCCAGCAGGTGGTCAGGGCCCCCCTCTGGAGCAGACCGTTCTCTCAGCTAAGGGTAAATCCACAGCTGTAACAATCATACACCGCTCTGCATGTTTTGTGTTTGTGATGGTATAACCCTCTCTCCTCCGGCTGAAGGTGATGTCATAAAGGTGAACAGGGCTTTCAGCGGACGTGTCAGTCTACCGGGATACTCTGCCAATCCCATGAATGCTACCATGGAGATCTCCGGTCTACGCACTAACGACTCAGGCACTTTCCACTGTCAGGTTGTCAAGGGAGACGCCTATGAGAGAGACAACGTTCCTCTGGTGGTCTCCGGTATGTTCTGCAGATGCAAATGTCTCATTACTAAAGGTCGTCTCACTCAACATTATTGACTTCATTTGCATTAGGGCCGGGCTAAGACAAAACAAATCTTGATCTATTTTTCCTAACAATCAATTTCCAATACGTTGTTTTGTGATTTAGTTGAAAACAAACAGTGTAACCAACATGAACAAAATCTATATTATTCATTGACAAACTTATTTAACTGTGGATGATATTTAAGATGAGACACATTAGAAAGTGAGGTAAAAATGTAGATAAGAGAAGGTCCTCGCAGCTACTGTGCTCCATGTATCACTTGTTTCCAGACCTCAGTGGATCTAAAACATGCTGCCCCTCTCACTCTCACTGTCACATGATTGGTGGGGGGCTCATGAGAGAAGGGTTGTCATAATACTAAAATTACAAACAAGGCAACAGACTCAATACTCATTACCATACCATATCAATACTTTCTATATCAAGAGTTAAGATTTGATTTACAACACCTATGACCACCCGACATGAGAATTCCAAGTGGTCTTTTTAATGGACACCCAGTTACAACTCTTCACATAAGCACAGCAACCATAACACAGGGACAATTATGTTTATACAATTTCAAAATTCAATTAGTCAATGAACGTAGCAGCAGCATCTTGGAATGTTTGACAGTAATTTTATTTTTGAGATGCAATATATTTTAAAGGCTTCTTTCCCAGTTCAGTTCTTGCACAGTTTTTGAAAGCAGATGGATGTTGTGATATTGTGTTCTCAGAGTCACAGTTGTACAAACTCAAGTACATTGAAAGCCCTTTAATAAAAAAGATACAATGTACAATGTTGCTCTCTTCTAATGGAAAGCCAACCTATGTTTTCATAAAGGTTGCAGTGATGGTTTTTAAATCTGTCGCCTGTGAGAAATTAAGGACAGAAAAGTGTGTCTAATGGAGTGGTTCTCAAAGTGGGGGGCAGGGCACAGGAAGGGAGAGAACACCTCAACAAGAAGATACAGTAATGTCACTGTGTTTCAAAACATTTGACCCAAAATGAAGTAAAATAATGCAATACATGAGTGGATTTAGAATGCTTTGATTCCTCCAATAATTATTTCAAAAGCTTTCACAAGTTTTCACTCACATATTTTGGATGTTCCTTTCTCTTAATTTGAAAACCCCTGATCTTCATCATCAAACTTTATAAGAACAATATGCCACACTCCTCCCATCTTGTACTTCTCAAGAAAATCTTCAAAAGTGGTTGTATGCCACATTGAGTTTGTGACCAGAGGTTTTTTTGACCCAGCCGCTTTAGCCCAGATGAAGCTTGCATATAAATAATACTTGTGTAAATGCCTTAAACAAAGAAATCTCACCCTTCTTTGTAGGTGTGCTGCTCCACTACCAGGCCCCCGGTACACGGTACGCCTTTTCCTTTCTGGAGGCGCAGCAGGCGTGTGTGGAGAACTCTGCTCGTATCGCCACCGCCGCTCAGCTGTGGGCGGCGTATCATGACGGCTTCTCCAGCTGCGCGGCCGGCTGGTTGGAGGATCAGACTGTGCGGTGAGAGCGTGGTTCTATGTGTTTTACTGTTTTTGATCTTTCCCTGTCAGCGGTCAATTCATTCACATTCATTTTCATTTTCGTTTTTGTTTTTTTTGTTTGCCGTTCGCAGTTTAAAAGCACATTGTAGTATTATAAATCTGCGGGAAACATGCATCATATCTGTTGCTTGTGCTGAAGCAGGGTTGATTTCTCTTGATGACTCCCTGATGTCTTCACAGTTACTCCGTCCAGTCACCGGAGCTTGGTTGCTATGGACACAAGGAGTACTCTGCTGGAGTGAGGAATTATGGGAAAAGGGATCCAAAAGAGCTGTTTGATGTATATTGTTTTGCAGAAGAATTTGATGGTGTGTATCCTTTTTAAATTCCTTAATACATTTTGTAAACACAGTCTTTTTTTCAGGTCTGTAACAAGTTAATCGCAACTAATCAATTATTTAAAAACCTTGTCGCTATTTAGCAATTTGTTTTTGAAGCATAACTGGACTATAACATGCAAGAAGGAGTTTTATGACTTAGACAGAACTATACAAAATGACTGTTTAAAATGTATTTCTAATCAAACGACCAATTAAAATTAAGAGGTACTTTATTCATGGGTAAATTTCAGTGCTGTATCAAAGGTTATAAAACAGTAGAAATGAGGAGCACGCAGCAAAAGATAAGTGAACAATAACTCTATGCTGAAATAAGATAAAATGTCTAACTTTAACATAATGTAGAAGCAAATGCAAAATCTCTAGCTTTAGCATAATAAAGAAGAAAGTCTAGAATTGCCAGCTTTAGCATTATAAAGAAGCAATAATTAAGTATAAAATCTCTGAACTTAATAAAGCATAATAAACATTAATTTAAAGAATCCTTAATTACAGCCCTAATCTATTTATGAAGTTACATCCAAACTTTTCAATTGCATTTATGTGACATTCTTGCCACAGGTGAGGTGTTCCACTCATCTGTCCCGGGTCGACTGTCCTTGTCCTCGGCCTCTGACCGCTGCGTGTCACTGGGGGGGCAGTTGGCCACAGTGGGGCAGTTGTACCTGGCGTGGAGAGCAGGCCTGGACAGCTGTGCGCCTGGCTGGCTCTCTGATGGCAGTGTACGATACCCAGTCAGCTGGCCCCGGCCCAACTGTGGAGGCAACCAGCCCGGAGTACACACTGTGGCTCCCAACAGCACCGCGGACAACAGCACCGCACTCTACGATGCATACTGCTACAGAGGTAAGGCCAGCTCCAAACACACACTACTCACACTTGCACTGAAGCACTCATGGCCACTCTGAGCATTCGCTGTGGCCCTAAAGCTGCATACATTGAGAAGAATTACTGAATTGTCTCCCATTAAAAAGAAATTAGTGGGAAATCGACCCTAAAATTACTCACAGATCTGTTTCAAAGATGTAAACTGTTGTTGTTCACTTCTTTGGTCATGGTTTTACACAATTGTAGCCTTTTTGCCCCAAGTGTCACTCGAATGGGTCCAGTTTTGTGAACCAAGTATGAACGCTCCCCTTAAGGTGGTTCATAATACAACCTCCAGTGAAGTAAAGCATGAAATTTCAATAAAGTGATGTAAATACTGTGATGGCTTCTGATCTGTGGCCCTCCGTAACGAGTATATATGTAACTGAACAATTGAACACATATCTATAATTACTAAAATAAACATTAGGGCAAAACTGTTTTTGATTTTTTCCCAATAATACAGTGAATTCCAAATTGAATACTTTTCAGGTAAAGTGAAGAATTCGCCGTCCATTTCGCAGATCTACTCGTCTCTGTGGAAGCCCTGGAGCTACCTCTCAGGCGCCACCGGGGCTGGGACTCCTGGCCCTGCTGTGACCAGGCAGCGATTTGGCACGAGTCCAGGTAAGAGATCTCATCACAACAATGTCAGTGATTATCCAACAATCAATGAACTCAAGCTTGTTATTCCCCAATGATTTATGTTTAGGCGGCAGTGACATTTCAGCCTCCAACTGGACAGGGCTGGTGGAAATCGAAGATGAGGCCGCACACAATGGTTCAGATGCATGTAATACAAATGACTGTAATCACATATTAAGTGTACGTATATGAATGAAGACCTTAATCCAATGTTATCACAGCCTTAGATCCCTGGTCTGAAGATTCGTCAGAGTCCTTTGTTAGCCTCAGAATGATCCCTGGACAGTCTACTTTAGATTGGGGGGAACTGCTGGAGCCTGGGCCTGAGTCAGAGGAATTCCTTAGACCCCCCGTGGAGCCCACTCCTGCAGAGAAAAAGGTCAGCAACAGACATAAATCATGATATATACAGGATACACTTATTCCAAAATAATTATAGAGTGTCTGCTAATGTGTTTAGGTGATGTCTAAAATAGTGAACTCCATGTGGAAGCCGTGGAATTATCTGTTAGGAGGAGAAGAAGAGGGAGAAGATGAAAGGACAGAAGTGACCAAAGAACCAGAAGAAGAGAAGGAGAGGAAAGAGATGGAGGATCTGTTGAAGGTTCCCACAACATCACCTGGTGAGTTCATGTCTTGGTTGTGTCTATGGTCTATTTCTATACATTTGTTTACGTCCAGAATGCACCCAACCCTTACATCAACGAACCACTCACAGCTCTCGCTTGTGTGTAACAACCAACACTACCCTAGTTTCTTATTTTTCGTGGATCTAAATTCTCTTTGCAGTAACCATCCATTCAATCAACCAAAGTAGTAATTAAAAAAATATATGATTTTTGTTTTGAATACAAGAACATGTCTTCAACAATTTGTAGGTCATGTGTTATAACTTTGATGGGTGCGTACACAAATTTTGCACCAAATTATAATGCATTTTTGTTCCAGACTATTCCGCTTTCAAACTAAAAGTAGAAAAGTCAAGTGCGAGCTGTGAAAAAGGAGAAAATAAAGAAGTAAAATTGGACCAATCAAATGCCAGTGAAATCCAAAGAGAATGCATTTTTGTTATCCCACATTAAACGTTTACTACAGGTACACGGTATACATGCTAACAACACAACCCTTTAGCTTTTACATAATGTTTGTGAGATGTTCCCAGCAACGGTGAAGGATTTTATGATGCCCTTGGAAGAGCTTCTGAGCTGTGACTGACAGCAGGTGTGACGGTTGATGAGCTCTCCCTGGAGGCTTCTATCACAGAAACACAATCAAATACAGCAATGCTCCATGATCCATACACAACAACTATAGTGAATGCCCTGATTGCTTCTGAATCATCCATTATTATTTGTCTGTTATCTGTTGCTTTAACAAACCTCCATTTGAAGAAGACATTTTTCAGAAGCACATGTATGTAGTAGAGGTGGGATCAAATTAGAAAAATTTGCAAGAGGGAATTCAAATTGATATGGTGAAAATTCTATTCCCGGATGATGTGGAGGAGGAGGATTGCGGCACAAGCTGTATAATGGTGGCACACACTGTTTAAATGTCGGCTGATGGGAAAAAGCTGTGCTGGCTGAAATGTATTTGTGATAAGTAGTAATGAGTATTGTAAATTGTAATGAGAGAAGACAAAAGTGAAGGAGGGTTCTAGTCAGTGTTATCTTTATGTTATTAAAGTTAGCTAATTTAAGTGCTTAATTGTGAACCTTCATAATTATTTCCGTTAATTGCATCTGTGTGTCTTCTTTCCCCCTGCAGGTCTGTTTTCTTGGGGCAGTTGGTTTGGTGGCCAGTCAAAAGACAACCTTACAACACCTGTCGAAGAAGCACCCACTCATGTTTCCACCTCTGCTGAACCTGCATCTCCAAGCGAACAGCCAGAGCATACAACCACCCACACCTCCACCACGGGCGGCCCAGATTGGCTCAGCACCTCCTGGACACAAGGAGACACCACCACCCTTCCCACCAGCACCAGAAGGGACGAGACCACCAGGCACGGGAGGGGCCGAGGCAGGGGCAAGAAGCACAGGGGCGAGGATAGGCCTAAAGTAGAGGAGGAAGGAAGCGGAGAAACTGCAGGGGCCGAAGCCAAAGGCGAAATCCAAATGTCACGTCGACCATCCGGGACCAGCAAACCCCGGGAGAGGTCCAGAGAACGGAACAGGGAGCGAGGCCACCGACGGGGTCATTCTGGTAAAAACACAGCGGCCACCACTACCAGCAGCCCGTCAGAGCCCACCAATTGGTCAGAAAGCAAACACTCGACAACATTCGAGACCAGCAATCCCTCCAAAACCATGTCCAGCACCACAACAGAAACGAGCTCTCAAGACGTCTCGTGGAGTACAAATGGACAATCGGAGTCGGCATCGTTACCATCATCCACATTGCAAACTCAGACATTTGAACTAGAACACAGCTCTTTCTCCTCTCCATCTGCCCCTTCCTCGGACTCCATGAAGTTTCTTGACTGGGTCCAAGTCACTCCCGTGGATCAAAATGGCTCTCAGGAGAATCCGCCCTCAGTGCAGCCCAGCCCACGTAATGACGAAGAGCCCGCCTGGTCCCACACAGTTGGATCTGGTGCCCTGTTACCTGGCAACATGGAAGAGGAGAGTCGCAGAGGATCGGACAACATCAGTGCCATTACGCTGAGTCCAATGACATGTGAGTACTGTGCTTTTCTGTTATGGATGCATGGATTGTAAATGGGGCAGCTATGAAATTCCAGTGTTTAATTTGCTTGTATAGAAAAACGTAATATTTACATAAAATAATATTGTTATTAAAACTTATCCAAGGCCACAGCATTTTTAGAGTCCCTGAATATTATTATTTACATGATCTGGGAGTTAATGAAGTCTGGGCTATACCGATATCATCAGTGAATTTGAGTAAAATCTTCAAAAAATGTAAATATGTGTCTGACATTTTTGGGCTTATGAGTACATGTGGCACAATGACTGAGTGGTCAGTGCTCATAACTTTTTGTGTTGAGTAAGCATGTCAGAGTGGGTTTCCTCTGGGCGCTCCGGTTTCCCCTATCACCCAAAGCATGCTGAGCCTCAACATCTGAGAGTCCCCAGGTGCAGAAACATATAATGACCACTGCTCCTCACAAATTGAGATGAAGATTACGATTATGATTAAGAGATCCTTTATTTGTCCTACAGCGCAGAAATGTCAGTGTTGCATCACAAGTTATATGAACAGTAGGAATGAGGAGCACACAGCACAAGATAAGTGAACTATATATAATAACTATACTGTCCGTCCGTCCGTTTTCTTCCGCTTCATCCGTTGCCGGGTTGCGGGGGCAGCAGTCTAAGCAGAGACGCCCAGACTTCCCAATCCACACACACCTCCTCCAGCTCGTCCGGGGGGACCCCAAGGCGTTCCCAGGCCAGCTGAGAGACATGGTCCCTCCAGCGTGTCCTGGGTCTTCTTCATAACTATACTGATTAAAATAAAACAAAACCTCTAACTCTAGCATCAAAGAAACAAGTATAAAATCTCTGTCTTGAACATAATAAAGCAGTATATATTTTTTTACATTTGGCAAAATAAGAGGCAAGTATAAAGTACTGTGTATTCTAGTGCAAGCAATGTATAATTATATGTTTACATCTGCACATGTTAGCAGCAGTATGTTTACATCTGTACATGTTAGCAGCAGTATGTTTACATCTGTACATGTTAGCAGCAGTATGTTTACATCTGCACATGTTAGCAGCAGTATGTTTACATATGCACATGTTAGCAGCAGTATGTTTACATCTGTACATGTTAGCAGCAGTATGTTTACATCTGTATATTGGCAGCATGAGGCCAGTGTTATTAGAATGATGTGTCAAATGTAGAAGACAAATTTTCCAACTGGGACAATAGAGTACCATAACCTTATCATGATACATAATAATCAACTCGCACAAGCATAATACCACATTGCCAAGTACATGCTGCATACAGCCATGGTGGTATTAGAATAGCGAGTAGAACAGAATAAATTAGTTGGTGTGGAAAGTATCTGTGCTAAAGCCCCACACCGTTTTTTTCTATATATCCGTGAATGCTTTCTAACTAGGCGCTCAAATGTAATATGTCACCTATCTGAAGAATAGTATATCTCTCACCTGGACTATGTTTATTCCTGTATCCATGCTTCTTTATTCTCACCATGATGTGGGGGTGCAGTTTGCAGTCCCTGAACACAATCTGTTGATTAAGTCTGCAGTGCGGGCCACATAGGAATGAGCTGCGGGCTTGCCACCTGGTTTACCACTTATTTCTACCCCGATAATGAGAGCACAGGCAGGAAGCGTCCTATCTCTCTGCAGTAGACTGGGCCTGAGGGAGACTACCATATTTCTATGCTGATTTATGTTTGCAAAGCTTAGTGCCATCTTTGAGCCGTGATGATGGAAAACAACTGTAAACGGTATCAGCAGGAAGCCAAGGTTAATGGGAGAGACCGGTGGCGTTCATTTTTTTTTCTGACTTCTATTGATTGACACGCTGTGAGTTACAGGCGGGTAACGTGCTCCACAAATACATATGCGGATCTGACATATGACTGGTCCAGTGAGGCCTGTGTGACTGCCCTTTCAAAAGTATCACAGCAAAATAATCAATTTAGGAATGATTTTGTCTGGTCTCCATGCGGTATTAATGAAGTGTTAGGTCTGTGTTTAACTATAAAGGGCGTAATGTTGCTGTGAAATAGTGAGTATTAGAATATAAGTAATTTATTCCATTTCTATATTATTAAAAACAGGCTATGTAACAAATACACAGCACAATTTGAAACTGCTAGAACTTCCAGATCTGCGATTTTTGACTGCTCCCATTCCAACCAATAGAATTCTTAAAGATTCCCCCCAAAATTGTTTTGTTTTCACCAGATTTATCAAAAGTAGTTTTTTTCAACCTGTCCTGTACTCAATTTTAAGTTTGTTGAAAGGCGAATTGCTGCAAGTAAGGTGTGTGTTGCTATAGTAACTACTTGCAACATTAAAAGTTACTTTCATAAAAAACCATGACATAGAAAAAACTACACATAGACACAGAAGACCAAAAATGTATCTACGCGACTGAGTGATTCCTCTTCCAAAACTAAAAGCCGAGTTCTAGTGTTAAGAACAGGTCTCAAGTCCTGCTCCTATTTACATTCGTTAATAATTGTTCTAAGGGCTTGGTTTTGGCCTCGAGGACTCAGTTGAAATCAAGTGGATCAGTGTCACATCTCCATGAGCGTATCCAGCCCACTGTGCACCAGTATCTTCTGCACCAGGAATGAACCAACCCAGCTTTTTATCTCAAGCCTTCCATCTTCATGAATTTGATAGAAAAAAATTGACCAAATCGCAGCTAACTCGCTACAAAATGGATCCAACTGAGTGTCTTTGTATGATTATTACTATTTTATGACCTGTTTCATATGTGAACATTGGATTAGATCAGCTGAAAGGCCCAAACAGGATTTAGCCTTAGCCAATATCATAGATCAGAAGTCTCCAACCATTTTTGATCAGGGAAATACTGAGAGAAAGATACTCGCTTTTGTGGACATAATATAAACACAGACCAATTTACCAATACACTGGATACAAATATTTGATATACATGATGAGCTATAGGAGTCCTCTGTCATGGAACCAATACTCGATCCTACACATCTCCCTGAGTCAGCACCAATATTCATCATTATCGGTCTCGGTGCATCCCTAACACCTGTATTACGTGGAGTAGTATTGGTCAGGTCTGTTTGTGCCGCTCATGTCGGGAGCAGAGCAGGGGATGAGCTTGTCTGCTCCTTCTACACTCTATTGATTTTTCTGCACCACTTCCTTTAATGAACGACCAATCGCACTCGGTTTATCTTTCACACACACCTCCAGCCGCTGTACTCAATCCTGCTGCCGTAATACTTCATATTGTCTGGTGCGGACCGTGACCTTGACTGGCGCAGAAGCCTCTGGAGCACGTTCCACCGGACTGAGGCACATCCAATGAAACGCATGGTTGATTTTGGCGTCTGACTTCAGCACAATTCCGAACATGAGGGTGGGATTATCTGCGGGAATGCATAAATTTAACCTTGTATGCTCCGGAAAGCCTTACGATTAAAAAAATGTGCCGTTTATGTTGTATTTATAGGCGCTTATTTTTGTTTTTTTGCTTCTTGTGAAGACCTGCATGCATACACTACACAGATATATGCAAATATGCTTTAAGTAAGTGATTCTCATCTTAATATGTGTGCAATTTCTTATAAATATTGTCAATGGAACAAGTCTAACCTACCCTAACAGACATTTTTTGCCTAGTTTAAAAAAAGTAACTTCCTGGTTGGACATGGGATAGAAATGGGACATATGTATTTACCATAGTAATAACGTAACTAAAAAAGGCTCAAAGCTGTCACATTTATTCAATAGTGATGGCATGAAAGGAAGTAATATTGAGACAAGATATCATGTTTTTCATCTGCATAAATTGTCCTTTGAATTTGGTGACGTAAGTGTAGGGATTCCTCTGCATTACTTTTATATATTTTGAAACATTTACGCACACTTTTTGTTACAAATGTAAACTTGATTGGTGTAAAACTATAAATATTTACTTCAAGTTCTGACTCAAAAAACAAAGGATTTACAGGCAAAAAGTGATCTGTCACAAAAAAAATTTTTTTGTATGAAAGCAATATAGATTATACTCAGAATCAGAATCAATTTATTGCCATTTGCAGACAAAACTACATTAGTTTGAATGATACTATCTGTATCATTTTGTCACACGATAAGATGACCTTTCTTAAAGCCTTTACGAACATTCACTTACAAACATTCTCTAAACTCCGGAGAACTAGCTGTTTGTACACAGTCCGAGCCTTTTTCCTTTTAACTCTGGCGAAGAATTAAAGAGCTGCATTTTCTCTGAGCTACGCACTCTGTTTTAGAGCGTGCTTTAGATTTGCTTTTAGAAGTTCACAGCCACTGCACTGGCGTACCCTCACCCACCTTTAGATCAGCTTTTTCCGACAGAAAATAGAAAACAGAGGTCCACACTGAGCCAACCAGCCTCGGCCTAAAGAATCAAAGAGTGACTAACAAGTATGGAAAAGATTATGCATTCAAAAATGTGAATCAAACCCTTTCTGACCCTCTGGCCGCAAATTACCCAGATCTACCATCGGTCTTCCTGCAGCCCATGGAGAAGATGCTGAGGGTTAGTTATTAGACAGAATTTGCCTGGAGGCTAATAGCAGCGTATTGATTTCTGCTCATTGTACCATGTAAACACAACCACGCCAACCTGCTGCGGCCCTCTCCAGCCACCCCCTCCTTCTAAACGGTGTCAGGGAACAAAGCCACCCACGGCTGAGCACAGCGGTCCAAACCAACCAGCGTCGCTTTTCAGGAAAACCTTTACGCCATAATGAGCGACAGAGGGGCGAAACACATGGCCGTCTTTCAATTGATATGGAAATGGCTGTTTGTGGAGCCGGGACCACACACACGCACCATTTACGGGCTGAATAGTTCAATTCTATCAAGGGCGCCTAATGTCTGAAGTTCTCACACTGCCCAATCAGCCAAGGCCCACTTTTCCATATGGTCGCCATGGTAACGGAGGCAGTGAGTGGCTGAGCAAGGTGACATTTACACTGAATAGTAACGAATGCTGTAGTGCTGAGATCACTCAATGGGTCTTCTTATTTTTGGATGCGAGTTGAGATTGGACCAAAAAACTTAATTCATAATATTTCTACTCGATAAAGCCGGATGGTACTTTGCTAACCTCCAGTGATTTTTGGTGTAGTAATTGAGGATATGCTGCTATGTGATGTGGCCTAGGCTGTATACTTTTGTTTTATTAATTTTGACAAACAAACAAAGAGTGATACAGGAGATAAGATGTGAGACAAAACAAGGAGATAAGACAAGGAAAAGATGTGACACAAATAGTGGACTCTTCTTCTTTTTAGATGTTGTTTTAGACTATTCAGGATTAAAATGATCAGGCAAATATTTGTGGTTATAACTGTTAATTCTCAAGAGCATTCATATGTATTAAAAATGTATCATTATTAGTTAAAAAGGCATGCACCACAAATATTCTTCTTGAGTTCAGCAATTTTTCACATTTAGAAAACTCTTTCTGTTGAGACAAACATCATGTGGTATTAATGAACAAAACAGCTTTAAGACAACCAACTGCACTTAAAGTAAATAAGAAATCTCTTTGAATCATCTTACGTACTATATCACTCCATTGGCATAGTTTTAATCTTCTCAAATCAAGATATGGTCATTTTAACTTGCTGAGATATTGTTTTTTGCAGTGCATAATTTGTACAATATCATGTCTGTAGCAGTGACTTGGTTCACACACCAAAGCACAAAAGATTTACAACGAGCTCCTATAACTAAACTGTCTCTTCTTGTCCTCCCATACCCGCTCCATCTGTGCCAGTGGGTGCTGAGGTGGAGCCCTGCGTGACAGACCCGTGTCTCCATGGGGGAAAGTGCCTTCCTCAGGGGACCGGCTACAGCTGCTACTGCCCACAAGGATTCACTGGAGAAAACTGTGAGATCGGTGAGTGATTCCAGCACACGTCCCACGCCATTCAATCAGCGCGTTGCTTTTACCTTCACATACTGCGGGTCGGAGGCCAGAACGGAATAGAGCGATCGTTCATATTCTTCAGACTGGCAGCAGTTTGTCAAAAGGTCAATTGAGTCCAAAGCATTAATTTACATCAGGTCAATGCCAAAGTCGGTGGTTTTGTTTTGTCAATACACTTTTCATCTAAAGGAGCTGTAAATTTCCACCGCTGAATGAGCCATGATGGTTTTTTGTAGTTCAAATATGACTCTGCTGTAAAAGATTGTTGGATTGAATGCAAAAAGTAGATGGTTCAAGGCAAGAAAGATTACCATTTTAAATTACTTAAACCTAATGTGTGTCTCCATATACAAGGGTAGCGTCAAACATGATGTTGATTAATGTTAATTTTAATAACAGCAAAAATCATTCATTTCAAGGAAAATCTCCATTGAGAAAGCTGAATGCTCCTCACGTGAGTCTCTCCTTTTGGTTGCTAGTTTCATAAAGAAAATACAGTTAAATATGACTACCAAAAGGCCAGCACAAAATCAGCAACTCCCGATGGTTTTTCTGAGAAACACTGGTTGGAGTTCCTTTTTACTCTTTTACTCTATGTCTGGTTCATTTGGGGAATAAATACATCACATATGTGTTTCAAAATGGTTCCTGGCCACAAACTGTATGCACTAGTGTGGCCTGGATTATTTATTTTTTTATACCTCTGTCACATCTTTAGATCAGCTTTTCCTTACAGAAAAGTGAAAAACTCAGTGAGAACGTGCTTACCGAGCTCCTACAACAACACCAACGCACCCGCCGTAATCGCTCAGCCGATCCCAACCTCCTCACTACCATCACCCGCACTAACCGCCGGAGCTTGGAGGACAGAGCCTTTGCCTTTGCCGCCCTCTGGAACTCACTACCTTTAGAACTTCTGACTCACTGCCAAACTTTCCAATCAGTACTCAAAACCCATCTTTTCAAACAAGCTTTTCCGTAAACCCCCTTTTTTTTAAATTGTATTTTATTCCCCATGTGAAGCGTCTTTGAGTGTCCAAAAAAGCGCTTTGTAAGTTTGATGTATTATTATCATTATCTATCCAACAGTTTCTCCATTGCTCGACAAACACAACATGTCTTTCCGCTCCTGCACTTCCTACATCATCCTGAGAAAAACGTTTGCACCTCAAAGCTCGTCATTATAAAACACGGGTTATATGTGATGCTCAATATTCACGGTTGCGCAGGTTCCATGAGCGACTGACGGCTTCATGTGGGTCTTTGCTTGAAGGCTGATTATGGATTTGCAGAATTTGCAGAATTATCTCTCGAAGAAGCTACTCATTCCTTTGCATAATTCATGAAGCACACAACAAGACTGTTTTTTAATCGAGCAACAAAGATTGGTTTGGTTTTAAGTGGAACTTTTGTGATGCAGGTTATTAACTATAGATTAGATGGAAATGTGGGTGTTGCAAGGTCACCCAAGGATTTACTGCATTTTATATTCAAATGTGAAAAGATGCAGGTGTTGGCAGTGGTTTGATGCTTGATGCTTGTGTGTGCTTGTCTTGTGTTTCGGTGTTTTAATGTACCCCCACTGGTGCTCAATCTGCAAATTACGTTCCTTTTAGGTGATATATATATTCAAGTTATTTGAATATATGTATTGGGTTCGAACCCACCATTAAACCTAGTTCATGACTCCCACTGATAACGTTGTGTCCTTGGGCAAGACACTTAACCCCACTTTGCCTAAAGCCCCCGCTACAAGATCAAGACTCGTGTGGACTTGGCTCCTGTGGACTCACCACCTGCAGGAGGATCTTTTAAGGGCTGGTGCTCTGTGTACTGGGTGCAGCTCTGACTGCCACCCCCCCGACCCAGAAATGGATTAAGGGGAAGAAAATGGATGGATGGATTGATGGATGACTTGTTTTAGTATGTACTGGATTGATATAGGTTTAATACGAATATAGAAAATACAGTTGTGAAAATTATCAAAAATCAGATAATGATTAATACTAAAACTGGCACTAAAAACTAGATATACTCATTTTAGCAAGTATTTCTACAAAAAGTACATAAACAAAATCAAAATAGTAATTTCTTGAACATATTTTGATACAGTTTGTGGTTCAAAATTATAATTTAAATATCCATGGTATCGGAATTGGTGTAGAGTATAGAGTAGGGTAGTAGAGTATATCTTTTTTATAATTGTACTTTGTACTCTACAAAAGTAGATTTTGACAACACAATTATAAAAAAATACTTGCTGAATTGTTTCTACTTTGCATGAGCTTTTTTGCTAATGTATTGTATTTATTTATGTGACAGGGACATAAATGTATATATTATAGCCAAGACTAATTCTCAATAGATCTGAATGTCTGAGAGATAGATGGGGATTGTTGGAAGCTTCAATGTGCCAGAACGTTCGGCATCTTGCTTCTGTCATCGCCGTGAGTGGAGTGAATGGGGACAAATCTAAAGTCCAAAGACATTGTGAAGTGCTTTGTGTGACCTTTGTCTGTGAAGTGCACTATAAAAATACATACTTAGTGAGTTACTTAAAGAGTTCCAGAGCTTAACCCCCTGGACAGAAATCACTCACTTGCCAGAATGATGCTTTCCTGCTGTAACTTTATGAAGGCAATGAAAAAAATAAAAAACAATCTTTTACCTAATTCAGGTTCCCAGCCTATAAAGGCCTGGTGACTCATTTGAACATATGAGAAATAGTACTACTTACTGTATATTATTGCTCTTGATTGGCCCTTCTTCCCTTTTGAGCCATTAGCATTAAGAACTTGCACACCAGTCTACAGCACTGACGCTATATCATGGGTTTCAGCAAAAAAAAATTCCCATTTATGAAATCACATTTAGTCACCATTTAAACTGTTTTTGTGTTTCATTGTTGTCAATATGCAAGGGATGACAGCGAGTAATATTGTGAGACAAAGAAAGCATCCATTATATAAGTTATATGGGTAAAAGGAGGCTATTTCTAAGCTAATGTATAATTTTACTATTATATTCAGTGTCAGCACCATCTTAAAAGAAAATAGTTTCAGCCTTCCCATCTATTTTTAATCTCATAAACAGCCTCCGAGTGTCACATTAAAAGGCGGCTGTGATCAAAAGTTGTGGATAGATAGAATAGAGGCTATATTTAGTCTGTCATGTGAGTCACTAATAACAAACTGGTATTTAAAATGAAACTGAAAGCTTGCATATGACAGCGCGGGCTTGGAGCGTGTCAGAATCCAGAACGCTAAAAGGTTGCATCTGTTTGAGTGCTCTGTCACTTCGCATCGTCCGCATTGTGACCTTTTCCTCCCCCTTTTTCTGTGGAAATCTTCCGGTCCTGAAGAGACAGACTTTAAACTTTTTTACGTGCATGGCCTTCCTGGAGCTCCCCAGCTGTGAGCCCTATTAGACTTCTGCCGACCGTCATTCTGGTCTGGAAAAACCCCAGAGTTTCGTTGCCACTTTGCACTTGAAGAGATGATGGGTTGACCACAATGACGCTGTGTGTATGAATGATTGAGGAAAGAGCAACATAAGTAAGGATTAAAGAATGAGGAGCAAAGCGGTTGTCTAGTTCAAACCCACAATGCAGCAGTGTAGAATGTCTCTATAGAAATATGAATAGAAAAAAAATAAAAATAGACTTTTGTCTTAAATATCAGCTTTTTGTCTTGCATTGATTAGGTGAGATAAAGGTGTTCTCATATTTGCTCTTATCAGTCAAGAACTATAGTGTAAATTATATTATATTATATTATCTGTTTGGGTGGCATGGTGACTGAGTAGATAGCTCTCCCGCCTCTCGGCAAAAAGGTCCTGGGTTTGAATCCCGGTCGGAACAGGGCCTTTCTGAGTGGAGTTTGCATGTTCTCCCGTGCTTGCGTAGGTTTCTTCTGGTTACTCCTGTTTCCCCTACCACTCAAAATATGCTCAATAGGTGAAATACTCCAGATACGGGAGTCCTGACCAAGCCAAGCATCAACATCTGGAGATGGGTTCCCGGGCGCTGTTACTACGGCGACCACTGCTCCTAGTGGCATCAGGATAGATCAAATGCAGAAGACAAATTACCCTACGGAGACAATATTTTAGACAGGATTTGGGCTTTAACCTCCTCCAGAAAGTGACAATCTAAACTTCACCAATCTTTCCAAAACAAAGGGAAACTAAGAAGGTTTTGAGTCATATGGAAATGTATCTCTCCATCTGTCACAACTATGTTTTAGGAAATTATGAGTTTGGGCATTGGTCATTTGGGCTGATGTCACTGGTGTTCATGTGAGAAGCACTTTCGCCATTTCAACCTTTGTGCCGTCCTCCTTAATGGACCCACCACAGTGATTAGAATATACCATAATAATATTTTTTTTTCAACTGAATTTTGAGGATTTTTCCTAACTCAACCAGCCCTGCGTCATTTAGACCCTAATTTAGGGTATGTATCTTCAGATTTAACGTTACAAGGTACATACATAGGTTCTTTTATTCTTTTCATGAACATGCATAGTTTTATAAGTAACATATGTGACACAATATCTTTTAAATTCTTCAAAAAAGCTAAAATCTTGCTGTAATTTGTTTTATACGTAAAATTAATATCTTCTTTTATCATTTTGAAAAGAAATAATTGTCAGCTCAAACACATACACAGACACACACTACTGTACTATCTTCACTATTGCTATGTGGTTAAATCTGTTATTAGGTAAATATCGTATAAGAGATTTGATAATATATTGAAGAGATGTATTGCTATAATCATTTTCGCTTTTGCCACTGGTAGAAGTACTATATAAACCCAACAAAAACCTATTTTGAGTAAACATAATTAACGGAAAACCTGAGGAGAAACATACTCACAGCAAAGTGACTTATTCAATACTTTAGAGCTCAAATATTGTCGTATTGAAATGTAGACGGCAGAAAGCATCTCAGTTTCCCAAGGAGAACGAAGATAATAAATAATGAAAAGATAAGTTTGTACAGTGAGCTTTGCGTGTTTATTATTAGAATATAAATGAAAGTCCATTGTAACCCACATTCAGGTTGTCATGCACCAGTTTGAACACCCACACATCCTGGCTTCTCATTTGGTCCTGATAAAATTGGCACATGTTTTTTTCCTCTTTTCACAGATGTTGATGACTGTCAGTCTGAGCCGTGTGAAAACGGAGGCACTTGCGTCGACAAGATTGATTCATTCGCCTGCCTCTGTCTGCCCAGTTATGGAGGAGACACGTGTGAAAAAGGTGAAAGAAAATACTGTAGTGTTTTGCAGTGTTAAAGCTTTCTCCTCACAGCAAGAAGGTCCTGGGTTCTCTGTGCGGAGATTGGTTTATGGGGCTGCACAATTCTAATTGTAATATTTCTGCGATTGCGACGCCATTTTGATTATCCTTTATGTATGAAAAGTCACACTTTGTTCCTAGTAAAAGTCTACATATGAAAGCATTACCTTCACCTTTAATGTAATATTATTTTAGTAGATTTAAGACCTGAGTTGAACTACAATTTGACAGTTTTGGCTTTTAGATATTTCATTTGGAATGATAAAATACTGCTTCGGCTCGACAAGTCAAAATATAGTCCATTGACAAATCTTCAAAATGATTTGATATCAAAGTTGAATGACTTTTTTGCATTATTTTTGGCCTCATTTTTGTTTCAAAAGAAATTAAATTGATTGGTGATTGCAACAGAAAATTGCAATTTGAATTCCATTGCGATTAATAGGTCAGCACTAGTTTGCATGTTCTCCAAGTGTCTGTGTAGGTTTCCTCCAAGTGCTCCGGTTTCTCCTACATCCTAGTGAGAATGGTTGGTGGTTGGTGGAGGCCTCCATCACTGTGTGTGGAGTATTGGATAAATGCAAACAAAAAATGTAAAAGGCTTTGAGACTCAGTGTGAATATTGTTTGTACTGATAACGTTTTTGCAGAGGATTTAGAAAACACGGTTATGGTTTGACATGACAAGACCAGCAGGGGTCATGTAGAGGTCATGTAGAGGTCAGATCACTGAGGCCTCCTGAAGAGCTCCATCTGACTAGAAAAAACCGAATCATTTGATTGTGCACAGCCATCTCGCAAAAAGAACATATCTACAGTGAGGTTGTAGCTCTTTTGCTGAACCATGAGCTGCGGTGGCAGCTTTGGAGTAATGAGGATTCATGTAGATTTATGGTTTGTGGTTACAAATGGATCTCCGGTGTCAATGAACAGCAATAATACAAAAGACAGAGAGAGAGAGACCACTGATGATAATATATTTCACCTTTTAAGAAGCATAACTGAAACATTTTAAACTATTAATTCATTGTGATCCATGTCTTCTCTTCATCCTGCAGACATTGAAGGCTGCGAGCACGGCTGGAGGAAGTTCCACGGTCACTGCTACAGGTTACAATTGACACACTATATCTTCATGTCCAACTTTATTGATCCATCGGAGGATATTCCCAAATTTTAGGAAATAATTGCCCTCTCCATTTTTTGAACAAAACTCTCTCTGGTCTTATTTGACAAGTATGTATCGAATGATTGACAATTAGGAGGACCAATAGACTTGAGGATCCACCCGGAAGTAGAAAATCCTCCTATATACCTTTAATGTACAAAAACACTGGACAAAGTAAATCTGATATATTGCTTTACTGAAGTAACTAATTGCTACTTAAAATCTGAGTAACTAAAGTGAAACATTTTATAGATATAATATTACTCAAACTCTACTGATGCAATAGAGTCATGTGTCTTTGACTGAAAGTTACTAATCACATTATAAAGACTTATATTGAAGTACAAAAATATGAACAAATTTTCCCCTTGTTTTACCAACAATATGCAACAGCTACTGTATAACCTTTATTGTCTTTGACCGTGTTTGTGCAGATACTTCAGTCACCGACACACATGGGAGGATGCAGAGAAAGACTGCAGAGAGCACAGTGCGCATCTCTCCAGCATCATATCTGCCACTGAGCAAGACTTCATCAATGGTATGGATCAAGAAGGACTTTGGAGAAGAAAGTATTGCGCACAAATATTATAAAAAAGTTTAAAGAAAGCATCGCGCCCTCAAGCTGCAGACCTGAATTTATTCATTTCCTTTATTTAAGACATTTTGTCCACAATGCCTTTGTGGTGCATTCGGCCAAGATATAAGGATGTTAACCGTCACTGACCGTCACTGACCGCCACTGACCATCACTGACCGCCACTGACCGCCACTGACCGTCACTGACCGCCACTGACCGTCACTGACCGCCACTGACAGCCACTGACCGCCACTGACCGCCACTGACCGCCACTGACCGCCACTGACCGTCACTGACCGCCACTGACCATCACTGACCGTCACTGACCGCCACTGACCGCCACTGACAGCCACTGACCGCCACTGACCGCCACTGACCGCCACTGACCGCCACTGACAGCCACTGACCGCCACTGACCGCCACTGACCGTCACTGACCGCCACTGACAGCCACTGACCGCCACTGACCGCCACTGACAGCCACTGACCGCCACTGACCGCCACTGACCGTCACTGACCGCCACTGACCGTCACTGACCGCCACTGACCGCCACTGACCGCCACTGACCGCCACTGACCGTTGGTCTGTAACGGAATACATGTAACGGGAGGCCTTTTTCTATGTATTTCTTTTTGTGGTGTTCAAAATAGAGTTACTTTAAAACAAAGGAATACCATCAAATATATATTATGCTGAAAACCTATTGATTACGTCTATTTAAGGGATGTATGAGAGTGTAAAAATCTTTTCAAATTAACATCGGAAAAAATGCAAAAATATGATGCAATAAAAACCCCACATCATGGGTACTGAGCTGGGGGACGATATTCATTGATGCACGTCATCCCGTCATATACAGACACACTCTCTCAATGCTGGACCTTGACATTCGTCAGTCGACTCCGTTAGCAAAATTGGAAAATAGGTCATTTCTTTCTACACTGTCATCTTCTAACAACACGATCATTTTATTCAAATGAGTGTTTTAAATACATTATAAAACAGGTATTCATGTTTCAGCTTGAGCTGATTTCTATAATAAGGATTTTGATTTGGACAAAGTATGTATAATTAGTCTCCTCTGTGGTAGGTCTGGGTCATGACAATGCCTGGATCGGTCTAAATGATCGCACAGTTGAAGAAGATTTCCAGTGGACTGACCCCAACGATTTGGTGAATATTTGTTTCATCTTTTTTTGTTCATTATATTCATGTTTCTTATTGATTTTGAAACTACATGCGGATCTTCGTCTTTCCTGTGCAGGTGTACGAGAACTGGAGGGAGAGTCAACCAGACAATTTCTTTGCGGGAGGAGAGGACTGTGTAGTGACCATTGCCCATGAGGACGGAAAGTGGAACGATGTGCCCTGCAACTATAACCTGCCCTACATCTGCAAGAAAGGCACAGGTATTCACTCCGAGATTCCACACAGAGAGAGCATGTGTTATATGATTGTGACATCACATTCTGCTCATTTATACTTCATTCCTCAAACATTGGAGATAGATTGTAAACATTGTGACAGTGACCTTGCTAACACTGAGTGTGCTCTGGGCCATAGCGTGAGACAAGAAAATGGTTGTATATAATGGATCTTCAGGTAAAGATTTTATGCAGTTTCTTTCTTTTTATCTAGTTGCTTATGATTGGCTCTTGCCTTCAAAAAAGTACATACGGCTGAATCTAAAAAACTTTTTTTTACAAAAGAGTGGCACTTTGGGCTAGTGGTTAGCACTCTCGCTTATAATGCAAGAAGATCCTGGGTTTCATCTACCCCTAAAAACATGTACAACAGATAAAATCCTCCAGCTCTGCTAATCCTGACCAAGCCAAGCATCTGGAGAGCGGACCCCAGGTGCTGTGCTACAGCGACCACTGCTCCTGACAGAGGCTCAAGAAGCAATGAAGCATGAGTCAAATGCAGAGGACAAATTTTTTCTACGGGGACAATAAAGTGTAATTAAACAAAAAGTCCTCATAACATAACCTATAGATCCTGCAGAGAGGAGATACAACAAACTGTGCTACATACAGAATGTTCAAAATGTTTTTAGACTATTGCATCTATTGCTCTCATGGCATATTTAACTTTCTTATTCTGACTGCGATGCCTTCAGCTCAGGGCTCATTTCACCGACCTGCCACCAATCGAAGCCACATTTTTGTGTCTTGTCAAACCTAAGTGCAGTAGCATTTTAAATAATGATATACTTACATTTTGTACAATGCTGCCATCTACAGACTGAATGTAAGCATACTGATACTACTGCTTTAATATCTGTGTTTTCTTTCTTTTAGTTCTGTGTGGAACCCCTCCTGCAGTGGAGCATGCGCACTTAGTCGGCCGGAGGAAATCCCACTATGACATCCATGCAGTAGTGCGCTACCAGTGCGCCGAGGGCTTCTTCCAGCGCCACATCCCCACTGCACGCTGTCGGGCCGACGGCACCTGGGAGAGGCCCAGGATCATCTGTGGGAAATGTGAGGTTTTATCTTACTGTCTTCAACCGATTACATTTTCTCAGTTTATATGATCGAAATTGTAGAATATAGTCTTACAATTCATATATGTGACCTGAACAATTTTTATTATTTATATACTGTATATATTTATATATTTCAGTTTTGATTCTCTTCTTGACAGACTTTCAAAAAAGCAGTCCATCTGTGTCTTATCTTGAATCTGTCTCTCATGTCCGCAGCCCGCCGCTCACACCGGTACCGGCGTCACCATCACAACCAGCGCCACGAGCACCGCGGCCACAGGAGACACGGCTACTGAACCAAATACTGCTGACCGCCCAACAACCGTCCACCACCGTTTTTATGTTTCTGCATTTATTAGAGCCTCGTCACAACAAGTCACTGATTGGAGTTTTAAACCTGTTATATCCAAGGTCCACACGAACACTTACTCAACCATTAATGAAGATCCTAACATTGAATGAAACTGACTGACACAGATTGTGGCGGATGAATGAACTGCTGAGTCACTTTTTAGTCAAACTTTTGCTTGTGTTTCATCCTAGTTTACAAAGCACATTATGTAATTGATGCAAATCGCAGTCAACTCTTGCTAACCCTTTGCTTTCCATGCGTCCTCAGTGTTGCTTTTCAATAGAGCACTGTTCTATTACTGACATGCTTTTCCTAATACTGCTATGTTTTGTGTACTATTTATTACTAATAATTTGCTAGAACACTCTTTTTTACAAGATGTAACAACATTTTTCTATGAACAGTCCAATATACAGTTATAAATACATCATTAATGTGTTTCATTGCTTCTCTTCCTGACCTTGTAAATACTATTCTGTTGATTGTTCTTGGCTGCTCTCTTGCCCATAGACGGACCTTGTCCAACAAAGTGTCATCCTTGTGGATACCTCAGAATAATAGTCTGGATCAGATTATGTGATACTGTGCTGAGATAACCACTGGATTATAATTGAATGGCAGAACCCCCTCGATCTTTGCACGGCTTTTTCACGATGGGTAGAATGTTACTCTTTTGTCTTTGTCCCTTTGATATTTGCTTCATCCACTCTTTTGGTGTTCTTAAGACTTTTTGTCCTGCTGTTGTATTTCATTCTTAATAAAGTGTAAAAAAAAAAAAACAACCATTGACTGATACATTACAACATAATATTGTAAAAGGATTGATGACGATGGTGGCAAGAGCTCTGGTGTGTGCCGTCTTCTCTGTCTGGTGCACACTGGGGTAGTCTTGCACAGTTTTTCCAATGTGGTTTTACTGCAAATGGCAAATAAATGAATCTGAATCTGATGAGCACTGATCCAAGAAGGTGATTCAATCGGCCAAAACCCCTCTGAAAGCCTGATGTGTCATTTATGTGACGCTCACGTAGATCCAGGGTTCATTTCTTATCTTTCTAAGCTGAAGTTAACTGGGCCATTGACTTCCATGATGACTTCACCCACAGGCATCAGATAAACACACTACACAATACTTCACAGTTGTTTTAATGCTACAAATGTCTTTACGATATATTAGTATTATAAACAAAGAGTGTATGTGCAAAAGAGAGGCTGTGACTTGAGTGAGAACGGCAGGATCAGCAGTATGTTTCACCTGGAAGCAGAGCGGATCTCACGTCCTCATCAGTCCCATATCAGTGTCCAATAGTCCAACAGTTTAAACAGGGAGTGTGTTGGCAGAGAAAGCAGCTTCCCCATGCACACAACAGCCACATAGTAATCCAAAGTTCTGTGCTCGCCGTGTGCTCTCTACTGCTTCTTCTTGTCGGTACTGGTTTGTCCTTTAGGAACAGGTTTCATAAAATAAGCAGGACTGGTGATGCAGCGCAGGGCCAGGACCGAGGGCACCACAGCCAGCAGCACGTTCAGGGCAATAACAGGCCACCATTTGTCTGTGGGGACGCGGTACGTGAAGGGAGTGCGCGAGTGCACCGAGGCTCCGATGTGGCACCACTGAGCCTGAAGCAGCAGCAGGAGAATAAACTGTTACTCTTTATTCTGTTATGAGACAAGTGTTTCAAGAACTGGGCATAATATTATGTTGGAACACACAAATATATCCACTTATTTTTGCAGGATTATTGAAACAAGGCAACATGAAGTGCCTTATTTCAATAATCCTTTGACCTGCATGTTGAATTTATGATCAATGATTTTCAGCCTTCTCTATGGGATTAACTATACATGATGTAGTAGTCGTAGTAGTGGTAGAATTTAAAAAACAAGACACAGAATAAACAGAAAGAAAATGCACACAACACAAGCACGACACACGACAAGACACAGGCCTAAACACTCTCTGACCACACACCTCACACCCTCTTTTTTCTCTATGCTGAAGTCATGTGAAAGTATGTATATATACTTTAAAACAACAATTGTGAGACCTGTTTGCTGTGTGTACATTTCTCAAAACAATACAATTACAATACATTGCTCAGGTGGTGGAATTGATAACAATCTTAAGAATTAATAATAATCACACAATAATAAGTACCCAGGCTTCATTATGTGTTGGATATTTGCAGAATTTGGATGTTTTTCAGTTATTTTTTTTTTTTTTTTAACAATAAACGATATGATCAATAGTCAAATGCACATTTGCAAAACAACTATCATAACAATGTCCATGTTTATCAAAAAGTGATTTTTGAATGAATTTCTTTTTGAAATTTCATTATATTTGTAATGGTTTTTTTTAAAATATTTTTTTCTGGAGAGAGGGGTTTCGTTTGATTGTTTTGGAAAACTGAAAATCAATGAATAAAATATAAAAAAATAAAGTGATTTTTGATACCTGGGCCATGGCACCAGCGAAGAAGATGGTCCAGTCCAACATCCAGCTGCAGCCGGGCGTCATCAGGCCGTAAATAAAAACGACCATCAGCGGAACAGCGTAGAACAGGTACATCAGCATCTGCACCACAACAGGTCGACTGGAACTTCAAACACGTCATTTTCCCCCAAAATTATAAATTCTGTTTGTGAGTAACATAAATCAAAGAGATATGGGAAGAGTTGGACGAAATTTTAAAGAAACATGCGTGATGGTCCAGGGAACAACTGATGTATTTAAGCGGATCTGGGTCACTGTCTGGATGCAGGATTGGAGGTCTACTTTATGCTCTGAGTGCTTTTATAGTTCATGCATTCATAGATTTATACTGTTTTCATATTGACACAAAAAATCCATATATCCCACAGCAAAAGCAATGTACTTTTTAGCCAAGATTGATAGGTGTTTGTCAAGGATCTTACATCTGAAAGTGGAGTCTCCATAAAAATGACCACTTTTTTGCTGCATTTAACCTCACTGAAAAAATCTTTCTCACTTGGGGTTTCTTTGTATTCTCTCTGTGTACTTTTGTTAACCACCGGAATTGAAAGTGAATTGAAAACTCACCATCACCTTGGGGAAGCCCGCTGGATCTTTGAGGTAAGGCTCATATTGGTAAATGTAGTTAAAACAGGCATTGAAAGGACAGTCCAAGACCACCTGCAACATACAAGTAATAACAATATAGATAGTTACTTTGGCTGGGAAAACATACACGTTCCAATTTTTACTTACAAATCCTCTAAACACAGTGAAGGCAACAGCTCCCAGTAACAAAAGCGACAGAACCAGGTCAACAGGCCGAGACAGCAGACTTTTTTTCTGTTCAGCTACAATCTGGAGAGGATTTAGTTAAATTTTAAATACGGTATGATAGGAATAATGCAAGAGTTTTAATTTACGTTGATTAATATCCACAATACCTTATCTGCAGTTAGAATAGGCATATCTCTAGGTCTGCTGAAGAGCACAGAGGAAGCCCAAAACGGCACCAGGAAAAAGGGGGTATTCCTCCAAAAGGCAGGTCTGATGTTAGATCCATATTTACCTATCGACAGACAAAAGAAACAATCAATCAATCAATCAACGTTTATTTGTAGAGCGCCTTTCCTACACAAGGCAACGCAAAGCGCTTCACATCCCCTATCACATCATGCATAAATCAAACACATTAAGAGCACAAGATATATTAAAAACATTAAAAATAAAATCACAAAAATTAAAAACCTTTAAACATTAAAATCACAGATGGGACTAAAATCATAAATAGTCACAGTGCATTAAAAAGATTAAAGATAAAAACAAAGATGAAAAGATAAAATCATTCAGTTGTATATGCGCAGCTAAACAGAATTGTTTTGAGCCTAGATTTAAAAGATGCCAGAGTAGACGCCTGTCTCACATTCTCAGGAAGACGGTTCCAGACTCTAGCCGCATGAATCTGAAATGCAGTTTGCCCATGTCTAGTACCGACTCTGGGCACTAACAGGAGTCCAGTCCCTGTGCTCCTCAGAGTCCGGGTCGGTTCATATGGCACAAACATGTCATGGATGTACCTTGGCGCGAGACCATGGAGAGACTTGTACACAAGTAAAGCTGCTTTGAAGTCTATTCTCTGAGGAACAGGAAGCCAGTGCAGAGACCTGAGAACTGGACTAATGTGGTCGTACTTCCTAGTTCTGGTCAGGACTCGAGCTGCTGCATGTTGAATGTACTGCAGCTGTTTTACAGCCTGTTTGGACAGACCTGTGAGCAGGCCATTGCAATAGTCTAACCGACTGGAGACAAAAGCGTGTATAAGAGTCTCCAAGTCTGCCTTAGACACTATGTTTTTAATTTTAGCAATGTTTTTTAGGTGGTAATAAGCTGCTGATGTTACAGATTTTATGTGGCTTTTGAAATTTAAGTCTGAGTCCATTATCACTCCTAGATTTCTGACCTGATTTGAGGGTTGTAGAGAGAGAGCCTGGAGGTGACAAATAACGCTCTCTCTTTGTTTCTGGGGTCCGAAAACAATTATTTCAGTTTTGTCGGTGTTTAGTTGGAGAAAGCTATTTTGCATCCAATCACCGATTTGCTGGACACAGTGAAGGAGCGAGTCCACTGGTTCATGCTCTCCTGCTGTCAGGGACACATAGACCTGAGTATCGTCAGCGTAATTGTGATAAGAGACATTATTACTGTGAATCAACTGACCTAGAGGCAACATGTAAATATTAAACAGAAGAGGACCCAGGATTGACCCCTGTGGCACTCCGCAGGTCAGGGCCAAGTGGTCTGAGGTACAGTTTTCGATCTCCACAAAAAACTTTCTGTCTTGTAAATAGGACCTAAACCAGCTTAGGGCGGTGCCAGCAACACCAACCCAGTCCTCAAGTCTCTGAATGAGGATGCCATGATCAATAGTGTCAAAAGCAGCACTTAAATCTAACAGAAAAAGGACTGAGACTTTTCCTGCGTCAGTGTTTAGTTTGATGTCATTTGTTACCTTTATTAGCGCGGTCTCAGTGCTGTGGTGGGGTCTAAACCCTGACTGGAACATATCATAAGCGTTATTGATTATTAAAAATTCTGTAAGTTGTTTATAGGCAACTTTTTCTAGAATTTTTCCCATGAAAGGCAGATTTGAAATGGGCCGATAATTTTTGAGTGCCAGGGCTTCCAGACTCCTCTTTTTTAGGAGGGGCCTGATGACCGCCGTTTTCAAGGCCATTGGGAATGTTCCAGATTCAAGAGACATATTAACTATTTGTGTAAGTGAAGGTAAAAGACTGCTCAGAACTGACTTGAGAAATCTAGGAGGTAATACATCCAGGCTGCATGTGGAGGAACTCAGACTAGTGATTATCTCCTGGACAGTTTCAATTTGTACTGGTGTAAAGTGCGTCAGCCCAAAAAGCCTCACTGGCGGTTGGATTATTATTTCTATCGTGGAGGTGATGGCGTTTTTGATACCTTGGACTTTGTCATTAAAGAACTGAGCAAACTCATTACATTTAGATTTGGAAGTAAGTTCTGATGGCATCTTAACAGGGGGATTCGTCAATCTATTTACTGTTGAAAACAGAACACGTAGATTGTTGCTACAGCCTTCAATAGTTTCAGAAAAGTACATTTCCCTCGTTCTACGTAGTTCCCTGTTAAAATTGCACAACGCATCTTTGAAGATCTCATGGTCAACTTTGAGATTTGACTTTCTCCACTTCCGCTCGGCCTTCTGGCACTCTCTCTTCTGTGCCCTGACCGAGTCTGCTTTAGTCCATGGCGCTTTTTGCTTGTTTGTAACTATTTTAACCTTTACAGGAGCAATTGTATCCAGAACATTCAAAACAGTGGTGGTGACAGAATCAAGCAATTCATCTACAGTAACACACAACGTGTTCTCAAAGTTTACCCTCCCCATGAACAGTTCGCCTGTATTATCATTTATGTGTCTTCTTCTAACAACCGAAGATTCAGCTGGTGGTTTACAATCAAGACACATGTCAAAAAATACACAGAAATGATCAGACAGAGCAACATTGACCACATTTACATTTGAAATATTAACCCCCTTGGTAATTAACAGATCGAGAGTGTGTCCTCTGCTGTGGGTGGGGCCACTTACATGCTGAGTGAGACCAAAGGTTTCCAGCACAGAGCTCAGCTCTATTGCATATCTATCATTAGCATTATCTACATGTATATTGAAATCACCTACAATGACCAAACCATCAAAATCTGTGCACACAACTGAAAGCAACTCAGTGAAATGATCAGTGAAACTATGGCATGACTGTGGCGGCTTGTACACAACAATAATAAGAATGGAAGAAGATTTCTTTTGTTCTATTTTAAAAGAAACATACTCAAATGATGAAAATTTCCCAAGAGACACTCTATGGGAGACAATACGATCTTTAAAAACTGCTGCTATGCCCCCCCCCCTTTTATTTTCTCGTGTTTCATATTCAAATTTGAAATTTGGTGGTGAGGCTTCTATTAAAACTGCATCTCCTGTATTATGGTCAAGCCATGCTTCAGTCATAAACATAAAATCAAGATCATACGAACAGATAAAATTATTAATTAAAAATGATTTGTTGCATAGTGATCTGACATTAAGTAGAGCAAGGTTAAAATTAATATCAGTGTCAATGGGTTTAGTTGATTGATTACAAAGAACTGGAATTAGATTTCCAGAGTTGGACCGTCTAACTGCTGTCCTTCTTTTAAATTTGTGTTTATTCAAGTTAAAACACATTTCTGAGCTGGTGCGAGAAACACACACAGTCTCTATTGGTTTAAAAAGTGAACTCTGTTGTACTTTGTCAAGTTCCAGATGCATAACTGAGTCAGCACAGTTCAGTGGCAGGACTGTCGTTACACTGCCAGACTGACAGGGGTCAGTGTTTGCACCACAGTACTCACCCGGTGCTGGTAAGGAGGAGGAGGAGGGGGGTGGTGGGGGCCGAGAAGCCTCAACTATACAACTCAACAACTATAAAACCATTCACTGAAAGTCTTTGTAATCTATATATGTATGTATGTATGTGTATGTATGTAAGAAAGTCACCAGGATCTAAGCCAAGTAAAGATATGTAGGAACAGGGGGTGGGAGTATATAAGTTTTCTTCCTTCCACTCCATTTTGAGACATCCATCCATCCATCCATCCATCCATCCATTTTCTACCCTTTAATCCATTTCTGGGTAAGGGGGGGGGCAATCAGAGATGCCACCCAAGTCTCATAGCACCAGCCCCTCACTGACCCTCTGCAGGTGGTGAGTCCACAGGAGGACGGCTGCTCTCTGAGTGTGAGCATAGCCTTGATCTTTCAGTGGGGGCTTTGGGCAAATTGGGGTTAAGTGTCTTGCCCAAGGACACAACGACAGCAGTCATCAGTGGGAGTCGATGGAGAAGGTGCAGAGGTGGGAATTGAACCCACGACCTTCTGGCCTTAAGGCCAATGCTCTACCAACTGAGCTACTGTCGCCAAAATTTGTTTTGAGACATACTAACAATAATAATAATATATGTTGATCCTCCCTGTACCGGTTTTTTCTTCATTCTCTTTTTGCCCCTTTTAATTGGGTGCAGTGTTTTCTGTATGGTCCAGAATTGTTTTATGGCTCAAAATAAAGTATTAATAAAAACAAAAAATCTAAAATCTGTTCAAATCAAAGTCTCACCAATGAGCACTCCCACAATATGGACGAGTTGATGGGAGATGGAAGATCCGGCCCATAACAATGCCAGGCTATGGTAAGATTTCCTGTTTTGGGAAGAGAATTGTCTTGTAAATTACTGATGCAGCAAGAGGAAATAGAATATTCAGTTATTTTTATAGCCACGTACCCTTTAAACATGCGGTGGATGATAGTGATGAAGAGGATGAAGTGAACGATGCCCTCCCAATAGGACATCATCACGGCATAGGCAGAACTCAAGTGGGGCTCCCCCTATGGGCCAAAAAAATTACAGCAAGATTCAGAGGACATGTACAAATACAATCATAGTAAAATAAAATAAATGATATAGTAAAATAAATAAATACTTTACCATTCTTAGATAAAAAGCCATGAAGCCTGAAATATATCCGTCCTGTTCTAGTGCATTCGTGAGGCCCACCATGCAGGTAAAGGCAAACTCTGCGAAAACTGTTCAGACAAGATAGAAATATTCAGATTAAAGTAAATAGTTGTATTTAGTTTTGTGTGTGGTGTGATCTACCATAGAACAAAGGATCCACTTTGATCTCATGCTGGACAACAAGCAGGAGGATAAGCAGCAGTGATCCCAGGACGACCATCCCCATTCCCAGGATCGGCAGAGGTCTGAAGAAAAACCACTTATCAACAGTCATACAGACACATTTTATTTGATTTCTATATTATTTCTTTACAAACTCAACTGTGTCATTCAGTGAACAGACAAAAGAGCAGACACATAAGACACAACCTTATCACCATCTTCTTTGTGTGCTGATGTTAAGTTGCATATCTTAAATGTTACATACATATTATCTGGAAATAGGTTTAACAAGAAGACACCGGTGTTTCTCAACTGGTGGATCCAAAAAGTTGCGAGGATTTGGGCAAAATGTTTTAAATATGTATCAACGACTGCAAAATAGGTAACCTTTTCTTGAAAAAGGCCCTTGATTTAATCTAAATGTATTTCAATCAACTGAAAATGTGATAAAAACTGAATTTGCTGGAAATCATTAGTAAAATTTGGCCTTTCTTCAAATTAGTAGCTTAATAACAAACTCACTTATTTTAACATTATTACTTTTTTCTTTGATTCCAGGGTCTCTTATTTTGTCATTTGAGATTTTTAGTATTATTCAATGCTTACACAATATACAACTTTATATATAAGTAATCTATACAATCCAATCTTATGTTGATGGTGGGTCCTGACACTGATCTAATTGAAAGCCACGGGTCTACACAGTTCATCAAACACAGACACATGCCTTTGATTAAACAAGTTGCTTCTATAGCCTACAGTTTAGACATATTCCGAGCCCACAGAGAAGAGTGAATCCTAGACTTACTCCTGCAGCACCGTCACGCTGTTCATGACGTACAAGACCCCCGGAGCCAGCAGAGACAGCAGCAGGACCCAGAGCTCGGCAGGCGGCCTCATTGTTCGGCTTTGCGGCTTCGATGTTCTGCTGAAATGAAAGTGTGGAGCTGGTTATTCCCACCTAATGAGCGCAGTACCTCATGCTGCAGACCCTTCCACAGAAAAGCCTGCAATCACAAGGTGTGCCTTTGATCAGTGACGAAAGAGGCCACTATCTGCCCGGTCTCAAAGTTCAATTCAGTGACAGAGTTTGAAAGAGAAACAGACGCATGTCTCAACAATTATCAACGTGTTAATAAAGAAAAATCATGCGTCAAATTGTCACTTTTTTGTTATTTTTTCAACTCTTTAGGTACTGGAGTTTTATTTAATCATATGTTTTTATAGGAAACAGAAAAAAGATGGAGCCCTGAACCTTGATTAGAGAATGAAAACTACAAAAATAAATAACAGCAATATATGAAAATAGATTGAATAGAAAAGCGGGGGAACGTTTGTGAGTCGCTGTATACAAAGTGTCCTGGATTTGGAAACTCATGAAGCAATCCTCATGTTGAAGTAGATGCAAAGCAAGCGTCTATACTGACACCTGCTGGTTCAAAACAAGCATAACATCTTAAAAAAAAAAAAAAAAAAAATAATCAGCACTTTTTCTTACTGAGTACTTTGTCTCATAACAATTTCATGATGATTTGGATACACATTTAAAACTGCCGTGTTCCACTTTCATAAGCCATCTGTGCTGTTTCAACGTAAGATTAATTCTTTCTTTTCATTTGCCAATCTTGATTAAATGTAGGATTATTGAGACGGACCAAAGAGTACATGAATTGAGTCCTTTCACCTACATGCATTTTATAATACACACACACACACACACCTATATTTAACTAAGCTGCTATGTTGTCATGTTTTGTCCATATATGCATGGTATGTATGGGAATTATGCAACACATCTAATGCAACTTTATCCCACCTTTATCTTCTGTAATAAAGAGGATTATGTCTCTACAGAAACTTAGTGACCAGTGGAAAGCGGAGGGGTGGGGAGAGGATCACAAGAAGAACCCAGTGAGATTCAGTCGTGCGCATATAGCCACAACGCTTTTTTGAGGTGACACACTTTTTCTCTGTATTTTTTGTGACCTCAGTCTGTCACAATGCTGCACCCTTTAGTAATTGGGATTTTGACTGTGAATACCTCGCTTACTTTACTCTACTGGACCTTTCTCTTCGGGGACGCCTACTTAAAATGGCTGGTGGAACCTGAGGACAAACCCAAGAAAGTGGTGACTCCAGCCGCCTAACGTAGGCTCCGTGGACCTACCTGTAAATTTTAGGCTTATTACTGGATAGAACTAGATTGCTTGTAATGTTTTGTGTCGCACTGGAATACTGATTTTTTTTTTTTTTTTACTGAAGTGAGCTAAACCAAACTAAGGTAATCATCACATTTTGTTTAGTCACATTCTGATAAAATATTGAGTGTTTTAGTATTATGTCCATATACATTAAAGCTGGGGTACCTGATTTTCGAATAGTGGTGGTATTACGTATCTAAAGCCGACAAGTTCCTCGATCTCTCTCAAAACAGTTTGGTCCATCACAAGTTCTCATTGGCCTCATTATTCACAGCTTCAGAGCAGATTTTTCAGATGGAAAAGTGATGTAGAGATGACCACCCCTGCCCAGCCAACCGACTTAGCTGTTGACTTACATGTTTTTTTTTTTAACAAATTGGCAAACAATAACATGTTTTTTAATTCAATATAAAAAAGGTTGTCTGTTTTGTTCACAGAATTTTGTGTATTTTCTGTGTCTGTTTTTATTCTTCCCAGATATTGGAAGAACAGACAAAAGGTAGAGCCACGAAACCAGAATACTACATAAGACAAGTCATTGCAAAAGAAAGAGCCCTTGATTCTGGAGCTCGTGTAGAAATTCTGCTATATTATGCGTCTAAAGGGTTAACACAATGTATGAAATATCAAACAAACTCCAGCTTTAACGTATACTTGTCCTCGTAAACACCTTTATACATGTTGTTATGATGTTTTAGCGTTGCACAGATCGACAGGGGCTTGCTGACTCAGTAGGTGTGTCTAATTTGTTGTGTGTCATGGATTACTCAGAACGCCTTGATGCAGGTGCACAGACAGACAAGCCTCTTCCACTCTCCTCCGGCTCTAAACGACACCTTACCCTTAACCTAAAATCACCACTTCATCATGTCACCTGATGTCTTCTACTTTGGGCTACACCCCGTCTCCTGGTTCATCCTCTTTGTCAATATCTGCTTCACTCTCATCGAATGGCAGTTTCTTGTTGCAGAGTTCAAAAAGATATCTAAGAGAGCATCCCAAACTGAGAAGACACAAGAGGCGACTGGAAGCAACTGAGCCCCCCCCCCACAAATGGTATGTTTTATATATTTTTGTCTCTGTTCAAAAATCACCGTACTTCTTCTGATAATGTGTTGTGTGTTTTTCATGCAGAAACTTTAACATCCAGCCACTTAAGATCGTCAAGGGAAGGTAAATATAATGCTTAAACATATCAATGAGAATGCATAATAATTATTAAGGAAATAGTGTAAGTGCTGAAATATGGGCTGATATGAAGAGAAAGCTTTTTGTGACCATTATGAGCTGTGTGAGATGTATTTAATAGAGTAAAGCAAGGCTCCAGAGACTTAAGCCTCTTTATGGCCGACTGTCCCTCTCACCTCACCTCTAATCCTTACAGATGGAAAGCTGATATTGCTTTGTGACAATCTTATTAACTCTCTCTGTCCTATATTCTGCGTGCTACTGTCTGAGCACTCTAACCAACTCCACAGAGTACAAAAAACAAATGATTGACAACTTTGGCACACTTAATAATAATGATAATAATACATCATACTTAAATAGCACTTTTTGGATGCTATGCAGAAGAACAAATAAGAAACAAAAATTAAGTGTTAAAGGTATATGCAGCATGTTCCCAAAATGTTGGAAAGAACCGCCCTCTCCACTTTTTGAACAAACACTCTGGTCTTATTTGACGAGCACATATGACCAGAATGATTGACGATTGAGAAGACCAATAGTCTTGATGAACCATCTGGAAGTAGAAATTCCATATACCTTTTGGTGTAGGCAGTTTTGAACAGGTGGGTTTTGAGAAGGGATTTGAAGTTCTGAAGTGAGTCAGAGACAGAACACTTGTGGTTCCAGACGCAAAACATTTAATAAAATCATAAATCTTCTACCACCCTTCCTCTTTATGATTCCACCCTATGCTTTGTAATCAAAGTGACACAACTGTTTCTTCTAAGCCACAAAACTTCAATATGGAGCCAAAGGACGAGACCCTGAATGCGCTGTTCGACCACCGACAGCTTCTGCAATTGCCAAAACGCCAAGAAGATGCCTATTATGTGGATTACATACCCCCTGCCAGAGATAGTATTTTTCTTCCCAACAACGTACTTTATATTTTAGTTGGAGTGGTCCTGGTCATACTGGCTACATACGCCATAGTGGGCCATCTCATAAAAGATTTGATGCATGACCTGGCAGGTAACAGCGGTGGTGGTCGTCTTCAACTTTTCCTCTCATCCTCAAACCAAAAACGTTTACATTTCCTTTCATTGCATTTATGTTTTACCGACATACGTGATGACCTTTACCCGTAGACTATAGCCCCATTTCCAACAAATCTGCTATACTCGGCTCTACTCGGCTCTACTCTACCTGGTTGTGCTTCCCTTACGCTTTAGCTTCTGGTACCGTAACCAAGCAACCTACCCACAACAAACCAGTATCCCGGGACATTTCAAGCCGACCAGCGATGGGCCGGCAGAAGTCAGTTATAACACTGGTACTAAACCAGCTCGGCCTGGTTTAGAGTTGAATTGACAAAGGACAATGTGCAGTTACGTTAAAAAGATGGCTGCACCAGATTTAGATTTGCATGAACTTTCAATCTGTAGTCCTTGAACAATAAAATCACATAACAAACATATTAAACTAGAGATCAATAAAAGGGCAAGTTACGAACATACATATTAAAATACAGTTTAGTAAAATACAAAGTTACAGTATAGTATATGAAGTTACAACCAGGGTCAAGCAGGTGCTGAAAAAGTACCTGGTAACGGTTAAACAGAGTCGGTGGAAACGCTCCAAATCGGGGTAGAGTAGAGTAGGGCCAAGTAAGGCTGGTGGAAATGGGGCTCTGGATTCTACCTGTGTCTGGTTTTCTTTTGTGTTTTGTGAAGTGAACCTCTCTTCAATACAAAAGAAAACTCATGAAAGCACGGCCTTATGTTATTTGTGCTTGTTTCCAGACTGGCTCTTTGGTCCCAAACCGGTGGGGGATGATTTAGAAGGAGGGACCATAGAAGAGGAGCGCCAGATGAGTGTCTGCAGTACGATGACCAACAGCTCAGTGTGGATGGGGCTGGGAAACACTGGAGCGCTGCCTGGTTTTCACTATGAAGACGGTGGTCAACAGCCTCCACCCGCTCCTGGTCTGCCCCTCAAAAGCGCCATTGCCCCGCACCCTCCAGTCAAACGGTTTTCCATTAATAGTGTGTCATTTGCAGTCCCATCAAGTTCCTTTGTGACTTCTGTCTGAACGCACTGTGTCAATGGAAATCCCAATGTAGTATTTTGTTTTTAGGCAGTAGTTATGCAAATGAAAATGACCAATTTTCGAGTCCAAACTCAAACATGTCCTGACTGTCTATTCATTATAATGTGTTGCTTGTGTTGCATTGCACATGGGCAGTTTTTATGTCTAATAACATCCACCTTTGCTGTGATGTGCTCCAAAAAACCACAAGAATTCTTTGCCTGTTTTGATGTTGGACTAATTAATCTTCCTTTCAGTAAACAATTGAATTACACCACTGACGCTTGTCTGCTGTCTTTAATCCATCTTACCTTTCTCTAATACCGGCTCATATCATTCACACTGACCTTGTATATAAATAGCCATGATTAATACGCATATCCGGCAAGGGAAAATCAGAAAGATTTATTTATTCGAACAGTATTAATACTGCACAATAAAAAGATAAATACAATTTGTATAAAAAGTCTTATGAAAAACAATAGTATATTTTCTCACTGCCCATACAAGACATAACTAACAGTACAAGCTCAATTTACTACATGAAGGAGCTATTATCACCATTTGCTCCAAGCCGCTGACTGTGTTCATTGGGGCAGATACTCAGCGGTGCAATAATAACTTTAATAAAGTCAGAATGTATTCAACAAAACCCCATGTGTTACTGTCACTTTACTGAGTCACTTTGTCCCATGCCCTCATGCTGCTAACATGTGCAGATGTAAACATACAAATATATATTGCTTGCACTAGAATATACAGCTTTTTATTCTTGCTTCTTTAATGCTAAAGTCAGGGGGCTTCGTACTTAAGTCTAGCTTCCCCGTCATGCTAAAGTTGGAGATGATAGACTTCTTTCCTTATTATGCTAAAGAAAGAGATTGTATACTGCTTCGTTTTAGCCTAGAGTTAGAGATTTTATTTTAGTATAGAGTAATTATTCATTTATCTTGTGTTGTGTGCTCCTCATTCTTACTGTCTGTAACATGTGATGCAACACTGAAATTTCCCCACTGTGGGCCAAATAAAGGATCTCTTAATCTGAATCAGAGGCTTCTCTCTGCGCACTCTTCCACACCAGGGGACAGGGCACTCTCTCTGTCAGGGGCCCAAAAACAGATTGCTCTTCCTCTGCAGAATAGGTCAGTGGCTATTGTGGGTACTTTAAAAACAAAATTAAAATCTCACTTTTATCAAACAGCTTATTTATGAGCCATAGATTTGATTAATGTATTTTTGTCATTTTATCTGTGTATAGTTCTTTGTTTATTTGCTGTGAATCACTTTGTCACATGTTTTGGGAAAATACTATAGAAATAAAGTTATTATTATCAGCATCTATAAAAACTATACAATACATACAGTAATTAAACCAAAACACATTTCCAACAAGACCTACCTACGTTTGTGTCAGATATTATGGGAATAGTTTTGTGGTTGATAATTCCTATGTGTTCGTATCCCCACACACACACGTATGTATTGGTGGGGGACCAATGTATGTACAGTATGTATATAAACTATAAGCCTTTATAATGATGTTGCACACAGGATTTTACTGACCGCGAATGAACTCAGCAGCAGCTTATCTGTTTTCCATCCGCCGAGACGCCATCAGCACCGGTGGAGAACTGCGGGAGAGCTGAAGGGAAACAAAAATGTCACCAGTTTTTCATTAATATTTAGTCAAAGAAGATTCATCGCCGGCTTCTGTGACTGTGAGTATGCTTCTCATTCTTAAAGGTGCATTCCTCAGCTGTTCTGGAGGTCTGATACCAGCTCCAAGATAGATACGGTATTGCTTTGCTTAAAATGTCACTCAGCTGGATTCATCCCATACATTATATCCCATACATACATTCATTATTGGTGAGATAGTCCTTAAAACACTGGTTTCTTTGAGTAGTAATGTATCTCCAAAGACATTACTTGAAATTTATCCTGCTTCATTTTTTGGGGTTTTCATTGAGCGTTTCATCTTACATTCCTATTTGTTTTTAAGTGTCTGTCCCTGCAAGACAAATCTACCTCAGGGTACAAATTATGCAAATCTGAACCTGAAAGAAAAGTTTAGATGAAGCGAAAACAGGCGATGAAAGCACCTTTAACTATGTAAAAAAAATAAACAATCATGTTAACCACCAATGCCTCTACTGCTGCTTTGTGTATCGATCCTTTTACTCAGAGAGAAGTTTTGAGTATGGAAGACCCACTCGTCGCTCCGGTGAACAACTTGAGGGTTCATTTCAAAGAAGAGGATGGATCAGTGCTGTTTGAGAGCTACGTCCCTCCGTCTAGAGACGCCGTGCACATGCCCACCTACGTCCTGTACCTGATCATCGCCATGTTTACGGTTCTGTCCGTGCTCTACGCCATCATCGGACACCTCATCAAAGACCTCCTCCACGACTGTGCGGGTCAGTTCATAACCAATATAACCCAAAAATGGTGGGTCGTATTTAGAGGGTCACAAGCCTTTCTTGGGCAACATATTTTTAAATGATGTATCTACTACAATTCAGAAGGAAGTTACATTTTCTTGAAATAAAAAAAGCCCTTAATTTTAAGAAATGAATATAAACCCACGTGTCCATAATATAAAATGATAAATATATACAAGTTTCATACAGAGCGCATACAAAATAAAATGTTAAACTTGCTCAGATGGCCGATTTCTTGATATTAGCTCATTAAAGCTGGAATATCTAACTTAAAACCACAAAAAATATCTATGTCAAAATATCCATCCATGGACTTATTAATTCAAAAACATAATTACTTATCTATATTTTTCATTTCAATATGTATTTGATTTCAGAGTCGTCAGAGTTGTTTATTTTTTGTTGTTGTTTTTTGACATCATTTTAGCTTTGTAGTGTCATTCAATGCTTATAAAATGTGTGTTATGCATGTATTAAATGTGTTGATATTTGGGTCACAGCTTGGCGTTACATGACGAGCTTGGGTCTCAACATTGTTCCAGTTGAAAACCACTTTATTCTACTCATATCTATGTTTTATGTGCAGATTGGTTGTTTGGGGCTCAACCAGAGGAGGTGGAGGTCAACTACTGTGAAGCCAAAGATAAGTTTATAGCAGACTGGACTCCGGAAACATCACCTGAGCTGGAGGCCATGGCCAGAGCCGAGGAGAAGAATTCATTTGACAAAGATTTTCTCAGAGCTCCGGCCGTCTGGATTATCTCAGAAGTGGTGGACGCTCGCTCCAACAGAGGTCCCGCTCGAGTAGTGTTTGGAAAGAAGACGTAGAACGATGAAAATAGTGGAAAGATAATACAAGTAATATTTTGTAATTGTCAATTTTTACCATTATTTGACCTCCCTTTACTCAAAAGCAAAGTAAATGTAATTCCATCCTATTTTTTCAATAATTTGTAAGTTTTGTGATGTGGAAATTGTGTGATTATTAAACAACTCATATTGGACTGTTTCAGAATGTTGTTTTATGAGGACATCTAGTGTCTGTTCAAGCACTTGCACAAAGCTGCTTGTCTTTATGAGACACATACTGAATATATAAACATCCATCCATCCATCCATCCATTTTCTTCCGCTTTATCCGTTGCCGGGTCGCGGGGGCAGCAGTCTAAGCAGAGACGCCCAGACTTCCCTATCCACACACACCTCCTCAAGCTCGTCCGGGGGGACCCCTAGGCGTTCCCAGGCCAGCTGAGAGACATAGTCTCTCCAGCGTGTCCTGGGTCTTCCCCGGGGCCTCCTCCCGGTGGGACGTGCCCGGAACACCTCCCCAGGAAGGCGTCCAGGAGGCATCCTGAACAGATGCCCGAGCCACCTCAACTGGTTCCTCTCGACGTGGGAGAAGCAGCGGCTCTACTCCGAGCTCCTCCCGTGTGACCGAGCTCCTCACCCTATCTCTAAGGGAGCGCCCAGCCACTCTGCGGAGGAAGCTCATTTCGACCGCTTGTATCCGCGATCTCGTTCTTTCGGTCATTACCCACAGCTCATGACCATAGGTGAGGGAGGGAACGAAGATTGACCGGTAAATTGAGAGCTTTGCCTTTCGGCTCAGCTCCCTCTTTACCACAACGGTCCGATACAGAGACCGCATCACTGCGCACGCTGCACCGATCCGCCTGTCAATCTCACGCTCCATCCTCCCCTCACTCGTGAACAAGACCCCGAGATACTTGAACTCCTCCACTTGAGGAAGGACCTCTCCACCCACCTGGAGAGGGCAAGGCACCTTTTTCCGGTCAAGCACCATGGCCTCGGATTTGGAGGTGCTGATTCTCATCCCAGCCGCTTCACACTCGGCTGCAAACCGTCCCAGTGCATGTTGCAGGTCCTGGTTCGTTGGAGCCAGCAGGACGACATCATCCGCAAAAAGTAGAGATGAAATCCTGTGGTTCCCGAACCGGACCCCCTCCGGCCCCTGGCTGCGCCTAGAGATTCTGTCCATAAATACAGTGAACAGAACCGGTGACAAAGGGCAGCCTTGGCGGAGGCCAACATGCACCGGGAACAGGTCTGACTTACTGCCAGCAATGCGAACACAGCTCTGGCTCCGGTCATACAGGGACCGAACAGCCCTCAGCAGAGGACCCCGGACCCCGTACTCCCGGAGGACCCCCCAAAGGACACCCCGGGGAACGCGGTCGAACGCCTTCTCCAAATCCACAAAGCACATGTGGACAGGTTGGGCGAACTCCCATGAACCCTCAATCCCCCCGTCACGTCCCCCGTCCAGGAGGCAGAGGCTGAGGATGTTGGGGCGGATACTTCCATCTCCCTGGCCGAGGTCACCAAGGTGGTTGGCAGCCTCCATGGTGGCAAGGCGCCGGGAGTGGATGAGATCCGTCCTGACTATCTAAAGTCTCTGGATGTTGTAGGACTGTCTTGGCTGACACGTCTCTGCAACATCGCGTGGCGATCGGGGGCGGTGCCAATGGAGTGGCAGACCGGGGTGGTGGTCCCTCTCTACAAGAAGGGGGACCGGAGGGTGTGTTCCAATTATCGTGGGATCACACTCCTCAGCCTCCCCGGTAAGGTCTACTCCAAGGTACTGGAGAGGAGGCTTCGTCCGATGGTCGAATCTCGGATTCAGGAGGAGCAGTGTGGTTTTCGTCCCGGTCGCGGAACACTGGACCAGCTCTATACTCTCCATCGGATATATAAACATATCAGGGAAAATCCAGGTCAACATTGTCATCATCATTTTCATTATTATTATCATTATTATTATCATTGTTATTATTATTAGCAATTTTATACGTATTTATTTCTGTATCATGCTTATAACTGGTTCCAAGTCAATTCCATTATTTACTACTAATTAAACACATAGTGAGAAAAGGGCCCCCACACGGTTCCCAACCATGACCAGTGCGTAGCATAAATTACATTGGTATTATGCACACAAAGATAAACTCACCTTTAGCATTGATGTATTAGCTACAAGTACAAATGTTGCAGAGACAAATGCACATGCGCCACACGTGCGCCCTCTACTGGCTTTGGGACGTACGTTCTCTTTTGGCTGAAGACGCTGATTAGATAATGTCGTTCTTGAGTGGTTGCGTTAAAACGTTCTCATCTCGTCTCTAATCTCATCACCTCAGTATCACTGAAAACAGTTCCCTGATCTCATTAACTGAGTAAACGCTCTGAACGTGATTGTCATTAATTAAATACAAGATAAGGCAGACAGGAAGAAAACAGCAAATACAATACAATTCAATGTAACGTTGTATTTTAATTTTAATGATAGGCCACGCCCACACGTCACACATTTTGGTTAATCTGTGCATGTTTTAAAATATTCCTTGTTTGTTCAGCAGACGTACTTTTTCATACACATTTAGTTTGGCGTGCGTGTTTTTCTGGTTGTGACCATTCATTTATACAATATATCTTAGTTTTCAAATTTCTGATAATACTTCTCGGGTTGCTTCACGTTGGGCCCTGGCAGCTGTGTCTTCTGAATCCAGTTTTGAAGACGCGCGCGCAGCCTCACGCCCCCTGAGGCGCGTCTGTCCCGGACTGCGTAAAGACAAACGCGCGCAGCAGATGAAGGTTGCTGTTGGGATGGATATTTTTTGACATTAGGACGAGTCCATGGATTCTACCTCCACGTCCCCGGAGCCCAGACAGTCAGAGAGCCCGAGGTGAGATGCACAGATTGTCCGCAGCGGAAGAGACGCTCGCACTGTATTCGCGACAATGCTCTGTGTCGCGGCATTTGCAATTCAGCTAATTTAGGATTTCTGCAGACACAGTGCTTCATCATTGCCTGCTTTCCTTCCCATGGCATTCACCCACTGATTCTGCTTTAAAAAGGCCCATTTGTTTATATTTAAGCTATATAGCATGTTGGTACATTATTGGCTACTGCCTGCTCTATTGATCCACATGCTGGCCTGGTCTGCACTTGTATCCAGGTCACTTATATGACACGGTTTCCTCTCCGGTTCAGTGTTATGTGCCCTGCAGTCTGTTTGCCTTGGCATATATACATATCTTTATCCTTCTGTAAACAGATTTTTGGCCTAAACAGGCTATTCCAGCATATGAAACATTAAAAGGGACACCGGCATTAGGCGTCATCGGCAACAATTCACCAGGGATTTCGTGATAGAAAGTGAACTTCTAAGTCTTTTTTAGGCTTAATTATTAATCTTTAAACTGGACCAACAGCCCACACACAGTCCCTCGTGTGTGACGCCAGAGATTGAGAACTGTTAAGACACCACCTGAGCAACACTGTAGACAGTAGTAACAAATAAGCACCTCACATTTCAATACAACAATCATCAAATGCATTAATACTATGACAACTGTTGCTCTACGTTTTTAAAGAAGAATCTGTAAGAGTAGTGAATATTTCCATCTAACAACATTATAAAAACTTGTCACTGAAACTTGGAGAGCAGTTTCAGAGACAAACTAATTCACCCTCGCTGTGTGAAGGAGAGGTTCCGTAGGTCTTTCCTTCCTGCTGCTGTCAGACTGTACAATAAGAACTGCTGAGCCTGTAAATTTCATTCATCTGTAATTAAGTAAATTCTTAAATCATGTGCAATGTGCAATACTGCAACTTCAGAATGTCACAGAACAATGTCACTTTACCTCATGTTACTTTACTTATATACTTTTTATCCTGCACTATTTTACAGTATATAACTGCACTACTACATATATATATTTTGACTGGTATCGAAGCATTTTCAGCATCTACAGCTAGTTATGTTAGTTAAGAAACATAGCTACTACTTATTTGTATATATTGTGTGTGCTCCATGTGTGCTCTTACTACTGTCCTATATATGCGATGCAACATCAAAATTTCCCCACTGTGGGACGAATAAAGGAATTCTTATCTTATCTAAACAACTTTCTCAAAGAGTAATGCTGTATTAACCAGATCAATATATATATATATATATATATATATATATATATATATATATATATATATATATATATATTATTTTATATTTTTACCCATGCTTATATTAGTCCTGCACAGTTCAACTCTGCACTCTTAATCAAGCTCCTGGACTGAGAGCTTGGAGTGGTCTCCACTTTGACCCTGAGCTCATCCCATTTCAGCAAATGTTCTTTCCTGCTGTGTGTCCCAGGGGGACGTCAAAGACGTGCAAATGATCTAGGTGCTGCAGCCTTAAGTGGCCCCTGATTTTCTGTAGAGATCTTTATTGTTTTACAAAACAAGCTTGTTGTGCTCTTTTCGTATTTCTTGGAAATATCTTTAATTAAATCTTTATTTAAGATTTCTCAAGATAGAATTGTCACAGGATTGTGGACTCATGGAAATGATCTGCTTTTTCCTCCATGCATCAACTTCTGCTTCTGAGACACTGTGTTCATAAAACAATGCTACAATGACAGAAAAGTCCTGAATACTTTTGTGACGTGTCTTATCTTGTGTGGATTCTGTCCACAAAGATGAAAACAGTAATTACAGCGGCTTTTGTCTTTGTCTTTGCAGTGCTCTGGCCAAGGACTCATGCAGGATCACAAGTCACATGTCAGGTAAATCTCAATTAACTCATCACTTTTATATCACCACCAACTGTAAATAAATACGATAATTCTAATGGAGACAATCTTTTCTTTTCTTGTGTAGTGTTCAGTGATGGAACAGAGAACGGTCCTCTTCTACAGCTCCACACACTCAAGGAGTTTGAACAGGTAACTACACTGTATTCTTATATGCTGCTTATTACTTATGGTTTGAATTTTGAAATTATGTTATTATTGAAATATGATGCGCCTAAATGAAGAATCCTTTCTACACTATTTTTTTTAAACAAGTGAGAAGCTGCAGTGTTGTTTTCTTATGAAATATTTTTGTATTTGATTATAAATGATTCAGATGGTTATATGAAGGGTACAGAGCTAACTGCATGAGTCTTTGCAGCTGGGAACATTGTTCACATTTCTGACATTCCCAGGTAGTGAAGTTGAGCCTGTTTGCCAGCACATGTCAGATTCTAGACCAAGTGTTTAGGCTTTGGGTGCATGCCATCACTTAAAAATACTACATGCTTCACAGTTATTGAGGCTGGTATGTTACTATGCCACTGATCACTAGATAATAGGACTCAATAAGAATACTTGTGTTCAGCTGATGTGTTTTTGGAAGTGTACATGTTGTTGGACACTGTGTCGAGAGTGAAAGCAAGACGAGCAGGGAAGAATAAAGAATATCTGCTTTACATGTTATAGTGGTAATAGTTCTACCTCCTTAATGTGAAGTTGTGTAAGTGTCCAAACAAAAAACGTTTTCTCGCTTTACCTTCTTGTCAAACCTGATCTCCTTAAGTGACAGCAGCTATAGCCTGGTTTGTACTTCTCTGCAAAAAAAATCTAAAATATGCTGTAATAATTGTTTGAATCGAGGGATTTTAATTTTAATTTGAGGACAAAATTGCCAAAGGGACAAGAAATGTAGTCTTTATTTTCATGTTCTAAGGGAGACATTTCTTGTATCTTTTTAAAACAAGATCACTTTGCTTTGTCCCATTGGCAAATCTTGTTTTTAGGCAGTCAAAATGTGCTCAAATTAAGATACATTTCGCCAATTTTGGACTTATTTTCATCACTTTTTGCAAAGACAGGTAGAGCCTTCTGTCCCCTCTGCGTCCTTTCCATCTGCACAAAACATGTTTGAACTGTAGGTGAATTTTATTATGAACTTTTTTGTGTAGTTTGAAAGACAGTTACCCGAGCTTTGAATACACAGTTAATGATGTAAAAACAGTTACAAGAGTACTCGGTTACTCAGAGGTAATCTACGGTATTTATTTATGCAATAATAGAAGTATAAGCCTTTCGCAGTACAGACAGTGTATGAGATGAGAGACCACTGGGACGACATGGAGACAGCTGAAGCTATAAGTGTAAACTGTTGTTGTGTCCTGTCCTTAGGCAAGACACTTCACCCAAATTGCATAGAGTGAATCTGGTGCCATCAGTCTGCCTCAGATGTAGCTGTCACCACCGTGTATGGAGCATAGACTGTAAATATTAACGGGCGTAGTCACACCTATCTCCGCCGTTCTAACTAATGTGCCACAACTTCCGCTGTCTATGGGCAGTTGCAAAATGGCCGCGGGGGCTGGAAAATGCGAAAAAAAGCATCTGCGAATGCGTCAACCGGCACGAGCCCCATTCATTTAAACGAGTGCCTTCAATAAAATCACAGCGACTAAACTAGACTGGTCCAAAAAAATTCACTCCCCTCAGCACTGACACACATGTGGAACGGAGCTTTGGGCCAAGAGCCAACTTTTGGACCATCCTGTAAAGACGTTTTCGCGAGATCAGCTAATGCTATATGTTAGCATTGAATAATTCTCATTCCGGGTCCACACCCATCGGCCCAGGGTGGTATTGCAAGCATGTCAGCGCACGTCATTTTGGCCACTTTTGAGCCGGGACCCGCCCCCACTGGTCTGGAGTGAATGATGAAAAAAAGAGTAGGGAACCAGAAAAAAGTGTAATATAAAACTGATGCATCAATACCATCTTGAATTATACTTTTTTACATTCTTCATTTGCATCCTACATTTATCGTGCACTTATTCATCTGCAATTTGAGAACAATGGAGGCCTGCAGATTGTAGTGTAAACAGTATGATGAAATTCTGCACTTAGTCCTTTGATTTTGCATTCTGAATATGAGTGAGTGGCTTTAGTTACTTCCTCATCAATGGAAGAAGAGAAAGCGGTGTCAAATGAAGCTGTCTTATATACACCATGTCTGTGATGTCATCCTGAGCAGAAACACCACTTTGGCGTCTCTTCTAGATTTATTGTAAATAATTTAGCAGCAGGATGTAATGGGATACTTTAATGGACACACTCATGAGACCATTGACTGCAGATGATGTACGGTAAATATGTTTTTGTGTGAGGTGTTGTCTGTTTCGCCTCTATTTCTGGGCTAACGACAGCGAAGGAGTGTTTGGAACATAGATTGTAGTTGTTGCCCTGAGACTGATGTTAGTTCTGTGATATTTTTGTTGGTCTCCTCTCACGGGACAGGGAATCACTGCTGGGTCAAGTCCTGGGCACCTTTCTATAAATAGTGGTTCTATGGCTCGGAGATGGCGGCACTCGAGTTACAAGCTGCACCTGTCTTTCTCCACTCTTCTCACTTCCTAACATCTCTCTTCAAGATGTTTAGTTATTGGATATTGGACTATACCAGATAACAGACGACGACTGTACATGTAGTAGTCTGACATTATTATCTATGAGAGATTTTACTTCAACATATAAATGCAACAAATGAAAAACGTTCTTTTGATTGATAGCAAAAGGCATGATGAAGTCAGCATCCCTCACGTACCTAACCTTGAAAAAACTCAAAATAATGATGTGGTTAAATCCATGTAACTTGTTTCTAGGTCTCAAAACTGTTTTGTTCTATCACCAGTTTTCCCATCTATGCTTTTTGACAACGCATTTTTTTACTCCATTTATGCCTTCGTAAAATTGGAAATTTAGGGCTGCAGTTGAGGGTTAGGGTTGGTCGACCAAACTAATTCTTGAGCATTGAGAAATTTGTGAGCATTCTGACCAATCAGCGAGACAAGAATGAGTTTTTTGCACTTAAGTGTGGATTTATAGGAATACGATGGATTTCAAAATAAAAAAAGTTCAGGATGAGAAGTGACTCAAATCTTCACAAAATCTGATGTTTGAGAGAGCTGTAGGTTTCCTGTCAGCCGTGGATGAGCCGTTTTAGTTCAAATTCAGGTCTTAGGGAAAATGTCCTTACAGCCCTTGTGAATTTAATCTGCAGGTCTGCGGGTGGCCCCCTGTCCAGCATGGGGATGGTTTAAGCAACAATACCCAAACCAGATAATATAATGCATCAATGAGGCGTCATCAATGCACAGTGCTCTTCTCCATGTGATGCCATTTAAAAAATTTCAAACAAATGTTTTCTACAAGGAAACATGAAATGGAAAAACCCAAACTGACGGCATACAAGGCGAGCGAGTGCCTCATGGCCTCATCACAGGTGCAGAGGAGTTTGTGCATTGGCTGTTTCTATTCCCTCCTTTGATAACCTTATTTAGTTTAGTACAATTACAGTTTAATTACATTATATTGGCTATTATAATAAAACAGCAGCCTTTTTGAATGAAATAGCCAAAAAAAGTAAAGCTTGCAAAAGACTCAATAATATGGGCAATACATGACGTAGTGTAAGTAATGTGAGAAAACAGTTTGGTGTCTAAATTACAACTATATTTGGCTGCTGTGTTTACACTGAACACGGCTCGGCAAAAAGACCAGGTTGAAAGATGTGTTGAAAGCCGAGTCAAAATGTCCCGGTAGCGCAGGGAAGTCTGTGTGAAGACCCAAATGGCTGGAAGAATATTCTTTGGGCCTCACTACTAACCGTCTGTACATTATTTTTGCAATAATGGATAGGTGTTTTCTATTTACCGTGCAACACAATGAAGATACGTAGAGTTCAATAAGTAACGTATGTCAAAATGTTTATTAATTCTGCAGTTTATTGTCGTGACACTTGACAACATGTGTTTTGTAGGATTGTTTTACTGTATTGTACCTGCGTCAGTGGCATAACGTTTATTTTTGTCACATACACATTAAATGCAGTGTAATTCTTATGCACCTTCGAGCCGATGCATCATAGTACACACAACATTCAATAAGAATAGATGCAATTAATTAGGCTTGGTTTCACAGTGGCATAGACAAACAGATCGCTCTCATCTCCTCAGTTTGGACTGCGAGGTGAAGTCAAAACTTGTTTCAATATTATTGTTCATTGCAATAATTTTCTGAAGCAATTTAATCCATCAAAATGAGTTATCGTGACAGGCCTCGTCATTGAGTAACATAGCAGTTTCCCCTTAGAACTATAGTAATGTATCAACTAGAATCAACTAGCTAATACAATTAAAGCCCCCAGCAGGGTCCATACTCCCCTGTGCTGTTGGTGCCATTTGCTTTATCGCTGGTGTGAGATTTCCCGTCAAATCACAAGTGTCTGTGAGTCCGCTGCCCGGGCTCCACCCATCTCCTCTGTCGGTGTGGGATTCCTGGGATGTCTCTCTGTAAGATAAGCCCCTGCCCCTGTCCCACAGCAGCCCAGAACTGAGCATGGAGGTGCAATGGCTACACCTCTGACCAGCCGGACTGCGGAGCAAATCTCTGCGTCAAATATGCCTCTCTAGAACTGTGTTTGTGTGGATGTATGAATGAATAGTTCTAGTTTGTATGTATGTGTGCATGTGTGTGTACGTGTGTGTGTGTGAGTGAGAAATGTTTTTACTGCTGATTTTGACGGTAGGCGACAGCGATGGTCCCTGCTAAAAATGAACTCTCATAGAAAACATAGACTTTTTGCACTATTTGAGGTTTTGAGGGATATGTCAGCAGTGGCGTCTGCCCAATAGCGGTCATGTCTAACGGTTACCGCACTCTATCACAGCATCTCAATGACCTGAAGAAGGAGAACTTCAGCCTCAAGCTCCGGATCTACTTTTTGGAGGAGAGGATCCAACAGAAGTATGAGGAGAGCTGCGAGGATGTCTACCGCTCGGTGAGTGCGAGCGATATTTTGGTCCTCGTGCTTGTTGGAGTGTGCTGCTACATTATTGATAATCTTTGAACTGCTATTACTCTTGTCTCTATGCTGCACTGTGCGTCTATGTCACGATCATTTGGTTCCATTTTTAAAGAAGAAATATTATGTATTAATTGTGATTTTGGCCATTTACCATGCTCTATATCAGTGGTTCCCAACCTTTTTCGCCTGTGTACTCGCCAGTATAGACAGGGCTCATATCCGCCCTCTAGATTCATATGCCCCAATAATCAGACTAATTATAGGCGGGGGCCACAAATGTTATTAGGCTTTTAGATTTTAAGTGTGAAGTGTTATTTGTTTACATTATGTAGGTTTTTTGACCAAATTATTACTTTTATAGAACTTGAGCTCTAGATTTTTCAAAATAAAATTAGAACATACTTGGACTGAACAAAAACTGGACCAACAGCTTGTTACTGCAGACCGTTAGACCAAGTATTGTTATTAATTGTGTTCTGGGATCAATTTATAGAGTACTATAAATGATGTGGGTGTTTTCTTGAGAGAATTAGCTTTAGAGGGATGTATAAAATGCCCACATTCTCCTCTTACTATCTAAGTTTGCAAGTTTTGAAAAAGAAACACTTGGGAAACACTGCTCTAGAGAATATTTACCTGAGAATCTCATTGTTTTGGATCGTGAGATACTTTCTTCAGTAGAAAAGGAATGGATAAGAAACATGAAAAGAACTTGAGTTTGACAACACTCTAAAAGAAGTTAGAAATTGCATGCTGCCATGGTTACATTCAAATCCAACATGACGGTCTATTTGAAAGACCACGCCATGTTGGATTTGTCATTTTGACATTTATGGACATTTGTCGTCCACCCCTTATCGACCAAAGGCTATCTGCTTTTCATTGTCGCAGTGTTCGAACCGTTTGATTCTCTGATCTGTGTTGGCAAATCGGCAACTTTGGAAATTCCTTCGAGAAACCTACTGTTGTGATTTAGGGATATACAAAAATAAATTGAACTGTTGTAAAGAAATACATTTTGACTGAAGACATTTACTTAAGTAATTTAGAGGAAATCCTTTTGTCTTAGATGTCCTCAAGTCGGAGGATTTGTCATAGAGGAATAAAGTTTGAGATTGAGACGTAGAGACAGAAGGGGCGGGACTTGTGCCAGATCAGCACAATCTGAGACCCTGATTTTATGAATGGAGCTAAAAACAGCTCAGGGTCCGTTTTTGATGAGCGAACAATATTGTAATATTGTTACAAATGCATATGTGACATTCTATGAGTTTTTTATGCAAAATTAATAGGAATCCAAGAGAAAAGAGAAAAGTTGTTTTCTTAACAGCATGTGTGTTAATGAATGTTTGTCAGTGCTGTTTATAGAGAATCCAGAGGGTTGTGTTGACCCAGCTGTGGTGCTGCTAATCTCAGAAAGGTGATGTGACTAGACATGTGTTTGTTTTACTGAAGCGACTGCTCAATGAAACAACAACAGATTACAATCTAATATCTTCTTTTAAAGTTGTGTGGGGCTTGGATTATCAACATTGTTGTGTTGTTTGCTTCAATAATGTGCGACTCAGAAGGTGTCACTCATGTGTTTTTATTCTTCCCAATGTTTTCTGACTCACATTTAAACTATGCTCTTAAATGGAAGCTTACGCACTGACATTAGCTCTCCACAAGAATAGCTTTGTCCCCGAGTGATACGACTCTGAATGTTTCACTCTGTCGATAACAACCAGCATGCTAACAGCTCCACGTATGTGTGTGCAACAGATATTTACCGACCATAGAATTAAATGCAGACAGAACACTGTGTTCTAATGTTGACCCTTAAGTCTGTTTTTAGATATATTTGTATAAGGAGGACGTACCAGACACCAGTTACTGAAGGTTTTCACAGATATTCTAATATATTTGTATTTAAAACTTAATAATTATAGTTAAAAAATATTATCTGAATTTCCCCCACTGTGGGATGAATGAAATATCTCTTAATTTTTATCTTAATCTTAATCTTACATATCTATATATTTGCCGACACCCCAGATTTTGGGAACAGAAATACATACATTTTCATAATTCATCTCCAATACATCTCCATATTGGGAAATATCCAAATACTGTAAGTTTAATGTATAGAACACATTTAAGACATACTTGAAGAACTTTGTCATATAAACGAGATCTAAATAATCATACATTAGTGCGGAGTGGTTCTGAAGGTAAACAAACGTGAAGCAGGATCCGTGACCTGCGTTTGCACGACTCAGTGCCATGAACACCGGCTCTAAATATATCTGTGGAATATCAGAGTGAAGGATTTGCACTCACAGCTCTGCAGATGAAGTGCAGCAGAGCGACACTTTGACAGACGCACACAAGTGGCTCCGTGAAGACAACACCTGAGTTTTTTTATGTGTTTTTAGCAACAGATTGATTAATTTGTAAATTGATTTATTTTTTGCTGCAGAGATTTTGAACAATAATGTCCAATTTATGAAAATAGTTGCATTACCAAAAATTGTAGTTATTGTTATGAGTGATGGTCTGGATGATTAGGATGTGTACGGTGATGACTTAAATGCATTTTATGATTATATTATTTGTATTAAAATATGTAAATGTATGTGTAAAAAAACATCACTTGCTTAAATTTAGGATGGACAACACAGTGACTGTTTTGTACAATTGGGGAAAAGACTGTATAATTATATTTACAAGCCCTGATGCTAGGGTTTCCCAAAATATGTGGGAAATCGTGAGTCCACAACTGAATAACATTAAAATAAGTAATACTTGGCAATGTCAAAACTATGCAAAATCTAAATCCATTGGTGATGTTTATTTGACTTATTCATTGTTTTGTTGTATTTTGTGTCAAATAGTTGGTACAATACAGTATAATGTGTAAACAATGTAAAATCCACAAACACAATCCTTTCATGACATAATTAAACCTCATTAGTTGTAGACTAGATAACGCTGGTTTATCAGTTTGTTTTGTAGTCAGACTTTCTCATATAAATATATTCATTTAATGTTTTTGTTGTTATTCCAGAATATTGAGTTGAAGGTGGAAGTGGAGAGCTTGAAGCAGGAGCTCCTGGAGAAACAACACCTTCTCGACAAAACTCTGTAAGTCTAATAATGTGTGTGTTTGATGCATAAAGGTAGAAAATTAGAAATATAGTAAAATGAACATGTGCATAAATCCAACGTGACGTATGAACCCGGTATTCTACTGCAGCAACACTCTTATTATAGCTCAGCAGCTGATAAACACAGAGGCCCCAGCGACACCACTCACCTCCAAATACAAGCTCAAAATGAAAGTCTGTTATGAAGTTAAAAAATACAATATGTCTTTTGGTGTTTGCGACTGTAATTATATAAAAATCATGTTTTTGAACCTTCAAAAACATTCAACAGGCACTAGACCTGCTGAAGAAAGATAAGTGTTTACACTTATCTTCTACAGTGATTCTACATCTTACAGATGTAGAATCGTCTACATCTGTAAACTTTACAGATGTAGACGATTCTAACGGACGACTGGTAACTCTGGAAGTCACATTTGTTGATATTCTGCTTTAGAGCTTTTGTGTCCGTAAATGTACATAATGTTGTATGTATTATTGCTCCTTGTAATTTATTGTGATGCAGCCATTTATAGCACCTCACATTAACCACATCGTCTAAACATACATTGATGACGAATGTTTTATTACTGGAGTGTTTGAAAATAACCAAGTTATTTGAGCTGTGCATGTGTCCGAGTTAAAAACATACACAGACAGTGCGGCGCGTGCCGTTCTGGGAGCACTGACTCTGGGGAAACTCAGTCAATGAAAACCAGACGCTCGCTGCATCTGTTCTACAGTCGCACTAAAAGACAATGAGTAGTTTATATTCTCACAAATAAAGTAACATTTACTTCCATATCTCACTAAAATGTTTAGGTCGCTTCACCACAAAAGGCTAATAAAGCATTTCTCAACTTTCTAATACAGTTGATGTTGGCAAGGACTTGATCTTATTCAACTCAGCGACAACAGATACCATGCTGATGCGTTTTACATCTTCCACAAGCTGTCAAAGCAATTTAATTGTAGGAACTGCTGTATTTCAATCAAAAAATGACAAATGTGTTGAAATGAAATACTTCACTTTGAATATATTGAGAAAAAATGTTTGTTCGAATTGTCACAAGTGAGTACCACTCGATTGTGATTTTTATAATATTTTTTTCAATGCTAGCAAAACAGCAGAGAGCTTGACAAATCACAATGAAGCAGAGCTGCAGAGACGATGTAATGAAAGACAGCAGGAAATCGACGAAATGCAGCAAGTTCTGGAGACTAAGATACAGCTCCTGCAGGAGGTCAGTCAGTAAAACATACACGCACATACTCAAGTGTTTCAGCGTCACTGTAAGTGCATGTCCTGCAGGAGGCCCAGAGAGCACACAGTGAGGCAGACAGGATGGCCTCGGTGGCTGAATCCCAGCCCCAAACCCCCATTGATGACATGTCAGAGGAGGAGATGTGGCCCCCATCCACCCCCAGTAGAGACAGGTGAGAGCATGCTTTCAAGTACAGCTGTGTTTCCAAATGAAATAATGCATACAGTATATAAAACATAATGTATATGTTGTTCTTCAGCCTGATAGAAGAACTGACAAAAGAGCTTCGATCCAAAGAGGTCCTCATCTCAGCATTGACCAGTGAGAAGAATTCTCTCACTCGCCAAGTGGGGGAGCTAGAGGGCCAGGTCCAAGAGCTGTCCTCCACTCTGCTTCAAAAAGATAAAGATGTTGATGTATGTATGGTTTCAAATCTATCTTTATGAAACAATGTATATCTTCTGTCCCTGTCTTCAAGTTCTGATAGTCGTTATAATGTGCTGTCTTGTCTCTCCCACAGTTCTACCAGGATGAACTGGGTCGAGAGAGGCTTCGTATCGAGGAAGAGATGCAGGTATGGCCTCTGCTGATTGTCAAAGTGAGATCTCTATTAGGCCTATAAAGGTTTCACCTCATCTCTTTAAGAGGGACCATTACCATTACATTCACACAGACACGAACAGGTCCCCCAAGGACACAGTCTCATGGGGGTGAATTAAAAAACACAGTGCGTCAGACAATGGCTCACTCCACACAAAATATATCACTTTTCACAATTATTGTATATGCATGTATGTGTTGTCTATGTATTTGTACATACAATCCAATGGCTGTTTATTTGGCTTATGGTTTGACTTGTAAAACAGTTTCCATTGGATATGCAAATGAATCAGGTATTACCTGCCTAGATTCAAGTAAGGGAAAACTAAAACAAAAAAGAAATTACCCAAAAAAAAAAAAGTTTCACTTTCACTGTGTGGTTGTACAGAACATTTGTGGTTATGCTTATGCTGTTATGTAGGCAAAATGTGAGACCTTGAAATCATAGGTTTTTCTGAGTCAATGCAGTCATGGTAAATCTGAATCGGATAGGTTTGTTGTATCTGAGATGAGAGATTAGAGCGCAGTTCTATACTGGATCTCTCTTCCCAAGACATGGTGTCCACAGAAAATCAATGTAATCTGTTGATCAGCCCTCTGTTGATGTAATAAAAATACATGAATAGGCTCTTGGTTTTCAGACATGAGCCATATTTCCATGGCAACAGGCTGGTGTTGTAATAGAGTGAACTGAGTGAGACCTAGGTTTTCTCCAAAAGATCCATGGGTTTTCTAGTTTATTTAAGATCGCAGTGTTTTTGGATTTATTTGTTATCAGCTTCCTTGAATGACCCTTTTGGCAATGTGCTGAATGTTTAGTAAAAATGGTGTCGTGAATGAATTAGTAGAGCCTTGTCATTTGTATTTTTGTTTTGTGTTTATTGTTCAGCATTGAGCATGCAGTTTTAACAATGGGCCTTGGTAGGTTTAATAAGGCCTAATTTAATGTTGTCGTGTCACCGAGCATTTGTGGATCAGTGATGCGAATGCAGGGCAAAGAGAAAAGGAAGAGATACGCGGGGCAATAGATACAGCGTCCGGGTCAAAACAAACTGCTTTATTGTGCATTTAGATTGTAGAAGCCGATGTACGTCGCTTACTCGGGATAGTAGTGCTTTAAAATGTATACACCGTGTTTTGACTGATTTTCCGAAGTGGTTTGAGATGCGTTGGTCTGGCCCATCCCCCCTATGAATCTGAATGGTTGGCTCCATCGCTGCAGGTCTCTCCCTGTCCCCCGCACCACGAAGCGAGTCCTGTTCCTCTCTGACCACCGCAACATCTGACTGAAAGCACCGCCGCTTTCTTTACGGACTAGAACAACAATGAGACTGACCTCGTCACGAATCATGGCCAGACTGCGAAATGTTGGCTGCGAGAGCTGATGATGATGATGGTGATGATGATGATGATGGTGCAGAGACGAGACCAGGAAAAGGAAGAGAGATGCGCTTGACCGTGCAGGCCTCGCTGTAAACGTGTATTTTTCTGATTTTCGTGACTGGAAAGGACTGCATATGCTGTCACAGTGTGCGTTACTGCAGCTGAACGACAATGCCATGTCTTCATTTGCTTTTAGTGCCTCATCAGATGTTTGGACCTTCACAAATGCCTCAAATAAATCACGTGTTGTGATTTGACGGCTTGGTGAATGACGTGTGGTTGTTTGACTTAAGCGGCAAGACTGTAATGCTGGATCTGAAGATGAAGGAGGTGTGTCGCATTTGTGGACGGGAGCTCTGCGGGAACCAGCGCAGGTGGATCTTCCATCCCACCGCTAAGCTCAACCTTCAGGTGCTGCTTTCACATGCCCTGGGGCAGGAGGTGATGCGAGATGGCAGAGGGGAGTTCGCCTGCTCCAAATGCACCTTCATGTTGGATCGAATGTATCGCTTTGATACAGTGATTGCAAGAGTGGAGGCTCTGTCCATTGAAAGACTGCAACGACTTCTACAAGAAAAGCACAGGCTCAGACAGTGCATTGGTGGCCTGTACCGAAAACACAATTCAGGAGAGACTTCATTGTCAGTCATTGAAGATACTGATGGAGATGATGGGATTGTGGATATTTCCGGACTTACACACGCAAAGTACTGTGCTCTGTTGCAAGAGGACTTGGTGTACTCGTTTTATGAATCCTGGGCTGAGGATGGAGACTGCCATCAACATCAGCAGCCCTCCCAGTGTCCTCCCAGCTCTGGCTCTGAAGTGACCACTCTCGGATCTCACCGCTGCTCTTCAAGAAGATGTCGAGGTTGCTCTCATTTGCGGGTGGCAGACTCCGACTATGAGGCTGTCTGCAAGATTCCCAGGAAAGTGGCCCGGAGCATTTCCTGTGGACCATCAACTCGATATTCAGCCAGTGTTGTGGGAGTAAACATGCCAACAGGAGGCAGAGACAACTTAGAAAACAAAGACATGGAGGAAGATACAGATGAACCACCCTCATCTGTGACTTTAGTGCCCAGCTCTCAAGCCCCATCAGACAGTGACCGTACTCTGGCTGGAAGGGCGAGCTCTAGCCCCTCTGTAACATCATTAGAGCCAACTGAAGATAGCACTCAGCAAACGTATGCACAGCTGAGCCTCCCCCTGGACCCAGGAGATGAGCTGATATGTGACTCGCTCTCAGAGGAGCCCATGGAAACCACCCCCAGCCTTTCTCATGCACTGTCTCTGCTGCAGACCTACGCCGTGTACAGACCTGTACACAGCCACAAAGGAAGCAAACTCCCTGTCCTCATCAAGCAGTGCACTGATTATAGAGACTTTCCAAGTAGTTTAAGAAATTCTGTTTTGGGAATGTTTCCTACCACTCCAGAGGCAGAAAGAGACCCACATATGACGACACCAGATCTCCCAGTAATAAAGCTAAACACTGGGGTTGATCTCGATGGTGATCTGGGTAGTCTGGTGGAGTCACTGGAGGAGTTATACAAAGAATACCCTCAGCCACATCCACATCAGGTATACATCAAGGAAGTCAAAGTCTTTAAGAAATCATTGGGTCATTGTTTTTGGGTAAAGCATAGATATGAACAACCGACCTGAGCTGCTGAGCCCTGAACTAAATGGGTCACAAACAGGGGTCAGTTATAGGCTTCACTGCTCCTGTTCCCTTGGGGCAAAAAGTAAAGTAATAGTTAAAACAAAAAATACTAGTCAGGCGAGCAAACAGGATGTGTGTCATTATTGTAATAATTGTGCAAAAATATAATGCATTTGAATGTGTTTTCCAGAGCCTTGTTGAAGAGCAGCAGACGCAACTGAACCAGTATGAGTGTGCAGCTGGGCAGTGTGTCAGTGAACTGCAGAAGGCCCAGCTCCAAGTGCAATCTCTGCAAGCCAAATTCCACGAGAGTGAGGCCAACAACATGGTATGCATTTTCTTAAAAGAAAAAAACGGTTCTGTACTCCTTTGTGACATGGTTGATCTCAGAAGGGGATGGGGGCTGCCACATCTCCCATTTTGTGATATTTCATGATATATTTCCAAGTGTGTAACAATAACAGGTACACATACGGGTCTGTAGGCACTAACAACATAACTTCTTGCATCCTCCTGTAGAAACTGCAGGAGAAACTTAATGAGATGGAGAGTGAGCTTCGGTCACTTCGGCAGTCCTCTCATTGCCAAGAACGAACCATTCAGGGTCTCAATGACTGCATCCACACCAAAGACAATGAGGTTTGTATTCTTTCCCTGAATAAATATTGATATAATGTCCATATCGTTCATTCTGTCTGTCTTGTAGGCCCAGGAGCTGTACCAAATGCTTGAAGGGCAGAATTCTACTCTTTGCAAATTGAGAGAAATGGTGCAACGCAATCAGTGCAGTCAGAACAAGGTAAGACTCCTTCACTTCTATCAAAACATAATTGTCAAAACTAATACGATATTGGCTCCTGTCCAGGCTCCAGAGGGGGTGTCTGACACAGTGGCCCAGCTGCAGGATGAGCTGGTGGCCGTGCAGAGCTCGCTGTTCTCCCTTGGCCTTGAATTAGAGGCCAGTCAGAGGAGTTTGAGACAGAGCCAGAGGCGAGAGGCGGACCTCCTCAAGTTCAAAGACAGACTGGATTCAGATCTACAGGATGCAGTGCAGCATAGGGAGGTCACAGAAAAACACAACCAGGTGAGAAAAGTGGTCAGTTTGAGAAATGACTTATCCCATATTTATAATTTAAAGTTTTAACTTATTATTTGTCCCAGACTCTCCACTGCACCCTTCAAAAAACCTACTCTGAGCTTCAAACTAAAGAAGCTGCTCTGAAAGACGCAGAGTTTGAGAAGCACCATGTGATGCAGGAGAAAGAAAAGGCCATTGGACGGTTCAAACAGCTTCTGGAAGACAGAGACCAGCAATTAAGGGTGAACATTTCACATGTAGTCAAATGTCTTATGTATTTATTTATTCACACATTACTGAATTATATTTTCTGAAACCCTTATATTCAGGAATACTCTGAGATGTTGGAGTCTCTAGAAAGATGTAAGCAGAGGGATGTTCTTGTAGAGAAGTTAAGAGAGCGGATTAAAGAAAGGGATAAGGCCCTCGAGGTAAATGTTATAAAATATCTAACTACACTTTTTTATGTCCCTTTTATGATATAGCAACTAATAATTATTCCTTTTGTCTCACTGTCCAGCATTCGATAGATGAGAAATATCAATGCCTGGAAGAGCATGAGAGTCAGGCGAGAAGCCTTCAGCTGGCTCTCCGGGAGAAGGAGCGTGACCTGGAGAGGCTCCGGTGCATCCTGTCTAATAATGAGGACACCATCACGGTACGTTGTGCAATAATGAAGCAATCATAATCCTGTAAACCCACTTTAAACCAGTGTTTGTTTCAGAGTCTGGATTCTTTGATGCGCAGTAAAGATATGGAGCTGGAGCAGGCGGCAGAAGCCTACAGGAACCTGCAGTGGCTGAAGCAGCATAACGAGGAGAAGGACAGGAGCTCTCTGAGAGAGAAAGACTGCATCATTAACCAGCTGCAAGCCTCTCTACAGGCTCGCGGCCAGGAGGCACAGGTACATATTACCACTACTGCTGCTGCACATAATTGGTGTTGTGTTGCACACAGCTTTTTACAATGTGTGTTTTTTTGTTCAGGATTTGACAAGAGCTCTTCTTGCCCGGGTTCAAACTGCCCCTGGTGAGGTCATCGAGGAGCTGAAGGCTCGTCTTACTCTTAAAGAGCAACTTTTCCAGGAGCTCCTCTCAGATCGCAGTCGCCAATCAAATGAACACCTGACTCAAATTCAAGACTTGCTCAACACCATCAGTTCCAAAGATCAGTATCTACAGGTATGTCCCGTTTATAACACATTTATACAGATACTGTAAAGTCATCTTCTGACGACAACTCATTCCCCTCTCTCACAGGACTATTCATACAGGATGTCTCTGGTGATTTCGGAGCGGACAGGACAATTGCATGAAACACAAAAACAGTTGTCTTTAAGAGATCAGGAGCTGTGTAAGCTTTCACAAGTCAAGGAGCTAGGAGGAGATACAGAGAGCTTAAGAAGTTTGCTAAAAGAGAAGGAATCTCTTATTAAGGTATGACATCTAATTCTCACTTTTCTCAAATATGAGGGATCTGCAAAAATATTCGTCTTCATCAGGAGCTCCAGAGTCAAGAGGAGGCTCGAGAGTCTTTCTCAAATCAAGATGAAGCCAAAAGCTCAGCTCTGCAGGAGGAGATGAAGATGGTGCTCAAGAAGGGACGAGAAGCACAGGTACATGGTGCATTTGTACTTAACATTAGGATTACAGCACTACACTCTAAAAGTCTGACACCCCCCTTCTCAGGATGAGCTCTCTGCTTTGCAATTGTCTTTGGGACATCAGCAGACGGCTCAGCAGGGAACTACTGGAAGAGACTTTGCAGATTACCAGGTACAATATGCATAATACTATTGTATAAAACAAATCATGTGTAATCATGTATTTTCTTTCAGCTGGTGTTAGATCAGCTCTTGTCAGAGTACAACAGTCTAAATGATGCTTTGAGAGCCGAGAAGAGATTGTACCAGAATCTGAGCCAAATTCATAACAGCGCTGACAGGTAAGAGGTGCTTCTGTTGTGATTATTTAATTTCTGCTTCTTGATTCCATTACTGATCTTTTCCCTTCACTAGCAGTGCAGGAAAGATGGGGGCCCTGCACACTGAGCTGGACACGGTACAGGCACTGCGAGGACAGTTGGAGGAGGTTCTGGCTCGAACCCGTAACACGGTCTTAATGCTGGATAGAACAGCTAAAAGACCGACTGACTTAGGAGGTGGGGATGAACAGTCCACTGTCTCAGCCCTGTGTCAATTATAATGTGTGAATACTAGAGAGTGGCACTTCTGTAAGATGCAGCTGCCCGTAGATGCAGGCTTCAGACACACTTTAAGTGAGATCTAATAAACATACATTATATCATTCTACTGGCAGCTTCATCCAAGATGCACAATACTATTCCCATTAACAGTATGTGTGATAATGTTGAATGAAATTAACCTCAATTTTATTTAAATACTATTTATTAACTATATTTATACATGTTACTATTTACTAAGATAATTCAGTAAACTGCCTGTCTGTTGCTTTGCAGTGTTCTGTATTTGCATTGTACTTTTCATTAGTGTGATACCTATGGCCTTATTGTGGAGAAAGCCTCCCTTATGTGTTTAGTACATGAACAAGAATAGTTAAACAAATCATTCTTAATAGGCCTTGTTAATGGTCCTTTTATTCACTAAGGTGCACTGGGAACCTTTATAACCTTTGTACAACAAATGCAACTACAATAAATGTGTTGGGGTTGTGGCAAAAGCACTGTTTTTTATATGACTTGTGTTTGAAGTTGAACCCTTTCCCTGTGCCCATCAATAAACACACTGTCGCTGCTCACTAGTTATAAACATGTACAGAATATAACATGCCTTTATTATAAGCAGTCCTTATGCATGAAGTGGTGGCATGGTGTTCCTGTCTGCATGGCCCTTTTTCTAACTCAATAGCATCACATAAAAGCCCTTGGTACCTGTTACATAAAAGACACAACAAACCGGCCTGTCCTGCATTACATCAACATTTACCCTCAAGTTAAACTAACTGTATTTACAACAATAAATACACAATTTCAGCAATAACCAAAAGGGCAGTTGATGATGTAACATGTCATCTGAAAATCCTGCTCTTAAAAATGAGAGAAAATACAGCCCCTTTATCACAGTTTCATCATGTATTTGGATTCTTTTAGTGCCTGACAGCATTTCACATGAGCCATATCTTGTTTGTTTTGGAAAAGAAAATGCACAACTGAGGCATCACTGGCATAAAACCCACTGTCAAAGTAATTGACAAATATTAACACTGTTATTTTCGTTTGGTTAGAGCTCGGTTCAGTTGAAGAAAAAGAGTTTGATGATGACTGTAGCAGTGAGGAATTCACTGACAGCATAGAGGAAGAGGACTGTAAAGTGACTACACACAGTCAATCATCTATCCAGGTACAGAATTGGATTGGATGTTTTTGAGTTTTAAGATGTATTTTGCACCATTGATTTGTGCATAATGGTGTGTCAAAACAAAGGAAGGTTGCTCACACATCATCTGTACTTCAGTTAGCAAGTTTTCCGACATTTGTTCTTAATCAATTTTTAAGGATTAAGAAGGAAACGTCGGAAAACCTGCTAACTGAAGTACAGATGATGTGTGAGCAACCTTCCTATGTTTTGAATAATACCTGCACGACTGAGAGCGTACACAAACTTAATAATGATGTGTTTTTATAGGCTCCGGGGAAATGCCATGTTGAAGAAGAAAACAAAACACCGGAGGCTGAACTTGAAGAAATGCAGTCAGAGCTGGAGAGGGATGGCTTTAGTTCAGTATCTCAAATGAGGTGATGTCCCTTCTGCTTGTGGAATAGTTTATCTTGTCCCTCGCTGAAAGAAATGTGTTTTATTTATTTATTTTCCAGGAGTTATCTAAGAAAGCTTCAGCAGGAAAACAGTGTTCTTAAAGAGACCCTTAATCAGACTGACATGGAGCAGGATACTGAAGATGAGCTGGAGACAGAGGAGGAAGAGGACAAGGACAGTGATGAAGAGGAGGAATCTCCCTTTGACAGTGATCACCATCAAATCAGACCCAACACCTTGAGTCTGTCTTCCCATAACGCCAGTGTTGTTGTGAGTACAGACAGTTGACTTTAGCTAAAACATTGAACGCTCATATTCCAATGACTTGTGTTAGGGTGCTGGGCGTCCTGCCTGCAGTGAGCTCCCACAGGACTCGGAAGTGGGGCTGAAGGAGCAGGCTTCACGTCTGCGCTGTGATCTGGCTCTGAGCTGCCAGGAGAACAGGGAGCTGCATGAGAGGCTGATGGTGTCTGAGGCCACGGTCACTGCTCAGGCTGAACAACTACAGGACTACAGGGACCTGCTGAGTAAGTCACCATGAGCTGTTAGTGTTTTTACGTCCGATCATCAACACTAACTGAGATGTTTCTGCAGCAGAGACATCGGTCAAACAGGCCAGTAAGCATGTGCAGGTGGATCTGCAAGATCTGGGATATGAGACCTGTGGTCGTAGTGAGAACGAAGCAGAGCGAGAAGAAGCCAGCAGCCCTGGTACAATGCCATATGTCTTAGAATGTCTTAGAATGACGTTCTCTCCTAACGTCATTGTTTTGTCTTTGTTTACCCTTCAGAGTTTGATGACCTCGAGATGTGCACCGCGCTCTCACAGCAGGATTATGAGGGCGAAGGCCGATGCTGGTTAGCTGGAAACACCAATCACACAGAGCCCTTTGAAAGCAGAGGAGATCCTAGATCCCTTCAACATCTGGTTCAAGATCTGCGCTCTCAGCTCACTCATTGTCACAAAGTCATTCGAGGGCTGCAAATGAGAGTTCGCTCTTTGTCGACCACCAGTGACTATGCGTCCAGCCTTGAGAGGACGCCACGAAAAGTATTTAATTGTTTATACATTTGTTATAAAATTCTCTCTTTAATTACTAATAATCATGCGTTTTAGGTAAACTGGGCCATGGCCAAATCACCAGCACCAAGTGGCGCAGAAGAGGATGAAGGGTGGATGTCTGATCCACAGGGAACTCACTCATGGTCCAGTCGCAACAAAGAGCTCCATCATCTAATGGAAAGAGTAGCATCTTTGGAGACACAACTGAGAAACTCCAAGAAGGACAACATAGGACAATCAGAAGATGTAAAATGTGCCACATGGCCAGGGTAAATGCAGTTCAGAAATGAATTAAATTCTGTCCTAAATCAAAGCGGATGATAATAATTTTGATGCTTGTTTTTGCAGGAAGTACAACTCTTTGATTCAGGCCCAAGCACGTGAGCTTTCCCATCTGAGACAGAGGATTAGAGAGGGCCAAGGGGTGTGCCATATTCTCACCCAACACCTGGGAGACACCACAAAGGTCCACTCCTGCACAGCAAAAACACTGAAGGGGAGGGGAGTATTCCAATTTTGTTTTGACTTATTATATTTTTTACAGACTTTTGAAGAGCTACTTCGTTCCAATGATATTGATTACTACATGGGCCAAAGTTTCAGAGAGCAGCTGGCCCAAAGCACTTCTCTGGCACAGAGAGTTGTTTTAAAGATTAGTGGAAGTAAGAAAGCGTCTTGTACAATTGTACTATGCAAACATTCTAATCCTGTTTACATTATTATTGTAAGTGAAGTATTTATCTCTATAAACATGACTGTGGTTTTAGGAGACTGCAGTGAGAACTGTGATGATAAAACAGCAACACTTCTTGCCTTAAGGTGAGTTATGCACCTATGATTCTTTCTGTAATATTTAGCTAGTGTAGCTAACATTTTTTAAATACATGTTGGTTATCCCAATATAAAGAGTTTGATTTGTGAACAAATGAGAAAACATTGTATGGTTTGCATACCGAGTGATTGGCTGAGAGAGGGCTGGCTTCTCTTTTTGAAATCGAGTGTTAGAACCAACGTTTTTGAGTTTGGTACCCCAGCTTTAAAAGAGTATACATTGACTAAATAAATTATGTATAAATAGCCTTGAATAGATATGAAACACAAGGGCAAGTGATTACGTGTCATGTGACAGTGCTGCACGTTGTGGCCTCCCACATGGCGTCCTGGAGGATTGCTGATAATCCATGCACAGGTCACAGCTTGAACTTAACTGCTAAGACTCTAGCGTTGGATGGACTGAAGGTGTGCACTGGTCTTAAGAGGCTCAGTGAGTCTAAGGAGGAACTGCTTCCCGCTCTTGCTGCGATGATTATACTTATTTTTGTATGGATATAACTTAACTTTTGTCTTTTGCTCTGGAATAAACATTAAATGGCTCCTTTGTGGAAAATGATTTCAAAGAACAGCCCCGTCTACAGAGATTCTTTATGGTCTTTTTCAATGAGTTCAAGTCAAAGCCAAACGAGGCAGTCAGCTGTGTTAAGGTTTCTGTTGGAGAAAGACTTTTTACTTCAGAAACTCAAACAGTAAGACTGAAACGTGTTATATAACTTTTTGTCAATTCTTGTCTTTATATTTGGCTTCAGTTTTGTATGTGTATCTTGAGAATTGAAGCAAGTTTTTATCATTAGTATGTCTTGCTATTGTAATATAAGTGATGCCTGTAATTATTTATTTTAACCAAAAGCCATGTGTTCTTTGTCCACACAGGCTAAGTAAGGAGCTTCAGCAGAAAGACAAAATCATCGAATCCCTTCACTCAAAGCTCCAGCAGCGGGCGGACACTCCGTCTAGTTGTCACGCTCTTTCTGAAACCACCGACCAATCAGACCGGACGTCTATGTTGTCAGACGAGTTCCGAGGCACTGAAGACTTGGACTTGTGCTCTGAAGTCGACCGACAAGAATATCATGAGGAGCACCGACTGCCGCTGGGACGTTTTGCATCAGAGCAGAGTGGTAGGGATTCTATTGATTCTATTGACCTCTAATGCAGTTATACATTTTGTCATAGTCTTTCCATCTCCCTTTTAACTCTGCACCCTCAAGTTTCAGCCCGACATGCTTTGCAGACATATGCTTCATACGTCCTATTGCAGAAAAAAGCACCAAAAGCCTTGTGCAGTCTGTCTCACTATCATTATTATTCTCCCCCAGCCTCATTGCCCCAGTACCTCCCCTCTACCCATGCTCCTGGTGATTGGGGTAAGAAGCCTTCCTCTGCCTCCTGCCCCAGGTCTTTGTCTGTCAGTGCTGCTCAGCCAGATGTGTTATATGAACAGAGAAGGGGTAAGGGAAAAGGAATGGAACAAATCGTATTTAGTATTGTATTTGTGTAATATTACTTTCATGTGTGTCTGCACAGGTTCATTTTCATCTGGACTCAACTATGGCCAGCATTCTCATCTTGCCCTTCAACAAAGACAGTTGGGAATACAAAAAGACTCTGGTTTGGCAACAGGAGGGCTTCTGTGGGAGATAGAGAGTAAGGCTCAACCAATAGGAAGCTACTCTGGATTAACAGAGAATCCAGCCAACAATGGAGCAGGTAACAGCTGTTCCACGGTGTGTAGTAAGAATTAGTTTTCATTTGACTTAAAGAATTTTTCATTTTCAACAGGAATGCGCCTTATTGAGGAACACTTACAGGAAGTAAAGTGTCTACGTCAGCGTTTAGAAGAGTCCATTCAAACCAACGAGAAACTGCGTCAGCAGCTTGAGGAGAAGCTGGCAAGCACAGGGCGAGAAGGAGGTAAGTTGGATATATTTAGTGCCTAATGGAGAAGTAAAAGTGAGATTCAGAAGCAAAATTATATTTGTTTAAGGAGCAGCAACAAACATCTACATTCAAGGACTTGACACAGTTAGTCAACTGTCAAATGAGATTAGAGTCCTGAAAGAGGACAATCTGAAGCTACAGTCACGTCTTCAAGCAAGCACAGGTAACACAGAGTGTAATTTCTGATTGTTATTAGTAAAAGAATTCCACTGATAATATGTTTTCTGTTTATGTTCTTAGGTGAAGAAGTAGTCCAGTTGCGTGATGCAGTATTTGCGGCCCGTGCTCGCCTTAAACAGGCAGAATTAGAGACAGAGCAGTGGAAAGAGGAGCTGAGACGTCTTCAGATTCACAGTCAAGAACAGGCACAGCAGTTGAATGCTTTAAGACAGGAGCGGCAGGCGAACCAGGAGCAAAGCAACAGGTTTCTCTCAGAGCTACTTTCCAAACTGAAACTAACGTGATTTATTCCTAAATTATCTTGTGGTATTTTCAGACTTCAGCATGACATTAGTCTCCTACAGCAACAGCTATGTGAAAGTAGGGACCTGATTCACTCGCTGCAGGCTGAGCTGCAGGTTTATGATCAAGTTTACGCTCGAACTAAGCCACATAAAGGTCAGTTTCATTTTCTTTCTTTAGAAAGCCTTTAAACGCGCCACCTAGTGGGCATTTAAATGATAATTTTTTTGTGTTCAGGTTTTTTATCTGAGCTTCCTATTCTACCGTTGGAACTTGCCGAGCTTCTTGGGGAAGTGAGGAGTTTGCGTGCCCAGCTGCAAAACAGCATCCAGGAGAACAGCTCCCTCAAACAGCTGGAGCTCCACAAGCAGCTGGAGCAGAAACTGGGCTCCCCCAGGACCCTGTGCGCCCTTACTGCCAGCCCACAGAGAGAGCACTTCTACAAACGCCAATTTCTGCATGGTGAGCACTGAGCAACATCAGATCTTCACAAATGCGCTGTGCACTGCGTGTAAAACCAGTCAGCTGCATGTGTGTGTGTGTGCGTGTGTGTGTGTGCTCCACAGACCCTGCCCCGTCTCCACCGGTCAGGGACATCGGTCTGTTTAACTGTGGATCCCCCGGTCCACCATACTCCGAACTGGAGGACTGCGATATTGCTCCAAATGGTGTGATTCTTAACTGCACGGCTTGTTGTTAGCTTGACTAATATGTTTCTGAATACAATGTTTTAAACAGCTGATCCCCTTTTCTCTGAGTGAGCCATAGAATAAAAAAACATCTCAAATCAATTAACAAAATAAATATAACAAAATACATGCTGTAAATAATAATGATAAACAAACACTACCTCAATCCTTTCAGACACATTTGACCCTCATGCTGAGTTGGAGGGAGAAGCACCCGATGGATCGTTTGCAAACCGTAACGGTCGCCATGTCATCGGGCATGTGGACGACTTCAGTGCTCTGCAACAGCAGATTCTGGAGGGCTGCAGTCTCATCCATCAATTAGACTCTATGTTAAAGTCATGCCAGAGTTCACTGATGAAAGAGCAGACACAGGGCCAAGAAAATGTAAGACACAATGACGTTTTCTGCAGGTGTGAGGCTCTGTCACGTGGATTATGAATAATGTGAATCACATTTTCTACAGTTTATGGATGAAAGTTGTGTTCCGATTTTATTTGCCAACACTAAAACTCTGAGGCAAATCTTTGATGAAGCCATGTCTCTGCTGAAGATGTTCTGGAGAGCAGCTCTCCCCAGCACAGATGCCTCGATACACAGCCTTAAGAAGGTCAGTGAAAATAATAATTATTCTTTACGTGTTTGAAATGTGGAAGAAACGAGGTTTTTGTCACATTGATTCAGGAGCAGTGCCTTCAGGAAGAGATTCTGTCGCTGAAACGCCGTGTTTCGGAGCAGGATGAGGCGCTCAAAGGTACAATTCAAAGACTGAGAAGCACCAGCCGCACAAAGGACAGCATGGAGCACTTCATCGTCAGCCAGTGTAAGTTCAGTCATCATGCACAATCCACATCAGTCTGTTTCTCAATTCATTTATATTTATTTATTTATTTTAGTGTCAAGAACTCGAGACGTGTTAAAGAAAGCAAGAACAAATTTGGAGGTAAATGATTATTTTTCTGGTTTTAAGAAGTGTATATACAGTATATTTGTGGTAAGTGTTTCCTGGTGTAGCTCTAAGTGTGTCCTCTGTCACCTCATATGATCTTTCTTAAATATCCAGAAGAACGAGTTGAGACTGTCTTCTCTTAGTTCGTCCTCCCCTCACACTGGTAACTGTCTTGCATCTTGTGTGTTTTGAGTGTGAACGGCTGCTGTTTCTCACACATAAAGCTTCGGTGTGTTGTCGTGGCACTCAAACATAAACGCTTTTACTAACATGCTGGATTATTTGCTTCTCCATCCCATCATATTCTATATTTGTTTAATTTGTAAAAACGTCCAGCAGTTACTGAACAAATACAGTTCCATTAAGAACTATTGTTTATGCTACTACAGGTGAAACTCTGACTTTGTCCAAAAGCACATTTACTTATTTAATTCAACTTAGAATGTGAAACTAATATATGACTCATTACACACAAAGTGGGATGTATCAAGTCTTTATATTTAATGTTGATAATTATGGCTCACGGCCCCAAATAATGCTTCAGTTATATCAGTTACATCAGTATATACTGCTGTTTGGACACTCAAAGATGCTTCACATGCAGTTTTCATTCACACCATACATAATGCTGATAAACCATTAATGTAGCCACAGCTGCCCTGGGGCAGACTTACAGGAGCAAGGGAACCAATATGTGCCATTGGCCCCTCTGCCACAAACCACCAACCATTCATGCACACACCAGACTCATACTAATCAATGTGGGTGAGCCTCCTGAGCTCTGTTTAGTGCTTTGAGAACTGTTTTTTTATCGAACGCTGTTATTTGTTGTTTGTCCCAATGGCCATTGATCAGTTCAACAATAATTGTATTTTGTCTTATTTGGAGTTGTTCTGTATCCATTTCTTCAATAAGTTTGTGCTCTAACAAATCATGTCTGTTCTCACACTCTGGTTCATAAAGTAATATCACCGTTAATTGTCCCATAGGAGTATAAAAAGCCTAATATAAAGGATTTTAGACACACTGCAAGCAGGGCCAAAAATATTAAAATTCAATTCTTAGCAACGTTTACTTTTGGAACCACCAGGTGAGCGGGCGCTTCACAGCTCCATGTGATCACAATCCAAAAACAACCAAATTACATCTTTTATGACAAATCTTCAGTGCAGCATCTTCTGTTCAAGTCCAAGCATTTATCATATTTGATTAATTTGCTCTGACCAAAGTGCTATTAACTACTATATCATTAATAACTATTCATGATTTTTTTTTATATATGATATTAATAATATTGTTAAATTTTTTGCAGCTGAAGAGCCAAGAGAGGATGCCAGAAAATGGCCTTCTGATTTCGGTCTCATGACCTCCAGTGGTGCGGCCAATCAACACTTGGCAACAAGGAAGCGTACCAGCCAATGCCTGCTTTAGACTTACACCAGCTGCAACTCTAACACCTCCAAGCAAAAACAGCCATGATCCCTCCTGGCTATTAGTCCCCTCACCAGCCAGTCTTCACAAAACAGTACAATAATTTCTGCCTCAAAAGAGCTTCCACCTTCCTGTCTTTTAAAGACAATTACCCTCAGTATAAGCTGCGAGCCTCACCTTGCGGTCAGCCATACTGTCTTTGAGTGATCCATAAGCAGTGTACCTTGCCATGAGAGTGACAAAAGAAAGTGTTCGACATGTGTCTGAGATGGTTCCAGAGACGTGTGCCTTCACATCGAGCTGGGAAAAGATGCATCTTAAGTGATTCTATATGCATGGATAACATATATATGATATGTATATATGATATTTATCTTCTACCAAATCCAGATATGTCACTATGGGCATCCTTGTGTGAGAGCCAGACAACCTGTGGGGGCAATATATGTTTGTGCATGTTAACCAGTGGCTTGAGAAAGGAATCCACACAGCTCAAACTAACAATACCATGTGTGTTAATTACCACTCAAAGACAAGTAAACTACAAGGTTGAATGTCACAGAAAAAGTCTGTTTTTGAACTGGGGCAATTTCAATGCAATGACATCACAATGTATTATTCACATTGGAGGAATGTATCTTTGTAATCACAGCTTTTAAGTAAGTAAAGATAAAATGTGAACAATTTGAACCAAAATCAGATGCAAGATTTATCCAAGCAGGCCTCTCTATTAGCTTACATGCAGATAACAAAATTTCCATGAAATATATGTTTCAAAATTGCTTGAGGTCTAGCAAAGAAAAAAGCTGGCCAAAAATGATTCATGACACAATCCAATGTATTTTTACGTCATGACAGTTTTAATTTGAGGATGTGCAATAATGTTGAATGAACTATTATCCTCTGTGTGTTTATTAGTGTAACTAGTATTATTTACATCATGGTGCAGGAGCTTGCCAGTAGTTGCCAAAGTTTGAGCTTTGAACTTCTTTCTGACATGCTGTATCCATGAGAATGAAGGCTGTGAGTCCAGAACAGAGATGGTAACTGTTAGACATTGAGACATTTATCTCTATTTTGGACCAATGTAAAGATTCAAAGATGAGAGCAAAGGTGTGTTTGCCAAATAAGTTTTTATACATTGTATTTCTCTTGGTTCAGACTTTGAGCATTCCTATGGACGTGGCCATGTAGATTGGTTCCCAAAAAACACAAACTTTGGCAGACTACTGGTGGGATCACTGTCCTCTTGTGTAATCATGAATTGAACACTTTAGTTGTTTCTTTGCGGCTTTTCTGTTGTAAATATGTTTGTGTGTGTTTGTGTGTGTGTGCGCGAGTGTGTATGTGTGTGCGAGTGTTTTACATTGAGGCAACATTTGCTTTTAAGCAAAGTTGACATCCTGGGTACCTGTGCAATAGCTTGATTGTACTTTGAGCATAGTTTTACAACTTTGCTTCATGTATTTGTATGATGTGTATGGTAGGAACGTACACTTTAGATCAGGGGTCCCCAAAGGGATGGTGTCATCTGTAAGGAGCATCTTTTTAGTTAAACTTTGTGCTGAAGTGTGGCCTCTATATGGCAAGCAAGATGAATCCCTTAATTTCCATTTTAAAAAGCAACTTAAAATATGTATTAGCAATAAACCTTTTGATGTAATACATTATTAGGTTTGACGCTTTGCACATTGATCTGTGTTCATTGAAATCCTTTTGACGCCCCTGATTTAAACTGAGTGTAGCAGTGTGTTGAAAATGTATCTTCTACATTATACAGTATGGTACCGCATATGAAAGCTCTGATTGCTGTTGCTTCGCTTGCCTTTGAGCTTTTAGCTGAAAACTGCTGCTTCACTTATCTTTGAGGTGAAAAGGCCTTGAACTTGTGTCGAGTGTATTAATAAGAAATTAATCCAGGTTTTGTTTGCGCTCAAGTCCTTACAAGTAATGACTGTTGCCAAGTATTTCAACGAATGTTTGATTTTAAAATACCAAAATATTGTTAAAGAGAAACATGAGATATAGAGCACTTTGTAAAGAGCGTAAACAAAATTGTTTTGATATTAGGGCAAAACTGCAGTAAATGTACTATAGAGTATGAGTTGCGTTTGTATATACAGCTTTGTGATGAAAACTTGTTTTGGGTTTTTGCATTATCTAAAATAGGAGGTTCTTACTCTTGACGTGTTGTGTTGACAACAATATTGCTGAAAAAATAAAACATTTAAAACTCCTTTTAGTCTTTTGTCTAAATAACATTTCTGCAGCAGATGAATAATGAACAGGATTAATGAACAGTGTTTCAACTTTATTTTCAAACAAGTAAAACCTTGTTTAACATTTCATTCATAAGATTCAAGTTTATGTTATGGCAATATTTTGCCATGAACTCACTTTCCCATTTTTGATTTAATATCCCAGAAATGCAAATTCAAACAGGTACAAGTACATGTTTAAAACAGTGTTATACAAAAACAACCTTTGGACATAAAAACAGAAACAAGTGAGGACAAACATTATAATAAAGCATATTACTTAGCGCTTGTCATGACACTGGAAGACACTTCACATTTTTCATTCACTCGATACATAATGGTGATAAACTACTGCTGTGGCCACAACTGCCCAGGGGCAGACTGACGAAAGCGAGGCAATCGGTTTGTGCCAACGACCCCACCAATTACCACCATTATTCACACACACACCAGACTCATACTAGGCAATGTGGGTGAAGTGTCTTGCCTAAGGACACACCAGTTTGGCTCTTTACAGCAGAGGTCGCTTCACTGCGGCACCTGGTGTTCCCCTGGAGTCTCCCATCACAGTACTGACCAGGTTCTACACCATGTGAGAGCCTGTTCCCGTCAGATCATTTACATGTTTCCCAAAGCTAATGATCAAATAACACACACACATTAAATAAAATACTTTTAAAACACAAACCATTTAGACACTTGACCACATCAAAAAACAAGTGAATCGAAGACATCCAACTCTTGTCAAATACATGTGTTCTGACAATCGTTTTACTTTAAAAGTTTGAATGTAATGATTGTTTGTCTCGGAGCAGGCACTAAGTTTGGCAGTTAACATGCAGTTTTCCAATTGTACATGCAGACAAAGAATGACACCACAAATATTGCAGCACAACACGGAAGTACTCATTGTAAAACAAAAGTCATTTATACTCACAATAAAATGACCTACACAGTGTTTTGTTGACTGTATGTGACATGTGACACCATAAAAGACACACATCATGGTCTTCTCTTCCTAAAGAAAGCGTTGGTAATTATTGGCTGACCTGAAAGTTGCTCGTGAATGTGTGAGGATGGAGCTCCGGCAGAGGAAGACCACATCCAGGTCAGGGATGGTTTCACAACTGCCATCTGAGAAATGTCACTTGAGCTGGTGGTGTTAAATTGGCTTGTAAAGCAAAGAGGTGACATATTTCTTCTTGTATCTGTGAGTGGCACTGAGCACCATCACACCGTCCTACAAGAGCACATAGTATCTTTCACCATGAGACAAGCAAACTTATGTCATTGTGTCAGGATTTACCTTTATCGACAGGGCATATAGGTGGTTTAACATGACATGATTCGGTTCAGGCAACAGAGCAGGGTCACACTGTAAGGAATAGTTATTATAGGACTTTTCCCTTTTGTTTAAAATTGTCAACAAAAACAGATTAACTTACAGATATATTTGTATCTTTGTTTAGTATAACTTGGAGGAGATGTGGTGGGAGTATAGGTGGCCCTTTAAAATGTTCCTCTGGTCTGAATATATACTGGCTTTGTCCGTACGGTCCAGGAGGAGAGCTGGACAAATCTAAGCAGAAAAAGCACATAATTTAGCTGTGAATCTTTTCCACTTTCACAACCCACAATATCATATCATACAGAAGACATGAGGCCTGACCTGAAGTGTCAGAACACTCCAGAGAGTCCACCTGCAAAGCATCAAACACCTCAAAGTCAGACTTTTTCACATGAATCAGGTTGTTGATAGTTCCCATTTGGCTCGTCACAACGGGCTACAAGAGAGACATGAGTCAGATACAAGCTGGTACAAGTTATAGTCATTTAAGCAGATCACACACACATGTCAGACATCAAAATTAATACCTCTGATGGATCATGGACCCATTGGCCATCAACAAAAAACTTATACTGATGTTCTCCTTCTGGTAAGTCAAGGATTGCTACAAAGTCGTTATGGCTTTGAAAACAGACACTTTCAGCACACAAATATGAAAACTGAGAAGAATTGAAACAGTACTAACAACTACCTTTTATTCAGTGGTATCTTTGTACTCCAGTTGTTAAATGAACCAGATATGTAAACCTCCTTCCCTCCCCCAGCCCAGCGAATGACAGTGGGCCGAGCTTGTGGCCCGGTCTTCACAAGGTCATCCAGATCAGGGGCAAACTCCTTCTCTTCAAGAGCCTAAAGAAAATTAAACACTTAAATAAATTGAACTTGTAGAAAAGTCCTTTGCTTTTAGATGTCTTTTTACTTTGCTTTCAGGACCATGGGTGTTAAAGATGTTTGGGTCATCAGTACTGTCCACCAACTTGTTGCTGGGCTCTTGGTCTTTGTGGCCGCTGCTGTCTGTCCGTTGGGCCTTGGCTCCATGTCGATCCACAGTCACTCTGTCACTTGTGTTGCCCATAGTGCCACACTATTTAAAGAGCATCTGAGATGAACATGCAGAAACAAAAAACATAGAATTACAAACCAACCTTCTAATGTATATAAATAAATGGAAATAAATAAATACAATAAATAAATACGACAGCTATCTTCCTAAACAACCATAATACAACTGTACCATGGTTTAGTAAAGTAGCAAACCGATGCACATGACCTTTTTGAGTATAATGTCATTGTTGTCACATAAACCCTGTTCGCGCAATCCTCCATTAGCCAACAGATTAATCACAGGTTTCAGGAGTATTTCTCTCCACACACGCCACATTGAAGCAGGCTGAAGCTCCTCCAGAGCTCTTTTAGCAGAGATTATTTAGTCTGCATTAACGTAAGCCTTCTTTACGTTAAGTTACCATACGTCAATTTTGATGAGCAAATATTACAGCAAAACCGCGTCCTTTTTTCTGTCACCAGACCTACCAAATTCAGCCGTCAGGATAGATTGTTTATTTAATGCCAAAGGTCAGACTCTTCACACCACTGCCGACTATGGTGCCGACCAGCGCTCACAACGCTCTGTAAACAGCCACTGTCCGTACGGCGAGCCCAGAGGGACAAACTAGGAGAAGACGTAAACGTTCTGTCGACCAGCCAATGAAAATATCACGGATCGACTAATAACCATATAATACATTCATGGTTTAAGTGACAAATTATTAAAGGTTCGGAAATTATTCATGATAAAAGGTAGACTACAACCAGTAATGGCGCAGAAGGTAAACAAGTTTCCCATAAATATTTTTGACATAAGTTTTATTTCTCCCCCATTCAGACAAATAACAAAATGTAGCATTAAGAGTCCCTTTTATTAAAAAATAATTATAAGATTGTCTAAATGACATTTCATTTGAAATTAAATAACTATTGTAATAAACCCAAAGCCACCTTATTATGAATGAAATACTTTCCAATTATCTATCTCAGATCATTTTCTTTGGGGAAACAAAAACTCTAAGAGGTATGATGCAATTTACTAACTACGTTCAATTTCATTACCCTACAGCAACAGAATGTAGCTGTTAAAAGGTTTTAGTAATCAGTTTATCCTATAGATATGTATAATATTATTGGAAAAAGATCAATTTCATTCCAAAGACTGTAAGATGTTAAAAGTACATTTCCAGGAAAGAAAACATTGAGCAGTGAGGAAAGATACAATTCTCACAGTAATTATGCACATGTTATACTTATGAAACTTATAAAACCAATGAAAAATACCAGTGCAAAAAACATGAATATGCTTTTTGGAGCTACCTGCAAAACCTGCAATGCTTTATACAAGGCACAATCCATATTTTAAATAACCAATGTATAAAAAATCACATATCAATTGCAACTCTGAAATATCATCATGCACACATCATGTTACCACAGTCTGTTTAATTTGATAGAATTAAATAATAGTGAATGAATACTCTGAATGAAAACTATAGTGACACACACACACACACACATCAAAACAAAATACAAGTTCCATAACAGTCAGGCATGTTTTGAAATGTTTTGGTGAAAATATTGCTCATGCAGTAAACGGATTATTCAAATGATAATTTAAAACATGTGCGTTTCTGTAATCGATCATGCAGATTATCCATAATAGATATAATTAAGACTCATGCATTACATTTTTCACTTGTTTTTAATCGCCATAGAATCATGATTTGGATATGCCCAAGCCAGTCTTCATATTCTCATAAACCACATAACTTATACTAACAGCAGGTATAACTTTCATGAAGTTTGGTAGAATACCACGATAAAGTCCAAAAAAACCATCTTTTGCAACAATTGTCCTCAAAAGTGAATTCATTGATGGCTGGTCAGATGCATTGAGAGATGCTGCAAGAGAAGTAAAACAAAAACATATTACAGTTTGGTTAATTGAATTGCCATTATAGCGCACAGAAAAAATATCAACACCTCACTTGTGAAGGTAAAGATGTGATGGAATCTTAATTTGTTTTGTTGTAATACTGAAGCTTATTAAGTGACACACAGTTACCTTGTGCCTGCATCCGCGTCCGCACAAGTGCAAGTGGATAACTGGCCAACTGACCACAGGTGCTCGAGATGGTGCCACAACCCACCAACACCATAACGCCGGGGTTTGTAGAGTCTTTGTGATACGACAACCAAAAATTCTTTAAAGTCTGAGGATTAAAAAATACATAATGTTAAAGACACTAACTTGATATAGATAATATAGTGAGTAATTCAATACCTCATAAACAGCCAGGTCTATTCCAGCATATGGGATGATGCCCAGAAGGTTGGGAATATAGCCTTTGTAAAATGCTTTGGGTCCCTCATTCTTCAGGATCTTTTTGGCACAATCAACCATTCCTGAGAACTGTCCTGTTTTTCTTAAGGTCAGTCGAGTTTTTAACACCTATTGACATAACAAATAAAATGTATATTGTAATACATCAATACTTGCAGATCAGTAAAGTATAAAAACAGGTTAACATCACAGAACAAACCTCCATAGGGTAGATGGCAGTCTGTGCGGTTGCTCCAGCCAGTGAGCCAGCCATAAACCTACAGTGCGTCTCTATTTTTTGACCATCGGATGTCAACAACTTTTTATACTGCAAGGGATAAATTTAAGTCTTTATAAAGAACTCTAGTGCGTTGAAATGCTACACCTCAGATCAAAATGTCTCCCAGTTTTAATGGAGAAGCAAGGGAAAGATGAAATGATCTCTGAAGGACATGAAGTCAGATGAGATATTCTTTAGCTCTTACTTTCAGATTAAATTATGAGGAGATCCTCATTTGACAAATTTCACAGCCTATAAATACAGTTTTTTCAAAGACCAAGAGAGTGCCATTTCATTCTCAGGGATTATTGCACTGCTCTTAAGATCTGTCCACAGGTTCAGGAGAATGAGTTCCAGCACAAACCTTCATAGTCGCTTTTTAGGTTTGTTTTTGACTATTATCCATAAAACAATATAACTGAAATTACGGGTAGTCAAATAACACTAGAAAATAATATAAAGCCTCACAACTCTGGGGTCCAGAAAATAAATAAATATAATACATAATTGGAGAGAGACAGATAAATCTCTCCATTGAAGATTTATCAGTCTGATAAATCACAGAGATTTATCATATTAATCAGCCATACATACTATGTATGTCCATAGCATGGATATAGATATAGTAAATCTTACTTGTTCATATGCCATAAATTTGATTGCGGTCTCTGGTGCAATTTTTAAAACATTGATTCCATTGCCTCTCCACAATGACATTAAACCTCCTTCCGTAATCATCTGCCTTAAACCACCAACCAAGCCAATCTTGTTGGATTTGGAGGAATGAACCTTAAAATAATCAAAATAGTATGAATTTAGTGAACTTGAACAAACAAAGTGTGTATAATCTTTGTAAAATGTGTTCAAGCAATAACCTACCTGCATAAAGACCTTTAGTCGGTCTAGAGGAGCTGTACCAGTTCGAGAGACAGCTCCTGCGATGGCACCTGCCACCAGGTGCTTCCACCAGACACCGGAGCTTTTCTCTTCTTCTGTGAACTCATCTGGGATGGCAAGACTTTCACCAAGGTCCAAAACCTAGACGGCATTTCAACAATGTGACCTCGTCAGTATTCAAAATATCAACAAACAAATACACACATTACACACTCCATAACAGTGAGCAGCTTACATACAGTGGAGTGTTTCCAGTAGCGGATGATCTCTTGCAGGTTGTGGGCAGGACAAAACAGGAAGTGCTCTCTCCACTCATTCCAATCAACCATCAAGGTGCCATCAATGTCCATGCTAAAATCCCAGAAATAGGACAATTAGAAACACTTCATTTGGCACAGACGTATTTTTTAAAATGCAAGTAATTCTGCTATTTAAACCTTTGTAGGATTTTCAAAGCACTGTCTTCACTGACATGAATGCCTAACTCTGCAAGAGACTGCTGTATCTCTGAGGCATCAATGCGTCCTGCAAATAAACATTAGAAGTAGTACTCTGGAATGCAGTACAAAAAGGTAGAAACAATAACCTACCATCATTGTTTTTGTCCAAACTCTTGAAAGTTAGCAAAAGCTTCTTCTCATGTTCTTTGAGATATTTAGAGAACTCATTGAAGTCAAGACTGCCATCTTTGTTTTGGTCACCTGATGAGACAATTTTCTGTAGGAAGGACAAAAGACACAAAGTGAAGCCATTTAAACCCACTTGAAAAGGGAATAGCAGGTTCATTCACAGGCCCCATGACATGAAACACGACAGGACCACCACTTCTCCCTCTACCTGTGCTGCTCCTTGGCGGAAAATACCCATTGCTTGAAGTCCCGCCCGTAACTCGGCGACATCCACTCGTCCATCTTTATTAGTGTCCAGTCTCTCAAACAGCTCCTGGTACCTCTCACTGTTGGCATCCAGGCAGCGAGCAGGCGACAGTAAACACGTCCGAAGCATGATGTGGCTCTGCGGGACAAGCGACTGGAGTCTTTCCAGATGTTACAGCAAACCTCTGCAAACCATAGTGTACAGTTGATGTTTTATGCGTAAATGTGCACTATCACTATTTGATGCCCAGTTTCTGAACATAGATGTATGTGCACAGGCTTGATCCGATTTGGAGCACAGCACATAGCAGGAAGCCGCAGTGGTGGAGGGCGGGGCTGCTGGCTGTATCCATCACGGTATCCATGTACGTGTCATGGATGTACGTGTACGTCAGCCATCTTTTCTGCACAAACAATGTATTCGAATATGGATCATAATTAGATTTTATATTATTATCAGCGTTACCACAGGGATCACTGCCATACTTGTATATGCTATTTTGATTATTTTGTGAGGGTATTATATTTAAATGTACACTACAAAACTACTTCTAAGGTCCCATCAAAGCCTTCTAATTTAATTTGTTATGTAGTTGTTAATACCCATCACGTTAAACTACAGCAATGAAAGTCGTTGAAAGTCATGTTAGGTTCCGTGTCTTAAAGTTGCAGGTGGGGCCTGTGTGCGGGCGGTGATCTCACACTAGGATTTGTGGAGGTACCCATGAGACAATTTTCTGTAGGAAGGACAAAAGACACAAAGTGAAGCCATTTAAACCCACTTTAAAAGGGAATAGCAGGTTCATTCACAGGCCCCAGAGACAGTTGCTGCACATGAAACTCAAGCCCTTTGGAGATTTGTGGTATTATTTTGGGATCGTGGGCGCCCTCTGGTGTGTGATCTAAGGTCACCAAGCCATAGGATGCCAAACAGATCAATTTACTACACGCTATAATCAGTGTAAGTAATGTATAATAACTTACATGTAATTGTAAAAAGTTTTGGTTATATGTCTGATCTGTTGGACTTTTTTTTTTCTATGTTGATGTGTTTTTTTAGTTTTTTTATGTGACGTACTCATCACTTCCGCTCACACTTCCTGTTTCAGTGAGAGCAGAAGCTAACGTCGGCGGGAAGTTGTTTTCATTGTTAAAATCCATATTCCGGCAGTACGGCTCCTAACGAGTTGCGTTAACGACTGAAATATCCCCCTATTACATCAATGGAGCTATAATTGAAACATCTAGGCTTGCTAACTACGCTGCTCTCGGCCCGGGACCATTCGTGGGAATCAAGAATCATGGCTAACCAGCTAACAGCGCAGGCCGTGAGCAAGACTGCACCAGGAAAACATGGGAATGTTCTGCCCTTGTGGGGCAACGAAAAGACTATGAACCTCAACCCAATGATTCTTACCAATGTGTTGTCTTCGCCATATTTTAAAGTTCAACTTTATGAACTCAAGACGTATCACGAAGTTGTGGACGAGATTTATTTCAAGGTAAATGAACAGTTGCTAACCCGCATGCTAGGTTAAGCCTGTTTGACTGCTCAACACAACACTCGATATCTGTTTTAATACGCGCTGGGTATCATTAAGCTGTGCAGTTTTGATCATATTGACAACAAAGCACTCGCAGTTCAGACGCGTTTATACGGTAACATTGATTTTTTTATATACTTATTTACTTTACATTTGGGTAATCTTAATATTATAACCCGCTGTTATAAATCGACAACAACAAATACTTTCCTATGTATTCGACTGAAAATGAGTAACTGATTATACCTTTTCCTTTCCTAGGTTAATCATGTTGAACCTTGGGAAAAGGGAAGCAGAAAGACCGCCGGTCAAACTGGAATGTGCGGAGGGGTAAGTAAGAAGTACGTCTTTATGTCATAATAGCCTCTGCAGTAATCCCATTATGATGTGTACAAGCTGTGTTTTATAGAACTGTTAAAATGTTTGGATCTGTATGATTTCAGGTACGTGGAGTTGGAACAGGAGGAATTGTGTCAACAGCATTCTGCCTTTTATATAAACTATTTACGCTCAAACTCACTCGCAAACAGCTAATGGGTCTCATCACACACTCAGACTCTCCTTACATCAGAGCTCTTGGCTTCATGTATATTAGGTATGACTATTTAGTTTTGATTCACGTTTGAAAATTTTTTAACATATATTTTTATGACAGGTACACTCAACCTCCAGCTGATTTGATTGAGTGGTATGATGGCTTCATGGATGATGAGGAGGTATGTCAACCTGGGTAATAATTTCTTCTTTATTCTCTTCCTATATGTATGCAACCACAGGCCATTAAGCATAAACCCCTTGTGATGCTCATGGCTGATTTTTCACCTTTGCCTTCATTTGGCTTAATTATCCCCAATGTGTCCTTAAACTTAAGCAGTTGAGCCCCTCTGCTGTGCCCCTGCTATTTTTAATGGTAAGTACCATGATGAATTTAGTTTAGTGCATGCTCATTTTCACTCACTGAATTTTAAGCACTTGTTGAACACAACTAATATACAATTGTGCATTTCTTATGATGACATTTAGTCTGTCAAAGCTGTTACATTATTTTTAATATATTTGCATTGATTATTAAAAGGCTATCTAACCAGGCCTATATAATGTTATGCTGTTCTCATGTAGACAAGTGATCATCTTCCCACATGGTTAATTCCCTTGTTTGTTTGTTTTTCCTTTAGATGTCCATTGTGCAGCAGTTGAATTGGATATTGTATCTCAGCACTGTTGGTTTGTGTGTGTGAGTGCAAAATGCTGTTCTAATATTATAAAAACAAAATTGGTGTAGGCACTCAGCGCTCTCACGCTGGGCTTTTTTATAATTACCCAGTTGTCTTAGTTTTCTGCTCCCTCTAACCCTTGGCACAAAAACATTGTGGGCATTAACAATTTTTGGTTTTTCAAATACCCCCACTGTTGGGATGAATAAAGGTTCTCTTGTGTATAATTGTGATATTAAGCTAGATGAACAGAGGTGAAAGTTCAGTACGTGTGACATCGTATATTGTATACATTTGTGTAAACATTAATTTACTGCTTTGTAAATTAACAAGTTTTTATATGTTAATTTCAGGAACTTGATGTGAAGGCAGGAGGAGGCTGTGTCATGACTATTGGAGAGATGCTTCGCTCTTTCTTGACCAAACTGGAGTGGTTTTCCACTTTGTTTCCTCGAATTCCTGTACCTGTGCAGAAGGCTATTGACCAGCAGATGAAAAGTAGGCCTCGTAAGGTTACTCAGACGGAGGCTGTGGAAGAAGAAGCAACTAATGTAGAACCTGGAGGACAGGGGGAACGTCACAGTTCTCGGTAACACGGTGTTTTACTGTTATTGGTTGATATTTTAACATATTTATGGCCAGCAAGGTTAATTCTTGATGTCTTCTAATTTAAACTTTTGAAAAATTATGTTATTTCTATACATTATAGGTCTTCACGTCGATCCCAGAGTCCTAAAAGATCCCCTAAACGCTCAAGAAGCAGGAGCCATCACAGAGAAAGAGAACGACGTGGGCCCAGTTTTGACCGAGAGTTGGAACGAGAGCGGGACCGGCAAAGGAAAGAGCGAGACCGGGGAGAGCGAGACAGGCGGCGCTCACGAAGTGCAGACAGAAACCAAGAGCGGCGAGAACGCAGAAAAAGCAGAAGCGGCAGCCGGGACCGGCGGACCGAGCGAAGGGACAAAGAGCGGGATGGAGGTGAAGATAGGAACAAAAAGAAAGACAGGAATCACCACAAAGACAGGGCCTCAGAGAGAGAGCGATCTCGAGACCGAAAGAACAGAGAGGACGAGCGCAGACATAAAGATGATAGGGATCGGCAAAGAGACGAGCGGAAGGCCAGGAGATCGAGCAAAAGTCGAAGCAAGGAAAAGAAGCACAAGAGTGGTGATGAAAAGAGTCGCAAATGTGAGCGAAGCCACACTCGAGAGAAGGAACGCGACAGAGAACGAGATGGAGAAGCGCGATCTCACAAACGCAGTGGTAGTAAAGACAGATCCCACCACCAGCATGAGTCTAGTAATGACTACAGTAAACACAGTGAGCGCAAAAGAAGTCGAAGCATAGATTGAACTGTTTGTGGAAAAGCATTTGTCCACTCTTGTAATTTGCGCTCGCCAGACATCTAGAAATGTCTAGATTTAGTGTTTTTGCCTTTTTGTTTTTTGCCCTTTATCAGATTAATTTAGTCTGGAGAAAGCCCTTTTTTTACTGTTCTATTTTTACAGAAAACATAGGCGAGTTGTACATAATGTTTGATTGCTGCCTACACAAGCACGGTCTAAGTTGTATCTCTTGCTGTATTTTTGTATTTATGAGGAGCTGTGTTGTTAAATTCCCCACACTAATGCGAGTTGAAAAACGCTTAATATCAAATTGTGTTTTTTTTATCCATTAATTTTAATTTGGCATGATTCTACTAAATGAACATATTCCACATGTACCCTATATTTATAATGCACTGCTATTGTGTTATGACAACCTGGAATGTTTTTTAATTTTTTTTTTCCAGAGGCAAACGACAAAGGGTAGATTCTATAAAGCACCACATTTCATTGGTGTGTTTGGGTTGATGCCCAATTTGTTTTTTTTCTAATAAAAATACAAAAATAAGTTAAGCCTTATTTGTGGTGTTATTTGGTATGAATAAATCTGTCATGTATATAAACAAAGAGTAAAATGAATACGGTGGGGGACAACATTGAGTTTATTGTTTCATAGAAATATAGTGCGACACTACCAAACAGATTAGAACATATACATATTTACTGGTGTACAGCCATATATATTATCTTTATGATGAACAATACATTAAATATGAACACCTCAAAATCTGTCAATCCCCATGCAAGCTCACAAATGTGCAGTGGGTACAAAATAAAAGACTATTTGGATTAATACACATGCTAACAATATATGCACAGCTTGAATTTTGGTATACTGCAAATAATACGTTGAAATTACCAGCATACAATTACATTTCTAACTTAATTTCAAACACTGAAAAATTACATTCTAGTTAGAGATCACCTTATATTGTGGACCCCTGACATAAGTAAAAGGGTTACAGAATCTGGACACAATACAAGAGTACAATTACATTTTGTTGCAGATTTTAGATGCAGTCTTCATATGAATGACATGGAGATTAATGAACCAGCTTGAGTTCTGTGGAAAAACCAACCGGCAATTAGTATCAAATGTAAAACAAGGCAACAACTTAGAATCAATATTGTTTCACCCGCTATTCCAGGCATTGTCAGAGATCGTCCTGCGAGCTGTCCCTTAGATGGCTGAAAAAAAAAGTGTATTAGTGCATGCTTAGTTCCCTCACTTCTACATGGTTAATGCTCCACCCCTTTAGATGGCTCTGTAAAGGGGCGGAGCATAAACTCAAAGAACTACAGTTATATCAGTAACTTAGATATCACACTTACCACCTGTAATAGAGGTTTCTACACTCTCACCCCCTTCATTACTGGCTGTGACCACCAGGTTTACAGGGACATGATTGGATATTGTGCAGTTTGGAGCATTCTTTGTGCACAGTGCAGCCCGGGGTAAAGTACTGATTTCATAAACTGTGTAAGTGTTGGCCAATGGGGATGCTGCCCAAACAACATTGACGTCTGAACCACTGTGAATGAAGCTCCCGGACGATGGAGGACAAGGAGCTGAATAAAAAGATGAATACATATGTTTAGACATCAAGTTACTGTACGCATCTGCATGTGTCGGAAGTACAAGGCACACAAGGCTTGTTTCAACTTTTTTATTAGGGACAAAATTGCATGTTTCATTCAATTAGAGCAGTATTATTCATCACATTGGGTTGTATGGTAGATGGAAAGGTGGATTGGTGGATGATACTTGTACAGAAATCAACACTTGCAACTTGAAAAGGTTGTCTTATCATTTTGTTGTCCAGTGTTGTCAGTCCACAATCAACAGCATCATTGAAACTGATGGGCCAAAAAATAGTTTAGTTTAGGTCCAGTTTTTATTTTCAATTGTTCAGTTTTGGGTGCGTTCACACTTGGACCAAATGAAGTGGTCCAAAGTTGTCATTGTGAAGGTGATAAAGCCCCAACCCGGCATTCCATGTTCCACTTGCCGTCTCATTTAACTCACTTTCTTTGAAACAGTTCAGTAAAATTGCATTTGCTTCTGAAGTGAATCGAGTCCACTTCATCAATAAGTGTGAACGCACCCTCAATCCTATTATAAGTAAAAAGGGCAGAAACTCACCGTTGAGTTTTAGTTCAGCCGCTTGACAGGTGTGTGGACAGGACATGAACACAACCTCCTTCAAGAATCGGAAAACGACTTACTGGATGTTCATTCTTTTTATGATATAGGTACAATCGAGTTATCATGAGACCAGAATCATAAGTTGTGTGTAAAGCGTAAATGGTAAAAACTAAAGTAAATACATTTGCAATCACAAACACCTCAGCTTGTTCTGATCCTGTTATTGTTAGTCTTTTCATTTGATTTTGGTGTAGTATTATTTAGCTTTATCATTTAACAATATTGATTATTTGTGCGGTGTTTCTTCCAACTGTCGTACAATAAAGTATTTTAAGAATTACGTAGCCTCGGTCTGAGTTCTACAGCCTGAGTTCTGGATCAAAAGGAGTGGATCCCTTTTGACATTTGACATTCAACGATATTCTATGCCCTTTATGAACATTGGTGCCCCTTATGGACCAATGACTCTATGTCTTTCATTGCATTTCCTATGTTTGAACGGTTTTATTCTCTGATCTGTGTTGGCGAATCGGCAACTTTGGAGTTTTGTTCTACAAAATAACTACAGTTGTGATTTAGAGCTATACAAAAGTACATTAAGTTGAAGTGAAGTTTACCTGTTGTTCCTGCAACAGTTACGGATGGGCCACTGGTTCCAGCACTATTCATGCTCTCCACTGTGGCATTATACTCTGAACTGCAGGGCAGGGGCAGCTCGAAGTACAGCTCTGAGATCCAGTAAGATGACATATCAAATCGGAACTGATCGTCTCCCAACAAGTTCCCCCTTAGGCTCACTGAGTATTCTGTGCTGCCGCAGCTGGTTGAGGACCAGCTCACAAACAGTATCTGATTGTCATCCATTTGTGGTAATAATTGTACAGTAATGTTCTCTGGAGGACAAGACACTGAGGAGAAAAACAGAGCCGTCTTGTAGAGTTAAATGTATTTCTATATTAAAAAAACAGCAATTAAAATTTCCTTTGATTTTATCAATATATTGAGCATTTGTTAGTAACCCATCATAAATTATGCATTTTCTTATTTATTTAATTCATATCTGCAGTGAAAATGAATTAAGCCCAGTACCTGCACCCACAGAATCCACTGGATCACTATAGGAACTATTGCAAGTCCCATCTGTGGCCATTACAGTGAAATTGTATTTTCGTTCACACTGAAGACCCTTGAAAGAACAGTTAGGCAAAGCATTGTAGCAGTTCAACATGTTTCCATTGTCATCCACAGCAGAAGCATAATAGCCTACTGCATTATTGTTCTCGTTCCAAGTGAGCAATGCAGATGGTCCACGGCAGTCATATGCCACCGAGACATTCTCTGGTTTACAAGGACCTACAAAAAAAGTAAAAAATTTAGCAATAATAATTTACTGAATTGTCAAATCTTCAGTGCACAACAGATGTATTGACAATTTTACAATCATTAACAAGGAATGCACCTGTGTAAAGCGTTGCTTCAGGGCTGGGGAGGCTGGAGCAGTTCTCGTTGCTTGCCGTCACAGTAACTGAATAATGCTGGCCACAGTGGAGGGGGGACAATGTGCAGTTATCAAATGTAGTGTTGCAAGTATGCGTGTGTCCATCATCTACGATCGCAACTACACAATACATGTCTGCAACTGGAGAAAGGGTCCAGGACACCTGCGCATCCCTACAAGACTTGTCTATATCTGGAACCTTAGGTCTACAAGGCTCTGTGGAGACAAGAAGATTGCATTGTCTTTTCCACATGGTATATGCAGAGGACAAGTTATAGACAAGGATTTCTCACTTGACACAACAGATGCAGTCAGACTGGGCTGGCTCTGACAGGAGTCTCTGACAGAGATGACTTGAGCAACAAAAGTATTTCCACAGGTCACGTTGCTGAAAGTACAGAACGTGTTTGTGGTGTTGCAGGTTTCATTAGAGCCTCCGCTTTGAGCAGTGACTGAAACCAGGTAGCGCTGCGCTTGAGCTGATGAAGCCCATGTAACATTCAGGTCGTTTGTTTCACAGTCAATGATGGCATCAACATTTTCAGGTGGGCAGGGTGCTGGAAAAGATAAGTATTATATATGCTCTCTATTCAATACAACAGTACAAATATACGTTATGTTTATATTTGGTGTAATATCTTAACTTAGAGTTTTCTTGTTGTTTTTCTTACCAGTATCCAGTGTCTGTGCCTGAGTCTGTGCACTGGAGCATGCAATGTCCCTTGCTACCACACGAATGGAATATTGTGTGCCACATGCAAGGTTTGTGAGGTCACAGGTTATGCCAGAAGTATCACAAGAAACATTGTGTGCAGAGCTTTGTCCTGTCACTGTATAATTGTCCGCCCCCATGCTAGCATTCCATGACACTGCTGCTGAGTCCATGGCACAATTCATCACCGTCTGAAGGTTCATGGGATCACATGGTGCTTCACATGACAAAAATGACATATGTATGTAACGGCAAACGGAATTATGATACAGAAAGTTCAAAAGTTCTTCTTATTACCTGTGATTTGATGAATTGGTTCTGTAGAGGTCACTGTGCACGCTGCATTTGAAGCTGTGACAGATACAGAGAAGTTTTGTCCACAGGGCAGCTGACTAACAGGGCATGAGGTGGACTGAGAAGTGCAGTTGTAAGAAAGACCAGAGTCCGAGATCATGGTGGCAGTGTAATTATCTGCTCCAGCGCTCGTCTGCCAGGTTACTGTGGTAGTTCCTAAGCAGTCGTAGGATGTAGACACTCCAGTAACAGAACATGGCCCTGTAGATGAAATGAAATAATAATAGACAGTTATAATCTATGCAATTCAATCATCAAAGAATAAAAAAAAACGTACATGTTTGTGCAGTGGTGGTTGCAGGCGTCGCCGGACACTCGTCGTTAAGAGGGGTGACAGTGAGATTGTATGTTTTTCCACAGCTCAGACTCAGGAAGGATGCATTGGTTTGAGATACAGTGATGGTGACTACTTTGCTGTCTGCCTGAGCTGTGACGTTATACTGCAACGTATTCAAACACTGGCTCCAGGTTAGAGAAACCACTTCTGAATTACAGTCTACGGAAGGAACCAAATTCTGTGGCACACATGGACCTGAAATGGATTATCATTGAGGATAAGTACAAGTCATATGGTTTATCATATCATAAGAAAAATGAAGTGAAGGCTTACTCATGTGGATGACAGCAGTATCACTAGGTAGGCTAGTGCAAGAGTCATCATAAGCCTCCACTGTCACATTGTACTGTTCTCCACATTGCAAGTTGTCCCAGGTGCAGGATGTAACATTTGTGATACATATGAGCACCTGGCCACCTAGACTCGTAGCTGTGGCGTTGTATCCTGTAGTGCCATTACTTGGACTCCATGACACCAAATTTGAAGTGCACTGTTCTTTAACCACCACATTCTGAGGAATACAAGGAGCTGCGGGTGGTGGAGATTACAAGAGTAGTTAAATAAAATTGTTTCCGCATTATATGTTTGTTTTAAACTCAATTTTACATACTGGTTTTGACGTATGACGGGCTGCTTTTGGGACTATCGCACATGGGGCCTTGAGATTGTAGGGTAATGCTGTAATTTTGGCCACACATCAAAGAGGCTGAATATGAAGTTTCATTCGTATTAAATGATTGAACAAAACCAAGATCCCCAGTGGCTTTAACAATGTAATCTTGGGCTCCGCTTGCTGATTTCCAAAAGATTTTGACATCTTCACTTTGACATGTAGCGATGGAATCCAGGATCTCAGGCTGACATGGCTCTGGTGTTAAGAAGTATGTGAACACAAACTTTATGGCATCAAAATAAAAATAACTGTAGTAGGAAAAATATTACCTGTCTTGGTGGACACAGAGCTGCTGGCCTGACCGTAGCAGCCATTGCTGAGAGCTTTAACTGTAAAATTGAAAGTCTCTCCGCAGGGCAGATTGTTGAATTCACAGTTTGAAGACGTTGAGTTGCAATAGCTCTCTGCTCCATCCGACTGCTGGATTGCACTCACGGTATACTCCTCATCATATGGCCTTTGGTCCCAAGTCACATTTGCTATTTTAGATCCACACTGGAGAGTCGCATTCACGTTCTGAGGTGGACAGGGTCCTGAAGGAGGAAATTAGGAAGTGTATTTTGAGTAGAGATGTAGCTGTCAAATATTTTAGTAATCAAGTACTCTATCTATCCAAAATCTTGATAAATCATATTTTGTTTAATTTTGGCTTAATTAAGAATATACCATATCAAATGACACACCACTTAATAATGATAATTATATTTCTTGCACTAGAATATTACAGTCTTTTATACTTCCTTCTTTATTATGCTAAAGTTAGTAAAACAATATTTTTTGTACTTGAGTAACTCAAGGAATCATTTCAGCTCTAATTTTGAGTATTGACAAATAAAAAGCATTATTACACGGCTCCTCACAGCAGCAGTAGAACGCTCCATTGATTTGAATGTAATTTCAAAACGTCCTACCGGTCATTATTTTCTATAACGGACCTCTCAAAACAATAATGACCGCTGCCCATGGCAACGCACTCTCTGCTTGTCTTTCAAATGCGTGGATAACTCCGCAAGTAGTTCCGGCCACTCCGGAGCTAGCCACGCTCAATGAACGCAAATACCAATCAATCAACACACTTAAATGTTAATCGGAGAATACTTATACATATACATTCTTCACACATGTGCACAGAGATTTTCAGAAGTTACTGCTCTTGTCTTCATGACAAAAATACTATTTATCTGCGTCAAAAAGCGATCATGAAAAACCCGGAAGTAGTTCCGGCCACTCCGGAGCTAGCCACGCTCATTAAACGCAAATGCCATTCAATCAACGCAATTAAACTTTAATCAGAGAGTACATTATACATATACATTCTTAATACAAGTGCACGGAAGTTTTCAAAATTTTCCGTTACGTTTTCATGACAAAAACACTGATGTAACCTAGCTAATGCGAGAAAAGGCGATCCCGAAAAACCCGGAAGTAGATACCGGAACATTTTCGGACACATTTGCAGAGGATTGAATTATGGATTTAGGTTAGGTTTATGTATGGGTCACTCACCGCTGATGTTCAGAATTCTTTGTTCAGTTTTCATGCAGTTCCAGGGAGTTCTAGTTTGGAAGTTGATAGCCTAACTGTTGCTAGCATAGCCACGGGAAAGCCATTGGGAACTATTTTCTTTTCTTTCTTATTTTAAATAAACCTTTCCGCATTCCTAAAAGTGGACTGAAGTTTGTGTTGTGTGTTCTGTTGGTATAACAGAACGTTATATCCCGCTACGTTATACGCGGGATAACGTATAGTACGCAGGTCATTATTGGAAAATAAGTACCGACAGGAAAATAAGTACCGACAGGGCGAAGCTTCCGATAATGACCTGCGTACTATACGTTATCTCTTACGTATTATGACATATTATTAATTATTCAAGATGCACTATTGGTTGGTGGACGACCCATCACCTGCATGATCCATTGAACTAGAATTGTCTTGTCAGAAATGTTGCACAGTCTTTTTCTGTGTTGAATTTTGTCAATTCTAAGAGTTTTAAAGGTAAATGTGCACTTTATTGATCCCCATTAGGATGATTCATCCTCTGCATTTGACCCATCCTGTGGCAAGAGCTGGTGCACACTGGGGTAGTCTTGCACAGTCCAATATGGTTTTACTGCAAATGGCAAATAAATGAATCTGAATCTGATGTCACTAAGGCTTGCATCAGGAGCAGTGGTTGTCGTAGTACAGCACCCAAGGACCCATCTCCAGATGTTGATGCTTGGCTTGGTCAGGACTACAGGAGCTGGGGGATTTACATTTTGTATATGCAAAAACATATACAAAATGTATAGGGGAAACCGGAGCACCCGGAGGACATTTTTACAGGACTTTATTCTTTTATTTCTGGTAGAATTCAATGATTTTATGTTCCACTTCCATTTTACAAAATATCCTTTTGACCTTTTAAAGATCACATTTTAATATTTACAGTCTTGTACAACAGAGGAGGTAAGTGAGAACACAATACATAGTAATAATAAGATTTCCACTCTGTCTTATTATTATGTTTGAGAGACTAACTGCAAAATTGGACCAAATGGCAGTTTTCTGTAGATTTAAATCACCTTTACTGTAACCTGAAACAGACGTTATTCTTTAATTTCATATTTGTTAAAGTACAGGAGGTGGCTCAATTCTGGTTTCTCTATTACTTCTGTTATAGCCTGGTTGCACCACACCATAGTACAAATGAAATGTTATATTTAGCTGGAAATGATAATTGAGCGGCGTGTACGGATGGCTAAGGCCAGGCTATTCTATCATGTACCAACATGTTCTTGCAGCCCATTGTTGTGGCCCACATTAAAATAATAACTGCACAGTGGAAACTATTGATCCATATATTACATTGTTATACATCATTAGATATACATAGTATATGTAGTATGTTTAAGAGTTTAAATAAACTGTGGCGCTCTTGTTGCGCATGCGCAGGACTCACGCGTGTTCAGGCTGGGCCGAGTGGACGCAGTGACGCTGCATTGGTCGTTGGTTGCAGTGACGTTGAGGCTGTACGTTTGTCCACAGCTCAGACTTGTTACAACACAACTGTTTTGCTGAGTAGAACACAGAGTTGTTGGATTTCCACCAACCACAGATGTGACAGAGACATTGGCACCAGCATCTGCAGTCCAGGACAGTGTGGCCTCTCCATCTGAACTGCAGTTCACCTGGACGCTGATGTTCTTGGGATAACAGGGCGCTGGAAAAGTGCGGTCATTATCAGATGTAAGTAAGTAAGTAAGAAATGTTTATTTATATACCACCTTTCACAGACAAGGGTCACAAAGCGGTTTACAATTGTTATTATTTTTTTGGGCATTTGTCCTCTCACTCCACACAGAGATGGGAGCAGGGTCGCCAGTACAGGAAGCGCATGCACAGTCCTATTGTACATATTTTTAGTGGTAGGGGAAACCGGAGTACCTGGAGGAAACCTACGCACACACGGGGAGAACATGCAAACTCCACTCAGAAAGGCCCTGGTCCGACCGGGATTCGAACCCAGGACCTTCTTGCTGAGAGGCGAGAGTGCTATCCACTCAGCCACCGTGCCGCTGATATCAAGCACGTCATTATCATGTCATCAGTTACCTGAGGAGAAAGTAATGGCAGTACTCTCCGAGCTGTTGTATTGGTTGCCTGTTGCTATCACAGAGGCGCTGTAGACCAAGCCACACACCAGGTCAGAGATCACACAAGAAGTGTCTGTGCGCGCTGCGCTACAATATCTACTGCTCCCTTCTGTGCTGTTAATGCGTGCCACGTAACCTTCTGCAAAATTGCTTTGATTCCAGTTAATTGTTGCTTCCATTGTTTCGCATGACACAGTGGCCTGGACGTTGGAGGGTGGACATGGCTCTACAGAAAAGGTTAAAGACATACATCTGTAGTTAGTAGTTAGTTGTGTGATTTAGACACACGTGGATGAAAGGCGCACCGGTGATGAAGGGCTCTGGGTCAGACTTGACGCCCTGGCTGTCGCAGGCCTGGTTGTACGCTGACACGGTCACATTGTAGAGTTTACTGCACTGCAGACCACTCACATTGCACTGAGTGGTGCTGCTGTTGCAACCCAAAGAATCTCCCTGGTCACTCACTGCTTCCACTGAGAAAGAGGTGGCTCCTTCAGCTCCATTCCATTGCACCAGAGCATTGCCCACGGTGTAGTTCACTGACACACCTTTGACCTCACAGGGTTCTAAGGAAACACCAGTATTGTTGTTGTATTGTATGTGCATGTTAAATGTTGTATGGATATAAATATAGTGTATTCATTTATACCTGTGTAGACGTTTGATGCCATGCGGCCAGTGGTGTTACAGCTTTCTCCCACGGCTGTCACACTTACATTATATTCCTCTCCACAGTGCAGATGGCTTGGCTGGCAGCTACTGTTGTTGCTGTGGCAGACATGACTATGGTCTGATGTCCTGAGTTCAGTAACATAAGACTGGGCACCTTGGCTCGGTTGCCAAGATACAGTGGCAACTTTGTCTTCACAATCCACAGTCACATTGATGTTGCTCGGCTGACATGGCTCTTTTTGGAGAATTTTCATTTATTGAGAGCAGCGTAATTGTTTTAAAGCTGCATATCTTTTGTGATGTGTCCCACTCACCTGTTGTTACAGTTTTTTCATTGCTTGGGGAACTGTCAATTGGATTCCCTTTGGCCACAGCACAGACGGTGTACACTGTACCACACTCCAGCCCTGTGACCTCACAAGAGCTTTCTGTACTTGCAGCTTGGCAAGAAGCGTTGTGGTTGTTTTCATTGAGGAAAAAAGCTGTATAACCCACAGCATTGTCACTTAAATTCCAGGAAACCGTTGCGTTACTTTTTTCACATTCCATATTTGCCTGGACATTGGTGGGTGGACAGGGTTCTGGATAAAATCATAGCAAGTTAGTTGTTCAACAAAGCTACATAAAGAGTGGTTATTAAGTCCTCATACAAACCTGTTTTTTGTTGTATCTGCTCAGAGGTAACTCCTCCGTCACAAGCATCATTGAATGCTGTTACAGTGATGTTGTAGGTTTTACCACAGAGTAATCCAGTCAGTGCACACTGAGTGTTGGTGCTTGTATTAGAAACAGTTGGTGTGCCTGAGTCTGTCACTGCTTCTACTGAGAATGAGCTTGCACCTTTAGCTCCTTCCCATGTTACCTGGGCCACGCCCACAGTGTAGGTTGCAGAAAGATTAGCAGGAACACAAGGTTCTGAACACAGATATAGAAACTTCATTTTAGCTTAACAATGACACATGAGGGACAAAAGCATTTATCTGTGACAAAGGTTGTGGAATTGCTAGCTGGCCCAATGCAGCTTGCAGCATGGATCTATTCATAAATAGATAGCCTTCTATCTGAATACTACATGATTCCAGAGTGTAGTTCCAATTATATATGACATTGAACCAATTGGTGGCCATTTTGAAGAAAAATGCGCACAACGGCCACCAGGGGTATTGTTGCAGTGGATCCAAATCCGAAATAATCATTAGGGTTCCAAGTGTGCCAAGTTTCATGATTTAAACCTAAATTGCCCTTTATTTTTCCAACTACCTGCAAATTGAGGCTTTCCTCTCAGAAGATGGCTTTGACATAAGCTGGTCCACTCGGGAAAGATGCCAAAGGGACTTTGGATTGTTTAGAACAGACCATGGCAAAGTGCAGCCCTTCACGGTCTTAACCTCATACTGGTCTGTTGATTATTTAAATTAATGTGGAATCAATACCCAATGAAGGTTTGTAACTTAATACGTGCTCCAATGGCATGCCATACATTTATTCTGTTCTAATTAATGGACCAAAAATGTTATTAATAGTAAAACAAATGTTTTTAGGGATAATAACATTCATAGTTGTTAAACGGGGCTGGCCCTTGACAATTGGGCAATATGTCCCAAAGTGGCCCCGAAGACAATAATTTCCCACCCCTGGTTTAGACGCATATCCTGCACGGACCCCCTTCCTTTCGCTGTTGTTCTCACAAGGGATGCTTAATGGATACAGGTTATTGCACTCAAAAAATGCATGTCGATTTTCAAAAAAGTTTGTTTGTTTTTTTAGATCAATGCCCCTTTGTAGATTTTAATCATAGAGAACGTGCAAATACAACTTTCTGCTTCATTTATTTCCTTTTGAAACCACGTACATAAATTAAAAACATTTCTGGATGGTCATCGCTATGGCATCAAAAACTGGATGCAACGCATGGTCTGGTGTGAGCGCCCCTTAACGCTCTGAACCAATGAGGTCTGGAGGTGCTCCATTGAGCTCAGATCGGAGGGGTTAACTCCTTTTGCAGATTGAAAACGATTGGATCTGAGTTTACCGTGACGTATGTAGTGCGCCCGAGTGAGTCGTTAGCATTTAGCATTTAGCCTAGCCATCTCCTTTGCCGTTAACGGAGCCCGTGGGGAGTAGCGCCACAATTTTTCTAGCGATTACATTTACTAAACATTCCTCTTCCTCCGGCTTGAATTTCTTTATAGAACCAGACCGGATTACTTAATTATCACATTTTTTGCCATTGCCAAACTACGACCTTCCCGTTCGACGCAAACTCTTGACGTCACCCACAACTAAATACAACACTCTCCTTCCGCGCTCGCTGGTTGGTCGGTCAAAATTCAACCGATTGTAATCACTAACCCAGAGACTAGACCCAGACGTAACATGCAGTGAAATGATGATTGAGCGGAGTGTACGGATGGTAAGGCCAGGCTAGGAAAAACCTATTGAGCCAATGAAACACAGTTGATACACAAAGCGAAGCAGTGTCTGCAGAACCCGAGACACTGACACGTTTGTCACATGACCGGCTTGTTTTGATAGATGCTCCAATGCAGTGTTTTGAAGAAGTCTGCTTCAGGAAGAGTGACAAATGCTCCAGACCCTCGGTGTTGTTTTCCCATCACTACATCATGCTTCGCGAGCGCTTTTCGTGGTGCTTGTGGGGGGCCGTGGGCTTGCAGGCACCGGGCTGGCGACCCCAATCCAGGCGGCTACTATTGGCGCTTTTCTCCTCTGCTGATCTTGCCATGGCATAGTATAAAAAACAAAACTTTTTCGGGTTGAAATGCAATGTAATGCATGTTACTGACCTTTGTACCCAGTAAATATTACCCAATATTTTATTTGTAATGCCTTACATTACTGCATTACAGCAAAAGTAATACATTACAGTTATTACATTACTTTTGTAATACATTACTCCAAACACTGCTATTGTCCACCTATATACAGTCAATGACACATCCATTGCGCAAATTGGGATTACCAGAGTTTGCCAAAATGCTATATCAGAAGTTTTTGAGATGTCAGAAATTTTTGAGATGTTAGAGGTGCAGACATGTACCGATGAGCTCATGTTGTTGACTTGAATGGGCCGCTGTCTTTGAAACCCAGGGCTTGGGAAGGCAAGGTTATGGCTCCACACAGACTGTATACACAAGTCCAGATAAAGTACAAGTAACTGGAAGAGCGAAACATTACCTGTCTTGGTGGACACAGAGCTGCTGGCCTGACCGTAGCAGCCATTGCTGAGAGCTTCAACTGTAAAATTGAAAGTCTCTCCGCAGGGCAGATTGTTGAATTCACAGTTTGAAGACGTTGAGTTGCAATAGCTCTCTGCTCCATCCGACTGCTGGATTGCACTCACGGTATACTCCTCATCATATGGCCTTTGGTCCCAAGTCACATTTGCTGTTTTAGATCCACACTGGAGAGTCGCATTCACGTTCTGAGGTGGACAGGGTCCTGAAGGAGGAAATTATGAAGAGTATTTTGAGTAGAGATGTAGCTGTCAAATATTTTAGTAATCAAGTACTCTATCTATCCAAAATCCCGATAAATCATATTTTGTTTAATTTTGGCTTAATTAAGAATATACCATATCAAATGACACACCACTTAATAATGATAATTATATTTCTTGCACTAGAATATTACAGTCTTTTCTACTTCCTTCTTTATTATGCTAAAGTTAGTAAAACAATATTTTTTGTACTCGAGTAACTCAAGGAATCATTTCAGCTCTAATTTTGAGTATTGACAAATAAAAAGTAGTATTATGACATATATTAGTTAGTTAATATTAATATTAGTTAATATTGGTGGACGACCCATCACCTGCATGCTCCATTGAAATAGAATACTCTTGTCAGAAATGTTCCATAGTCTTTTTCTGTGTTGAATTTGGTCAATTCTAGTTTTAACGGTAAAGGTGCACTTTATTGATCCCCATCGGACGATTCATCCTCTGCATTTGACCCATCCTGATGTCACTAAGGCTTGCATCAGGAGCAGTGGTTGTCGTAGTACAGCACCCAAGGACCCATCTCCAGATGTTGATGCTTGGCTTGGTCAGGACTACAGGAGCTGGGGGATTTACATTTTGTATATGCAAAAACATATACAAAATGTATAGGGGAAACCGGAGCACCCGGAGGACATTTTTACAGGCAGGACTTTATTCTTTTATTTCTGGTAGAATTCAATGATTTTATGTTCCACTTCCATTTTACAAAATATCCTTTTGACCTTTTAAAGATCACATTTTAATATTTACAGTCTTGTACAACAGAGGAAGTACAGTAAGTGAGAACACAATACATAGTAATAATAAGATTTCCACTCTGTCTTATTATTTTGTTTGAGAGACTAACTGCAAAATTGGACCAAATGGCAGTTTTCTGTAGATTTAAATCACCTTTACTGTAACCTGAAACAGACGTTATTCTTTAATTTCATATTTGTTAAAGTACAGGAGGTGGCTCAATTCTGGTTTCTCTATTACTTCTGTTATAGCCTGGTTGCACCACACCATAGTACAAATAAAATGTTATATTTAGCTGGAAATGATAATTGAGCGGCGTGTACGGATGGCTAAGGCCAGGCTATTCTATCATGTACCAACATGTTCTTGCAGCCCATTGTTGTGGCCCACATTAAAATAATAACTGCACAGTGGAAACTATTGATCCATATATTACATTGTTATACATCATTAGATATACATAGTATATGTAGTATGTTTAAGAGTTTAAATAAACTGTGGCGCTCTTGTTGCGCATGCGCAGGACTCACGCGTGTTCAGGCTGGGCCGAGTGGACGCAGTGACGCTGCATTGGTCGTTGGTTGCAGTGACGTTGAGGCTGTACGTTTGTCCACAGCTCAGACTTGTTACAACACAACTGTTTTGCTGAGTAGAACACAGAGTTGTTGGATTTCCACCAACCACAGATGTGACAGAGACATTGGCACCAGCATCTGCAGTCCAGGACAGTGTGGCCTCTCCATCTGAACTGCAGTTCACCTGGACGCTGATGTTCTTGGGATAACAGGGCGCTGGAAAAGTGCGGTCATTATCAGATGTAAGTAAGTAAGTAAGTAATGTTTATTTATATACCGCCTTTCACAGACAAGGGTCACAAAGCGGTTTACAATTGTTATTATTTTTTTGGGCATTTGTCCTCTCACTCCACACAGAGATGGGAGCGGGGTCGCCAGTACAGGAGGCGCATGCACAGTCCTATTGTACATATTTTTAGTGGTAGGGGAAACCGGAGTATCCGGAGGAAACCTACGCACACACGGGGAGAACATGCAAACTCCACTCAGAAAGGCCCTGGTCCGACCGGGATTCGAACCCAGGACCTTCTTGCTGAGAGGCGAGAGTGCTATCCACTCAGCCACCGTGCCGCTGATATCAAGCACGTCATTATCATGTCATCAGTTACCTGAGGAGAAAGTAATGGCAGTACTCTCCGAGCTGTTGTATTGGTTGCCTGTTGCTATCACAGAGGCGCTGTAGACCAAGCCACACACCAGGTCAGAGATCACACAAGAAGTGTCTGTGCGCGCTGCGCTACAAATATCTACTGCTCCCTTCTGTGCTGTTAATGCGTGCCACGTAACCTTCTGCAAAATTGCTTTGATTCCAGTTAATTGTTGCTTCCATTGTTTCGCATGACACAGTGGCCTGGACGTTGGAGGGTGGACATGGCTCTACAGAAAAGGTTAAAGACATACATCTGTAGTTAGTAGTTAGTTGTGTGATTTAGACACACGTGGATGAAAGGCGCACCGGTGATGAAGGGCTCTGGGTCAGACTTGACGCCCTGGCTGTCGCAGGCCTGGTTGTACGCTGACACGGTCACATTGTAGAGTTTACTGCACTGCAGACCACTCACATTGCACTGAGTGGTGCTGCTGTTGCAACCCAAAGAATCTCCCTGGTCACTCACTGCTTCCACTGAGAAAGAGGTGGCTCCTTCAGCTCCATTCCATTGCACCAGAGCATTGCCCACGGTGTAGTTCACTGACACACCTTTGACCTCACAGGGTTCTAAGGAAACACCAGTTATTGTTGTTGTATTGTATGTGCATGTTAAATGTTGTATGGATATAAATATAGTGTATTCATTTATACCTGTGTAGACGTTTGATGCCATGCGGCCAGTGGTGTTACAGCTTTCTCCCACGGCTGTCACACTTACATTATATTCCTCTCCACAGTGCAGATGGCTTGGCTGGCAGCTACTGTTGTTGCTGTGGCAGACATGACTATGGTCTGATGTCCTGAGTTCAGTAACATAAGACTGGGCACCTTGGCTCGGTTGCCAAGATACAGTGGCAACTTTGTCTTCACAATCCACAGTCACATTGATGTTGCTCGGCTGACATGGCTCTTTTTGGAGAATTTTCATTTATTGAGAGCAGCGTAATTGTTTTAAAGCTGCATATCTTTTGTGATGTGTCCCACTCACCTGTTGTTACAGATTTTTCATTGCTTGGGGAACTGTCAATTGGATTCCCTTTGGCCACAGCACAGACGGTGTACACTGTACCACACTCCAGCCCTGTGACCTCACAAGAGCTTTCTGTACTTGCAGCTTGGCAAGAAGCGTTGTGGTTGTTTTCATTGAGGAAAAAAGCTGTATAACCCACAGCATTGTCACTTAAATTCCAGGAAACCGTTGCGTTACTTTTTTCACATTCCATATTTGCCTGGACATTGGTGGGTGGACAGGGTTCTGGATAAAATCATAGCAAGTTAGTTGTTCAACAAAGCTACATAAAGAGTGGTTATTAAGTCCTCATACAAACCTGTTTTTTGTTGTATCTGCTCAGAGGTAACTCCTCCGTCACAAGCATCATTGAATGCTGTTACAGTGATGTTGTAGGTTTTACCACAGAGTAATCCAGTCAGTGCACACTGAGTGTTGGTGCTTGTATTAGAAACAGTTGGTGTGCCTGAGTCTGTCACTGCTTCTACTGAGAATGAGCTTGCACCTTTAGCTCCTTCCCATGTTACCTGGGCCACGCCCACAGTGTAGGTTGCAGAAAGATTAGCAGGAACACAAGGTTCTGAACACAGATATAGAAACTTCATTTTAGCTTAACAATGACACATGAGGGACAAAAGCATTTATCTGTGACAAAGGTTGTGGAATTGCGAGCTGGCCCAATGCAGCTTGCAGCATGGATCTATTCATAAATAGATAGCCTTCTATCTGAATACTACATGATTCCAGAGTGTAGTTCCAAGTATATATGACATTGAACCAATTGGTGGCCATTTTGAAGAAAAATGCGCACAACGGCCACCAGGGGTATTGTTGCAGTGGATCCAAATCCGAAATAATCATTAGGGTTCCAAGTGTGCCAAGTTTCATGATTTAAACCTAAATTGCCCTTTATTTTTCCAACTACCTGCAAATTGAGGCTTTCCTCTCAGAAGATGGCTTTGACATAAGCTGGTCCACTCGGGAAAGATGCCAAAGGGACTTTGGATTGTTTAGAACAGACCATGGCAAAGTGCAGCCCTTCACGGTCTTAACCTCATACTGGTCTGTTGATTATTTAAATTAATGTGGAATCAATACCCAATGAAGGTTTGTAACTTAATACGTGCTCCAATGGCATGCCATACATTTATTCTGTTCTAATTAATGGACCAAAAATGTTATTAATAGTAAAACAAATGTTTTAGGGATAATAACATTCATAGTTGTTAAACGGGGCTGGCCCTTGACAATTGGGCAATATGTCCCAAAGTGGCCCCGAAGACAATAATTTCCCACCCCTGGTTTAGACGCATATCCTGCACGGACCCCCTTCCTTTCGCTGTTGTTCTCACAAGGGATGCTTAATGGATACAGGTTATTGCACTCAAAAAATGCATGTCGATTTTCAAAAAAGTTTGTTTGTTTTTTTAGATCAATGCCCCTTTGTAGATTTTAATCATAGAGAACGTGCAAATACAACTTTCTGCCTCATTTATTTCCTTTTGAAACCACGTACATAAATTAAAAACATTTCTGGATGGTCATCGCTATGGCATCAAAAACTGGATGCAACGCATGGTCTGGTGTGAGCGCCCCTTAACGCTCTGAACCAATGAGGTCTGGAGGTGCTCCATTGAGCTCAGATCGGAGGGGTTAACTCCTTTTGCAGATTGAAACGATTGGATCTGAGTTTACCGTGACGTATGTAGTGCGCCCGAGTGAGTCGTTAGCATTTAGCATTTAGCCTAGCCATCTCCTTTGCCGCTTAACGGAGCCCGTGGGGAGTAGCGCCACAATTTTTCTAGCGATTACATTTACTAAACATTCCTCTTCCTCCGGCTTGAATTTCTTTATAGAACCAGACCGGATTACTTAATTATCACATTTTTTGCCATTGCCAAACTACGACCTTCCCGTTCGACGCAAACTCTTGACGTCACCCACAACTAAATACAACACTCTCCTTCCGCGCTCGCTGGTTGGTCAGTCAAAATTCAACCGATTGTAATCACTAACCCAGAGACTAGACCCAGACGTAACATGCAGTGAAATGATGATTGAGCGGAGTGTACGGATGGCTAAGGCCAGGCTAGGAAAAACCTATTGAGCCAATGAAACACAGTTGATACACAAAGCGAAGCAGTGTCTGCAGAACCCGAGACACTGACACGTTTGTCACATGACCGGCTTGTTTTGATAGATGCTCCAATGCAGTGTTTTGAAGAAGTCTGCTTCAGGAAGAGTGACAAATGCTCCAGACCCTCGGTGTTGTTTTCCCATCACTACATCATGCTTCGCGAGCGCTTTTCGTGGTGCTTGTGGGGGGCCGTGGGCTTGCAGGCACCGGGCTGGCGACCCCAATCCAGGCGGCTACTATTGGCGCTTTTCTCCTCTGCTGATCTTGCCATGGCATAGTATAAAAACAAAACTTTTTCGGGTTGAAATGCAATGTAATGCATGTTACTGACCTTTGTACCCAGTAAATATTACCCAATATTTTATTTGTAATGCCTTACATTACTGCATTACAGCAAAAGTAATACATTACAGTTATTACATTACTTTTGTAATACATTACTCCAAACACTGCTATTGTCCACCTATATACAGTCAATGACCACCTAACATCCATTGCGCAAATTGGGATTACCAGAGTTTGCCAAAATGCTATATCAGAAGTTTTTGAGATGTCAGAAATTTTTGAGATGTTAGAGGTGCAGACATGTACCGATGAGCTCATGTTGTTGACTTGAATGGGCCGCTGTCTTTGAAACCCAGGGCTTGGGAAGGCAAGGTTATGGCTCCACACAGACTGTATACACAAGTCCAGATAAAGTACAAGTAACTGGAAGAGCGAAACATTACCTGTCTTGGTGGACACAGAGCTGCTGGCCTGACCGTAGCAGCCATTGCTGAGAGCTTCAACTGTAAAATTGAAAGTCTCTCCGCAGGGCAGATTGTTGAATTCACAGTTTGAAGACGTTGAGTTGCAATAGCTCTCTGCTCCATCCGACTGCTGGATTGCACTCACGGTATACTCCTCATCATATGGCCTTTGGTCCCAAGTCACATTTGCTGTTTTAGATCCACACTGGAGAGTCGCATTCACGTTCTGAGGTGGACAGGGTCCTGAAGGAGGAAATTATGAAGAGTATTTTGAGTAGAGATGTAGCTGTCAAATATTTTAGTAATCAAGTACTCTATCTATCCAAAATCCCGATAAATCATATTTTGTTTAATTTTGGCTTAATTAAGAATATACCATATCAAATGACACACCACTTAATAATGATAATTATATTTCTTGCACTAGAATATTACAGTCTTTTATACTTCCTTCTTTATTATGCTAAAGTTAGTAAAACAATATTTTTTGTACTCGAGTAACTCAAGGAATCATTTCAGCTCTAATTTTGAGTATTGACAAATAAAAAGCAGTATTATGACATATATTATTCATTACTCAAGATCCACTATTGGTTGGTGGACGACCCATCACCTGCATGCTCCATTGAAATAGAATTATCTTGTCAGAAATGTTCCATAGTCTTTTTCTGTGTTGAATTTGGTCAATTAATGGTTGTGTTTTACCATAACATAATGAAATCATCTATAGCGCCACTACCAGAGTCCATGGTGACAGCTGTTGATGCTGAGGAACAGTTTCCAAAGTCATAGGTGACTGTAACAGAGTAAGTCTTTCCACAAGGAGGAGAGGAAATAATACAGGACTTTTCATTATTGCTGGTGCAATTGAGTTTGTCTCCATTCTGCTTGTCTTCAATGATCGCTGTGTAAGACCCTGTGGCCTGATGGTCCCACGTTATTAAAGCCTCCTTGTTGGTACAATTTCTCTCTCCGACGACATTTGTTGGAGGACAGGGTGCTGCAACAGAAAAATGCTTTTTGTATAATGAGCTAAATCAAAATGGGTACTGAAGAAGATGACATAGTCTGGGATCGCGTCTTTCATTCAGACAGAAGACATGTTTTATTGTCGATGGTAGAGACAGCACGAACAACACGAACAACAGAATGCAAGTGTATTATACAGAGCGGAGGCATGGAGACCTCCAATCAGCAGCTGCCACGGTGCCATGTAGCTTGGCCTTCAGATAGACAAAACAAGGGAAAAGTACTGGCTTCTGCACATTGATAGAATGATGAGTTTAACTTTAACAAAAGTTGCTTCAAAGTGTTATGAAATCTCACAGTACCATAGGAGAAAATCACATACAATGATACTGTGTTATCACGAAAATATGTAGATGTTTTATCACAGTTCAAGTAAAAATACTTACTTAAAAACTCTAAGAAAATGATTCATAATAAAATATACAGTTTACCTAGTGCATCAATATAGCAAATATAGTGAACAAAGAACTGGATCAAATTAAACAAACACAGGCTGAAAAAGGTTAAATATGGCTGCCCTGTGTGTGTGTCCTTATGAGACTTGGGTGGCATCTCTGACTGCCACCCCCCTGACCCAGAAATGGATTAAAGGGTAGAAGATGGATGGATGGATGGTGTGTGTGTCCCACCTGTTTGAAAGCTGATGCTGTCGGTGGAAGAACTGTTGCATTTGAAATTGTTTCCCATAACTATGACATCGTATGTTGCTCCACATGCCAGGTCTGTCATATTTAGCTCTGATTCCAGAGAGAAGAAGCTGTATTCTTTCCCTGTGGAATCTTCTGCAATGACAATGTAAAAAACCACTCCTTTGCTTTGGGTCCACTTTACTGTTCCCGTATCTGGGCTGCAGTCATTTGAGACAGATACGTTGGTGGGTGGGCATGGGCCTGAATGAACAGAAAAATACATTTGAAAGATTTGTGATCATTACATATTTATGATGAGATTAATTAAACTTGTACACACCAGTTTGAGCCACTTCTCCCAGCACTTCTTCTGTGGTGCACGCCTCATTAGTGGCACTGACCCACACAGTGAAATGTTCCCCACATAGGACGTCCTCGATGATGCAGCTGTTGTTTGAAGTGCTGCAGTTATAACTCTTGTCATTTCCTAAGTTCCTGACCTTGTAGGACTGAGCTCCAGCGGCAGCATCCCAGGTTGTTGTCAGCGTCCCTGAAGTGCATTCCACTGTGGTTTGTATGTTTGCAGGTTCGCAAGGACCTAGACCAGATGATAAGGGATGTTAAAATTAAGAAATTAAGAGATGCTTTATTTGTCCCACAGTGGGGAAATTTCAGTGTTGCATCACAAGTAATAGAACAGTAGGAAAGAGGAGCAAGGTGTTAAGGTGTAAATACATAAGGATGTGAAGTGATGGGTCTGTGTGTGTGTGTGTGTGTGTGTGTGTGTGTGTGTGTGTGTGTGTGTGTGTGTGTGTGTTTTTATAGATTGGTTGTTTTAACCAAAAGATTGTTTGGACAGATTGCAACGAAAAAAATACTTTAAAATATGTTTTTAGAATGTAGCGTTTCATAATAGTGTTTTTATACAGTGTTTAAATACGTTACCTGTTTGTACACTTCTTGGTTCAGTAACCTCGCTGTTGCAGTCACTGGAGACGGCCTTCACAGTGAACGTGTAATTGTTCCCACACTGCATATCGGTGAAGTAGCAATAGTTGGCCTTTGTCATACATGGTTTGACAATGCCGTTCTGGTCCGTAGATTGAGCCATGTAAAACTTTGTGTTGTTTGTTGGTTCCCATTTGTAGTTTATGGCGTTTTTGAAACAGGTGTATTCAGTGGTGGGATTCGCTGGAGCGCACGGGACTGTGAAAAGCATAAGACAATGAAAAAACAGTTTGAGCTAGTTTAGTAAGGAGGGCATTTTTTACATATTAGTGTTAACCTTTTTTGACAATCTACAACCAATAGTGTACGTTTCATCATATTTGAATGCTTCAAGCTCACTGGTCTTGTGTGGTAGACTTGGCCAGCTTACGAATGTATTAAATGAGCTGAAATAAAGACCACTTTTGGTTATACTGGAAGGAGCCGATTGGAGCTTGCTCTGACAACCTCTTTGGATGGGATTTTGGAGCCAAATTATATTTGATTATATAAGCTATTACAATAAATATATACAAAACGTACACATATTACAACCGGTTGTGAAATGGTGTTAAAATTGTACCTGTGTCAAACTTGTCGGGGAGGGTGTAGGTGCTGTGACAGTCATTGGAAATAGCCGTGACGTGTACAGTGTACTTCTCTCCACATTTTAGCGCACTGATATCACAGTTATTGGACGTTGACGTGCAGTTAAGGCTTTCTCCATTTCCATCGGTCACGTCTGCCCTGTAGGAGTTGGCCCCAAATACCATGTCCCACGTCACCGTTACTGTGGCTGTGGCGCAGCTGTAGACTTTTGTGATTGTTGTGACAGGATTTATTGCTACAAAAATAGGGAGATCAACAGAGATATTCACTATTTTGATATGAAATGTGTGAATATTGTTATTTTACTCATTCAATTTCCCTGAATTAATCATTTCAAACCACATTTTGAATCTTATGATTGTTATACGTTGATTGTTATAAATTAACTGAAAGATTCTACTCACAAGAGGTTATATGTGACACTTGGTTGGGCTCTCCGGGTATTGAGAATGCATTAAGGGACGAGACCCCCAAAGTGTAGTTTGAGCATGGTTCTAAATTACTAATTATTAAAGATGTTTCTGAAGTCTTGCTGATTACAGGGTCGTGGCTAGGATCAGTATCAGTGACAGTCACTTGGTACATTAAAACTCCATCCCGAGCTTCCCATGTGACAAGGACTGTGCTTTTTTCTGCTGATGTAGCGCTCACATTAGCTGGAGGTGGTATCACTGTGGATAGGGGACATGATTAATAATAACTGCTACAGTTGGAAATGGTAATTTTTTATGTTCTTTTACATATATTTATTATGAATTATGAATTTGTTATATCCTTTCACATTAGATATTTTACTTACGTGTTGTGATGGTCCTGGTTGGCCCTGCAGCACCACTTCCAGCATCATTTGATGCTATGATGTAGCATTCATATGAGGTGGAGGGGGCAAGATTGTTCACTTCTCCAGAAGAAGAGGAGAAAACCTGCACAAATGTACTACTTGAAACGGGCACCTGCTTTCCATGCAGTGTGTAGTTTACTACTCCAACGATATTGTCCCATTCAAATCTGATTGTTGAACTGGTGAGGGCCTCAGCATACGTAAACTGAACGATGTCAGGTACTGCAGGAGATAAGAATTTAGCAACAACATTCACATTTTACCAAATGCACACTACATATAAAGAGTTTTTATTACATCTATCAGAAATACATTTTATTTAATATATATAAAATTATATTTCAGATTAGATCGAAAATAAATCCTGTCTCTCAAATATTATTGCTTAAAATGATGTAAGTACATACTTCAATCCAAACATTGTACTTGTATCAGTTATCATTGCAATAGATCTGTTGTCCACCAAATATCATGAAGACATTCCTTGACAATTGCATAGTTGACTAAAAAGGACCTCCCTCTAAAGGTCTAAGAATGATTACTTGACTAAAGGATATTCTCAGACTTATTTTGGCCTCAAATTACTCACATATGTAAGTAAGTAAGCAAGTTACTTACTTACTTACTTACTTACTTACTTACTTACTTACATATGTCTATATTAATAACGAGTTTAGACAAACTGGTGAATCTGGCATCAATATCAAAGTTTCATATGTGCAGATCTCCCATAAACATTCTTCTAATTTATTATGAGTGAGATAATTAGATAGTAAGTCAACTAATATACATTTTGGATGACTTATACACCATTGATCAATATATCAACTAAACTTTCCATACATTGTAAAAACATATTCAACCGTATAATGCAGATATCATTAAGCCATAGTGTTAAATGCTTTTGGTACCTGTCATGCTTTTGAATTTGCATGTCGTTATGATAGTAAAGAAGGATAGCGCCTTGAGTGTAACTTCATAAGGATTTCCTGGTCTCAAACCATAGACCTGTTTCTGTGTACTGGGGCTGTTCACGGTCGCAATCACTGCTGCTATATTGGTTGAGTTAATAACCCTCAGCTCCAGCCGATAAGTGGTTGCACCAGAAACAGGATTCCACTTTACAATTAGTGAGGATGCGGTTGGAGAGGTTGCTGACTGAATAGTACATCCTGAAAAACACATTCAGTGTAAGTCTGAGATTGAATTGATACTATTTACTATATAAACAATATAGTGAAAGACATTATCAGACCACCAAAACAACATGCTCACCTGCAGCACAGTGAATCTATAAAACACAGAATGCAAGTGTTATTAGGTACAAAACTGTGCTAAATACAAACAGATTTGTTTTTGCTTTACCTGTATGACAGACAATATCGTGACTGTTAAATAAATCATCCACATGTTTGTTTGAGTCATCCTTATCTCCTCAATATGGTGTTGTATTCATCCATTAGTTAAGCCCCAAACTGCTCATCTGAGAGCTCCAGAAGTTGAGAGCTGTACATCAACTTCAAGAGAACCAATCAGAAGGTCCCAAATAAGGACAGGTGGATGCCTGTGGGCCCATATCATCCAGACAAGGAAACAAAAATGTGGCTAGTTTGCTGGAGGTGGGGGCACGGCCATCCCCTTCTCATTATGATTCACTCACAGCATTAGTACAGTAAAACCGACACATTCCACTAACTTATCAGTCATAAAACCATTTTTAGCTGAATATTCTGTGTAACTCTAAAATATATATTTTTCAAATGGGCCGTAGCCACAGGAACATGATCTGTGTTGCGAGACAAGTGAAGCACCCTTTTACATTATTGTCAGACTGAAGAAATTTCTCAAAGCTTGTTGTGTTTTTAGTTACAAAACTGGCAAGACAATACGTAATCAAGACTAGCAGGATAATACTAACCATTAATGGTAATAATGACTTTAAAAATAGAGCTGTATAAATATGATTCCATAATGTGGTCATTAAAGTGTCTGATTTTTATCAGGAACGATAACAGATATAGACTGACAAGTTAGTAATGGCAAACCAAGCAGACATAGTGGTAGTGGACAAAGGCCAGTGACCCTTAATTTTTGAGGCGAGATGAGACGGGACAACTATCAGTCATACGAGTGGTAAGAAGAAAGCCATTATTGAAAGGGGGCTAGAAGAAATCCGGTTTATAAGAAGTCATAAGGAGGACAGATGCGACAATTTTTTTTTTTTTTCCCAAACGCAAAACGTTATGTATGACACAAAACTAGTTCTGCTCATTCTCTTTAGTTACCATCTCGATTGTCAAATATTGTGGGGGCAGCATCATGCTATGGGGCTGCTTTTCTTCAGTGGGGACAGGGAAGATTGTAAGAATAGTTGGAAAGATGGATGGAGCCAAATACGGGGACATTTGGGCATTTGTCTCCCACTCCACACAGAGAGTGGCGTCACCTGTATAGTAGGGAAACCAGTAGAAGGGGAAACCGGAGTAGACACAGGGAGAACACATGCAAACTCTACTCCAGAAAGGTTCTGTTCCAACCGGGATTCGAACCCAGGACCTTGTTGCTAAGAAACAAAAGTGCTCAGCAGTGCCGCCTTCCAGCAGGACAATGACCCAAAACACACATTGAAATCTACAACGGAATGTAATCAACTAGGGTAGCGACAGATGTCCTGGGTGATGCATATCTCAGAAAATGCTGCACACGTCGTTTATATTTTCAGATTTCATGTACTAACACTTTTACAAATGTTGTTAGTGATTGTTTGAGGTTTCTGCACTGTTGAGGGGTGTTATGTGTGTTGTCATGTTGATGGATGTGTGTAGATTAGTAGGGTCTGGTCAGGTCGGCCAACCCGTGATAGGAGTGAGTTGACTTGGTCCCACACAGGAAGGCGCCTCTGATGGATGGGGGGACTGTTTGCTAACCTAATATGGAAGAAGAATGTAGAAGACCAGACCAAGACCAGACCAAAGTCCGGACCGGTACCAGGACTTCAGTCTTCCCCAGACCATATGACGTCATCGGACATTGTGATAAAACTGTTGGTAGGACATTTTGTTAGTAGTCTGAGCAGGGATAGATAGACAGAGAGCATCGCAGAGCGCCTGGATGTTCTCTGCACATTTTCAGGCCTGGAGGGACAGTTAGAATGGCTCAGCACAGGGTTAGTTTTAGGGAATTAATAGCTCCAAGAGTTTTGTATCAATATTTAATTGTAAAGAGAAATAAATGTTCTATTTTTAACTCTTGCATTCTTGGGCTTATTTCTGTATCAAATTCTGAACACGTCAGTCATATCTTTTTGACAACATGGGGCAGAATGACAGCCATAGAACAACACTGAAAAGCCCACATTTGAAAAAAGAGGTATGCATGGTTATTAGCTTCTTTCTTCAGACATTGCTTTTATTTTCCCGATAAAGCGCCAAGATGCCCGAAACGATAACCAATGTGTAAGCTCTAAAGAAGAAACCTCCTTTCTGCCATTTCTTGTATTTTCATTCACAAATTCAGCATCAGGCTCAGAGACCAAATGGAGTTTTAATAAAATACCCCAAACTTAATAAGACAAAACCACTAATGACATAATAATGCAAGAGTGATAGTAATAATAATGTCCCTCGATTATCCTGGAGTTCTCCTCCATTGAAGAAAAGGATTTGAAAGTGACTTAATGGTGGGAGTTGCAATGTCTCTCTGCTCCATGCCAGGGGTCATCCAGAGGGCCAGAGTTTTACCAGACAGTCTCTCGAGGGCCAGACCCCCAAAGAGAAAATGAAATCATATTCAGATTCATTTATATGCCATTTGCAGGAAAACCACATTAGATACATCTGCAAAGGTCCCCAGTTTGCACAAGACATAAATAAAACAAGGCTAAAAGAACAGAAATAAACAATAATAATGAATAACAATGCATTGGTTTTGTTTAGCACTTTTTTGGACACTCAAAGACACTTCACATGTCATTATTCTCTCATACACGGTGCTGATAAAGTACTACTGTAGACTATAATAATGATTACAAAGTAGACAAATAAGTAAAAAGAAAAAAAAATTAAAGCCGCAAGCGGCATCTAACGGCCCTCGCCGCACCGCGCAAATGAGGTGGCGCTGACGCGCCACTTTCCCACTGCCCTGATGGGAGCGACACTGTGTGTTTTGAACCCATGATTAGTGATTGTGTGTGTCTATGGAAAAGGTAAACTTGATTCTCCCCATGTAATACTTGACTCCGTCTGTAGGGGGCGCTATATCTGCAATTTCGTCTTTAACACTTTCAGTTTACCCAAACCCGAGAGTTGAACAATCAATTCAAATTTTGTGCAAATCGGACTTTGTATGTGCAAATGATGGCATTTAATGTTGTACAACAGCGCCCCCTACAATTTAATTTTTTTAGTGTTATACCAAAGAAAACCAAAATAATAGACTTTATGCCTGAAAAAAACTTGTGGCAAAGTTTGGTGATTTTTTATGTTTGTTATGTGGGTCAAATATGAGCTCAAACAACATAAAACCTAAATACCTGTATCCCCATGTAAACCTTTACTCAGCCTCTAGGGGGCGATAATGGGCCAATGTCATTGTTCACACAGTCATGTGACCTAGGCCCAGGAGTTGAACAACAGAGTCAAGTTTAGTGCTGAGTTTGTAAATGTGCTTCTGTTTACACATACAATCTGTGAGTGTGTCCATACTGTCTCCATTGGATTACATGAGATTTTCACACCTCTCTATGAAAATGACCACAATTTGGGGGTCTGTCACGCTCAGACCGTTTGACTAATTAAAACTCGATATGCAACTATTGATGGTCCATGTGTGGACACCATGTGGAGCGATTTTCAGCCAAATTAGTGAAACGGCCGCGGCTGGTTTGATGTTTGAGCGAGGTGTACTTTTAAGAGATTTAACGATTTTCTCATAGACACAGACAGGGGAGTGTTTGTGGTCGTCACGGCAACAGGGTAAAAAATAATTATATGTTGTCATTGACTTTTTGAATCCAGATGACAAAACAGAATTATGTACAAAATTTCAAACATTTTGAAAAAACTAAATTTTATTAGGCCCATGTAAACCTTTGACATAGTCTCTAGGGGGCGCTAATGAGTCAATTTCAATATTTCAACTTTCAAATGACCTAGACCCTGGAGCTGAACAATGGATTAAAATTTTGTGCAAATCTGACCATTTTTGTGCAAATGGGAGCAAATTTACTATTGTCAAAAATTGGAAAAAACATGTCACATTTTGCCGCTCCGCTGCTTGGACAACGTTTAACTGATCCACATTCTATATTCAATAATAGATGGGACATGGGTTTAGACCATGTGGAGCGATTTTGAGACAAATCGGTGAAGCGGCCGAGGAAGAGATAATTTCCAGCCGACATGTGTGAAAAAGATCAATTTTCATTTTTCCATTTTCCAATTAAATTAATGAGCTTCCTGTTTGTCAGGGGGCGGAGCCATAATAACTTTTTTTTCATGTCTTGACCTGAGGAACATGTGTACCGAATTTCGTGGCTCTACGACAAACTTGACCTCCGACCCCCTCCCATAGGCGCAATGTAAACTGACTTTTGTAGGGGGCGCTGTTCTGGTATTTTTTTAGTCCCATAAAAATAAACACCAAAAAAAATAATTTTTCACCGGTTCTGAATTTTGGGAAAAATTTCACAACTTTTCATCAATGTTCAGGGGGTCAAATTAAGGTTCAAAGCGCAGAAGAAAAAAGAAAGAAATAAATAAATTAAAGCCGCAAGCGGCGTCGAACGGCCCTCGCCGCACCGCGCGACTCCCTGCACCGCGCGCACTCCCCGCACCGCGCGCACTCCCCGCACCACGCCGCCGCGCACCAAGCCGCCCTGCACCATGCCGTCCTGCACCACGCCGCCCCGTACCAAGCCACAACGCGCCGCTCCACAACGCCCCGCACTACGCCGCACCACACCGTACCACGCAGCATTGCTCAAAGTAGGTGGCACCGCCGTGTGATGATTTGTTCCCGTAGCCATAGAAGCATGTTAGTCAAATCGTAATGAATATGATAAGTAGAGCTGGTTTGGCTCCCAATGTAAACTTTGACAGAGTCTGTAGGGGGCGCTAATGGGCCAATTTCCAATATTTCACTTTAACCTGACCTAAACCCTGGAGTTGAACAATGGATTAAAGTTTTGTGCAAATTAGACTTTGTTTGTGCAAACAGGAGCAAAATTAATGTTGTCAAAAAGAGACAAAAAAAACCTCACATTTTCCCACTCGGCTGCTCAAACAACGTTTCACTGATCAAAATTCCCTGAAGTTATTTTGAAGGTAAATGGGTTGAGATGATTTTGAACAATTTTGAGGCCAATCGGTGAAACGGCCGAGGAAGAGTCGCTTTCCAACCGACGTGTATGA